GGGGAAGCCCCGGCTGTCGCAATTCGTTGCTCCGGCAGGCGGGGGGAGTCCAACAAACTTATTCATGTTTAGGGGTTTTGGGGTTTAGGGTTTGGGGTAGTTATTGAGGGTTTAGGGTTTAGGGTAGTTAGGGTTTAGAGTCGTCGTAAGTGGGGTTATGAGTCCCCCGATATGGGTTATCTGAGGTTCTCTATTACGTGCGTTGTGGAGGGAGGGATTTCGACATGCTCGAGAACAGTTGCCACCGCCACTACTGGTTCTGATTGCTGCTGCTTCAGCTACTCCTGCCTGCAGATGTTGCTGCTTGTCGTAGGTGCCCCTGTCAATACTACTGCCTTGCTGCCAACGCGAGTGGCATGGCATGTATTCTACCTAGTCTACATCCGCCTCTACTAGGGCTGTTTCCGGACGACTGCTGCTGTCGTATCTTTGCTGCAAGTGTAGGTAAGTGCTCTTGACTACTGTGACGGCATCAGCGAGAGATGCAATGACGGCTGCTACCAGCAGTGCTAGCTACTAGCATATATTCTGCTGCTATTCCGAAAGACCCCCTTCTTAAGCCCTAAACCCTGCACCAAAGCCAAAAACACGAGCCCGTATTATCCCCGTATAATATTCGAGTGATTTATGACATTTTATGACCAACTGCAAAGTCTTCAGTCTGCCACCCGCAGATTACCCTGCAGCGTCACACCTACTACTGCTGTGATGAGCACAAAGCTTTCAATCTTCAACCTAGGGGCCATCTCCACGTGGGAGGGAAAAAGACGCTCGCCAAATTCCAGATTCTACCGAGCTTTGAACCGAGGTAGTGCGGTGGTCTACCGCTCCAATGATCCGTCGCCCGTCCCCACGGAGACGGCTAGTGTCGCATGGCTGCTACGTGAGGATGATGTGGACTAGTCTAACGCTGATCATGCGGCTCCTCGTGATGATGCTGAAAGCGATGATGGTTGCTGGTGACGATCTAAACCCTAAACCCTAAACACTAGAACCCTAAACCCTAAACCATGAACCCTAAACCCTCAGGACAGTTATTCGGATTTTCCTGAGGACAGGCTTGAAGTTGATGCTGACAATGGTATGGGAATCGCCGGCGCCGTCGTTCTCGTTTTATCCGTCGCGAGCGGAAGTTAATAGCAGTAGCTTTACCCGCAGACGGCAGAATGATTCTTCCAAGAGATGAGTGTTGCAGTACCAGTGAGGACTAGTCACAATCACGTTAACAAGCGGTAGTGGCGACAATTGTCCACACGGATGAAGAGAAGCAGTAGAGGCAGTGGTGCAGCAATATAGAAGCCTGAACTCTTGCCAATTCTAGTCCGGAGGCTTCCTTCATGCTCCCGAAGCCCCATCTCTAGTTATTACACCTCCTACATCAATCCTCGTACCTGTACTTCCAGTGTCAATCCTGATGCAAGGTGTGCAGCAACCAACCGCAGCTTAAACCCGAACTAAACGCGAGTCCCAGGTCTTCAACATCCGACTTATAGTGAGCCTGATAGAACCCTTACAGCAACCCTCATAGAAGCCTTACGGTAGCCTGGGCGCCCTCAGTTAACGGCCCCTCAATGTTAAGCCTCAAGGTGGCCCCGATTGTTCTTCGCCCTCCTCCTCCTGGTGGAGTGCCCCAGTTTACCCAGGTCGGGTATAGACGCAACGAAGGAGTTGTTCTGGTTTTGGGGATTTCTGTCAGGTGACCACGAGAGCGTGCATGCCAGAGGGAGGTTTGAATGATTTAGTAAACAGCGTCCAAGGGTCCAATATACTCTGCATATGATTTCCTTGTCTGTGCCCCCAAAAGGGATTTCTTTGATTCCCCGGCATTAAAACCCATAACAATATACAACCCCATAGGGGCCCCATGCGAATCATTAAGGTTGGGTACTGCCCCCACCCAGCAACAGTTGGATAATATTCATAATATAACTACATGAGGACCTTAATAGCAGCCCTGTTATAGACTGTTAGTGTATGGGGGCAGTACCCAACATCAAGGCCCTATCTCAACTCCAGGGCCTTACGCTGGACCAGACACTGCAGCGACCGGACACCTCGCGTCAGGAGCCGGCGAACAAGGCTTCAGGGGAACCTGAACCCTAAACCCTAGAAACCTTAAACCCTATAGAACCACTATAGAGCCCTTTAAAGGAACTGCTTGGAGGTTCATGGGTAGTTATGAGTGGAGTTCTATGTAGGGTAACGATAATTATACCCAGAATTAGGGGACGTATAGAGGTGCCCATGAACCTTCGAGTGGGGGCTTTTCGGGCCAGGGCTTCTGTACGCAGCGAGAAGGGCGAATGCGGATTAAACTAAAATCGAAACCTTAATTAAGGAATATACCTTAACTCATATTAGGGATCCTACTACAGTTTCAGGTATATTCCTTAATTACCTTTCAGCAACAAAAAAGAGCAAGCTTGGTTCACCCAACGTTGTTTCGATGTTATGCAGTTTGACTCTGCCAGTTGAAGAGGAAGGAAGTCAGAGAGTCCAAATGTGGTGTGACTCGCGCAGTGCAGAAGGAGGGTTTAGGGTTTAAGGTTCAGGGTTTAGGGTTGCTAAGAAAGAAATCTGGATCTTTCGGTAGTTGTCCGAAGTGATTTTGCTTCTCCCCTTCTTGACCGTAGCATCAGTTCCTAAGCCCTAAGCCCTCAACCCTCATACCCTGATACCCTACACATTACCCTAAACCATCTGAAGCCCCAAACCCTATGTACAGACAAAGCACAAACTCCGAACTTTACCCTGAACCCCTTCCCAAACAAACCTGCAATGCGGTTTCAGGCGGGATGTGCAAAAAACTGTGAGACTCGAAAACCCTTCGACCAGCTTGAACTACAGCGGGATCCTTTGTTCAGGGGGTCTGCCAGCAAGAAGCATGATATAGAAGTCTAAATAATTACCAACACTAGTTATTTTGGGGGTTCCTTTTTATAACTATAGTATAATGGGCCCCAAAACCCTGTTCTAATTAGGAAGGCCCCTACTTTCTAGAACTCTACTATAGATCCCTTATAGGAATCCTTATATCGAGCCCTTTAAAGGAACCCTATTAACCAATGATTAAGGCCCCTACATCGGCTGTCAGAGGCACCGGCCACCCGGGCGCCACTCCAGCAGCCACTTCTGCCGAACGAGGCGTCCCGGGCAAGACCTCAAACGGTTTAGGGTTTAGGGTCGAACCCATTAATAGGCTGGAAGATTGCTCAAGATTTCCAAGGCCGGGTGTGGCGCAATTCAGGGTTGAATGCGTCTTCTGAGATTGGGTTGGAGGTCCGTTTCGATTGTTCTGATACTTTTCCACACCCTTTCGCTCGGGATCTTTTTGCCTAACCAGATCGTCGAACATACCTTAACTACGGAACGCTCCTCAACCCAGTTAATGAGGAAGCTATTGTCACAGAAGCTAGCTCCTGTATAGGATTTAGATAAACTCCGCCACCCAAAAACCCTGAGCCCTAATCTTAAGCCCTAAGCCACTCAGCGCACCCTAAGCCCTGAAGACGGTGAGGACCCCACAAACCCTAAAGACCCTTGAGACCATCAACAGGAGCCTAAACCCCCAAACCCCTCAACTCCAAACCCCTAAACCCTAAACCCCCAAGCCCAAAGAGACTAGGAGCCCTCAGGCGAAGTAAAAATGCACGAGACCTACAAAGAAGGGCTTAGTGTGTAGAGGTGTTCGCTGACACAATCCAAGCCCGTGCTGAAAAAGGTTCCCTAAACCCTAAACCCTAGGGTTCAGAGAAACAGCACTAAACCCTAAATGCTAAACCTTAAACCCCTAAACCCTAAACCCTATACTCCAAACCCTAAACCCCTAAACCCTAAACCCTAAAGCCCCAAAACCCAGAAGGACCTCGAGAAGGCGGTTGCGGCGAAAGAAGCCGAGACTGAGCCAGTTGAGGCATGTTTCCGTTTCTTTGGTTTTGATTGGGGGGAGGGATTGTTATTGTTTTTTTTGTTGTGGTTTGGAGGGTTGGGGTTTGGTGTTCTGGGATCGGGGGGGGGGGGGGTTGGGGTGTCGAGTGTATTTTTTGGTTGGTGGGTGTGTTTGGGGTTTGCGCGGTTCGCGATGGTTTCTGGGATGAGGTTCGGGGCTTAGGAGAAAAGGAATTTGTCACGGGTTTGTTGCGGTTGGTTGAAGTTTGGACGCCTGAGCTGAGAGCCCAAGACCCCTCGATTAAGGGCATAATTATAGGTTTTGTACTCCCCCCACTTTGTAACAGATAGATAATGCTCTTTGTATAATGATGTATAGCCTGCCAACATACCCCTATAGCCGCCAACATGGGCTGCCGCCCGGTGGGTGCCTGGCAGTAGCCAGTATATCGGCTTTTACCAGGGTTTCATTCATTGCTTTCGTGCTGGGTTTGGAAGCTAGATCTGAACCTGCATAGGTCTTCGTATTGCGATTTAAAGTTTATTCCTTAGGTAAAAGCTGTTGGGTTCCAAGTGCAGCCTGCAGTTGTAGGATTTAGTTGGGAGTTTCCGAAAATTAGGGGTAGATTATTTTGGGGTCCTTATAATAAGGATCCTACTATTAAGGGTATTATATTAGGATCCCCTATTTTCGGAAACTCGCAGCTGCAGAGGCACAAGAGGAGGAGTCGCAGCTCATTGCGTGGACGAGGCCCTCGTTGCTTCTCGCTGCAGGCGGGCACACGGTTCTCCAGTCTTGGGCTCAATACTAATACTAATACTATTACTAAAATTAATACTAATACTAATGCTAATACTCATACTAATACTCATACTCAAGGTCTGGAGGTAGGATCCGGGTTCGGGGGTTTGGGGGTTTGGTCGAGGTCTGGCTAGACTTGAGTCCAGTAGCAAGAAAAGAGCTCAAAGAGGCTCTGGGTTTCTTTCTTGCAGGCTTTCGGGGAGTGGACTTGCTCTTTGGTCCTCTTCCCCTTCTGCTTGTATTCCTCGGCCGGCCGGGGTGGAGCCCCTAAAACTTGAACCCAACCCTAAGCCACCAAGCCGGAAGCTTAAAGCTTGGATTGGACCCTAAACTTGGTGATAGTTGGGTAATATTTTGCATTTTCATTGTTACTTAAACCCAACGAGGAATAACAACTCAAAGATTTAATCCTATCCCAACCATGAACTAGTAAACCCTGAAACCATGCAATGCGGGCCTCGTCCTTGCTAAGCAGGAGGGAAAAGAGAGGAAATAAGGGGGAACCCTGAAGATGTCATAGGGATCCTTAGGAAATATAGTCCGCTACACCCCTCCCCCCTACACCCCAAAGGATCCCTATGAAACTGTGAGCCCCAAATCTAGGCGGGGCTTTGTGCCTAAACCCCAAATCCTTAATTTCTCGATCCCCCGGCAAAAGTCCAATATCCGAAAACCAATGGCCCCTAAACCCAAGATCGTTAACGAAGGACCAGGATTGCTACAGACCTTGCCAGGCTTTGTCCGAGTGTGAGTGTCAAAGAAACCCAAGAACGTGAACCTGGGTGGAACCTTTCAGGTCCTTGTTGTACCTATGACGCCTGACCCCTGACGGACCCTAATTTAGAGAACTGCCCCCCATGTTCATGTTATGGTCGATGCAGAAAGTGCCGAGGGGCTCCGTGCCCGGTCGAGGGTTCAGAGTTGCATGACATCTAGACTTTATGATAATATACATGTACCAATACAATTTTGGAGCTTCCTTGTTACAACTATAGTAAAATATACCCCCCCCCAAACCGATGCACGTGTGAAAGGCCCCGAAGCCCAAGTCCCCAATCAAAGCCACGCCGACGCCACTATGTGTATGTGTGTATGTATGTAGGTAGGTAGGCATGGACGGATGGATGGATGGATGGATGGATGTATCGATGGATGGATGCACGGATGGATGCGATAGATGGATGGATGGATGGATGGATGGATGGATGGATGGATGGATGGATGTTTATTTGTATCTGTGTGTGCGCATCTGTCACACACAGACATATCCATGTATGAACACATTACATATGTGTCTAACAGGTGTAAGCCCTCTACCACAAACGCAACAGGCCCTAAACCCGAAACGTTGTAAGCCCTTCTGTGTTCCACGTGGCTGTAGTAGTATGGAGGACTTGGTCGCCAGAAGCTTTGCCTGCCTTGAGCGAGCGAGAGAGTGGAAACCCAGAAGCCCTCAACCCCAGACATGTTATAGCATATAACATATAACACATGATATATACTATATAATATCCAATAGAAAGTTGTAACACTCAAATATCCAAATCTCAAATCCGAGAACCTCGCCTGGCTTGTCCGAGGAGTTGAGAGAGCGTAAATGTGAACCAATGTGAGCCACTGCAGGCGTGGTGGTCTGGATTTGGCCGGAAAGGATCTTCGCTGTGCCAGGACGAGAAATGTTTTCGTTCAAGATCAGCAGTCGTGGTGGTGGCGGTGGTGGTGGTGGTGGTGTGGGCGTAGTTGTTCCCTAAACCCCGCTGTGAAAAAGGTGCTCTTCTTCTTCGCCGCACTGCTCTGCACACCTCACGTGGGCGCAGTCTTGCGCCGCGGCCTGGCGCTGCCCAGGCGCAAGGGCCCAGGGTCCCAGTTTAGGGTTATAGGGTTAAGGGTTAAGGGTTTAGGGTTTAGGGTTAAGGGTTTAGGCTGTTGCGGAGAAGTCATCATAGGTGTTTCAGTACATTGTTTGGTAGGGTTTTTGCAGAGGTTTGATAATCAAGACTTCGCACTCCCAAAACCCAGACCTTGAATTCAGCGCGTCGAGATGAAGCATCAGGCCCATGGGCCATTCCCAGATAGTAATGTCAACTTCTAGTCCTTCAATAACGATACGAGCCGAATGCACCCCCAAAGACAGAAAGCTTCGGCACTAAACCCCAGGGTGACCGCTCACATTTGCGCATTGCTTCCCTTCTGGTGCCCGCGAAGCCTGAACTACAGCAGCGGTCTTTAACCCAGCTTGGAGGTTCATGGGTAGTTATAAGTAGGGTTATAAGTAGGGTAACCGTAATTATAGCTCATATTAAGGGACGTATAACCCCACTTATTCACCCAGTTGTCACTGATCGCCCTACTTCGTGTACTCAGCCATGCAGGAGGCAAAAATAACCCCACTTATAACTACCCATGAACCTCCAAGAGGGGAATGCCCAGCTAGTGCCCCGGGGCCTGTGTTCCTAAACCTTAACATGCTCCTCCCAAACCCAGACAGCTCCCACCTCCCGGCCTCCATATGGGAGTTTCCGAGAATTAGGGGGGGTCTCATTTTGGGGTCCTTATAATATGGATCCTACTGTTTGGGGTACGTACTATAGTAGGGTACAATATGTTCGGAAACTCTAAACCCTAAACCCTTTGACTGTTCGCTGTTGTTTTTGGAACCACTGAGAGCATGCTGTAAACACCCGACCTGCCGACCAAGAACCTCGTCTGGATGCGTCCGAGTTGCGAGAGCGTAAACCCTCTTTCGAACCCTTCTTGACCCCTTTAAGGAACCCTTAAAGGGTCCCTTTAAAGGTGCCCCTAGTTTTCGGAAAACTCCCCTTATTCGTTCCTCCAACCCTGCCAAGTAGAAGCTCGAGCACCCCTGAGTCTCCCGCCACCCTAAGTGAGAGTTTCCGAAAATCAGCTTCCGAACATTAGGGGTGCCCAAGGGTTCCTTTAAAAGGGTAACTATAAGGGTCCCTTTAAAGGGCTCTATAAGGGTTTAGGGTTTCCGAAAAACAGGGGCACCTTATTTTGGGGTCCTTAAAAGAAGGATCCTACTACTAAGGGTACCGTACTCTATTGGGGTCCCCTGTTGTCGAAAACTCCCAAGTGTTACGATGTTAGCGTACAAACAGTCTCCATGGGTTTTCCAAGCTTATGGTTAGGAGCCTACACCCTAAACCCTTTACATTCATTGAGTGAGTTGCTGGGAGTATTTGTGTTTATCTATCTGTCTTTAGCATGAGCCCAACAGGGGCGAGCCTGAGACCTGTTGCAGCGGAGAAAGGCCCACCACACTCTTTAAAACAAAACCTTAAAACACAAAGAAAGCGGAGTTCTGATGGTACCAAAAGCCAGGGCCGGCAATCCTTCCGTCCCAAATCCCAGAAACCTCCCATCCCCAAGCCCTAAACAGTAAGACCCCGAGCCCCTGAGCCCTAAACCCTAAACCCTATAAGCCATGCCTGCCTTGTGCGAGTGTGTGAGTCGAAACCCTATAAGCTAAACCTTAAAAGCCAATGAACAGCCTGAATCCTAAATCCAAAGCTCTGACGCCCTAACACACTTCTTAAGGCTTGGACTCTGGGGCTCGTGCTGGCCCCAGGGGGCGAACCCATACAGTTGGCAGGGGTTTGGGTTCGAGGTTTTGGGATGTAGGGTAGAGGTTTTTGGTTGTCAGTTTAGAGTTTAGGCTGGCTGAACGTGTGAGGCCTTAAAACCGTAGGGTTTTCGGGATTCCGATTCGATTGCTTTTTTTTTCACGTCCTGGCAGCGTCCAGGCTCGAAGCTCATGTTCCGCGGAATCTTCCGGGTCCTAAACCCTAAACCTTGTTTGGAGAGCTTCAGGTCACTAGACCTCAGGCAGAAATGAGCTGCTTCAGTGCTGAAAGGCTTCACCACCAAAGGATCGGGATGTTGGAAGCTTCGACTTGAGGGTTAGGATTCAAGGTTTACGTTACAGTTCAGAGAATGTTTTGAAAGGCTTGACGGTTTGTGTCGGCGTAGGAAGAGCCGCAGCAGAGCAGCTAGATGTTCATTCAATTGCAACTCGAAGCGTCAAGAATTTACCAAAGAAGTCATACTTGACAGTGCATGCAGAAAAGTGCAAGGATCTCGTGGAATGAGCCAGAACAGGACATAATGTTGTCGCAAATGCCGCCATGAAAAAAACTATTAACTCCGAGCTCCATGTTTTCGCATCGCGGCTTCAATCTGCATTGTGCTGGACGCAAGCAAAAGCCAACACTCCTTTCCCGTGAACTGCAGTTTTGAGCATGTCATTAGCGGAGAGCTACCCATATCGATCTGAAGGTTAAGACAATAACACATTTACATCAGCCTGATTGGCGCCCCGATAGTAGGGATACTGCAGTCCCCTTGACAACCCCAGCGTTGGATCAAAATGCGCCTTACTCGCAAACTTAAGATCGCTCTTAAGATCACGCATAAACTGTTCCCATTGGTAGCCTTGGTACTGTACCGGGTATTTCCCTGAACAGACAACCAGACCAGTGGCTTCACCAACCGGTTAAGTTAATCCAGATGTAGCTGTGGTATCCGTAGAATGAGCATTCTAGACCCCGAAGTCCCGAAGCATAAAGTCATGGCATCCCCAATACGAGTTCCTATTGTATTCATACAAGTAAGGAAAGTACTGCCCAAACAGCTACTTCAACAGTAAGCGTCATACGCATGCTTATATTAAACTAGACAAAACGAGCCCCACTAAGAACCACGATTCTTGCTGTGTTCGCTCAGGCGTTGACCAAATGCTGGCGTTTAGGCTTTTTGTGATGAAGCAACATTTGTTTGTTTGCATAAACGTTTATGTTGTATCTGGCATACCTTTCTCACTGTGCTATATGATCGATCATGTCGGACTTGCTGCCAGACTTGCAATTTTTGCCTGTAAGTACACTCATGTGTGTGTGTATGCACATTTTCACCTTTAGGTTAAACGTGTGCTAGATACCAGAATCGGTAACTGGTTCCTGATTCCGAGCAACATCAACCCCAACCCTATCCTTGTCATTCTCAGCTATGTCAAAGTTGGATCTTTGTACCACCCATAATCTGACCCAATGTTTCTGTCTTGAAATTGCAGCCATAGTCAGTGGGAAAAAAATCGTGGTGGTAGCTGTGGGAACACCGAAATGCTGGGTCCTGGTTTGTGTTAAACTTGCGATACTAGCTTTCCATTGACCCCCAAATTGATCCGAATAACGCCCTGGTTATTACCCAGTCTATTGTATAGTACTGACGCTAAGCGGTTTCGAAACGCAATAGTGATGACACTGGAACCTTAGTGACAACACCAATTCGCAACGCGCACAGGCAACAAATGCAATGCACACTCTTTGCTAGGAAAAGTTTGGTCTTGGAGTGAAATACCGAGATTTCCTGGGAAAGAGATGGTTCTGGCGTGAAAAACCAACTATTTCACCGGAAAAAAATGGTTTTGGAAAGGATAACAAATTTTCCTAGGGAAAACGAAAGCTAGCAAAAAAACAATCTTTTGAGACACAATGCGGCTAGATTCCAAATAGATTCGTTTTTGGGTTTTCTCTAGGAAAAAGATTGTTTTGGGCAGGAAAACCAAACGGTTTCTCACCCACATTCCAGGATTGGGGTTTGGATGTTCAGCGTGTCTCTCCCTCTCCCCTCTCCCCTCTCGAGAGAGCTCTCTCTCTCTCTCTCTCGCCCTCTCTCTCTCTCTCCCGAGTGGCATGAGCGGGGGTGGGTGTGGGTGTGGGGGTGTGTTTGTGCGTGATGAAAAGGCTAGCAGGTGTTCTTGCGATGCATATTATCATGCTCACATGCGCAGCGTTAACGTACACACACGGTGCTCTGTCGGACGATTGTTGCCGTGCTGGTAGAACTTGACTAGATTCTTGTGTTCAGAGCGGTATGTCATGACATCGTGGTGCAAATCGTTAAAATAGCGTTATTACACCGCGCGTCGGGTTTTGAACCACGAGCCTAGCCCCCTTGAAACGTCCTATTGGCATGAATTCTCGAATTCGAAGAGGTGAACTGTTGTCACACGGAGCTTCTTGATTAATCCCCATGTTCGTGCTGGACTACACTATTCACAGAGGACATGTTCTTGCTGTGCGGTTTTGCCAGTAGGTCAGTAGTTTCTGGTTAAGTATGGTTAAGTCATCAGTGGGCTCATGCGAGTCATGCTTTGGTTGACGTTCGAGAATGCAGAAGGCAGTGCTCTGCCGATTCCCTGAAAACCTGCATCGGTGTTCCCAGACCAGATGCCTTCAGTCTTGAACGGCACCTTGTGCCCGCAACTTTTGTCCACACATCCTTAAGACCTAGACCCTGTGCATACCCAGAAAGCCGGACTTCTGGGTTCGAACTCAGCAGCCCCAGACAGCCCATCACCCCCCCCGGAACGTGAACATCACACGCCCTAGGTGCATGTCATGCTTGCGGAGCTATTGGGCTGAAGAATTGGGGTTTAGGGCTTAAGGCTTGCCGGTCTAGGACTCGGGTTGGGCTTTCGGAGCTTCTATGGTCCAACAGTTGAGTGTTTTCATCAAACACGACCTCCCAAAGGAGGACACCGAGCCCACATCCTCGCGAGTTGCTGGTGTAGGGCCTTTATGGCTTCAAGGTTTGTGGTTGGTCCTAAGCAACCATTTGTTATCATTTGTTATCATAACACAAGTTCAAGGGATTTCGTATTGCGCACCTCTATGGCTTAAAGGTTTAGGGAATTGAAGCCTCAGATTCTCCATTCCCGGTATCGCGCTCAGATTGAAGGCCTTGAGCCCCAGAGCCTTTTCCCAAGGCTCTGCTGAACCATAAACAGCTAACTGCTAAAATGGTGCTTACCGCTCCAGGCTCATCCTAGCAACCTAGTAATTATAGCACTTCCAGCTTCGTGCAGTTGGAAAAGAACCCGTGATATGAAACAGAACAGCAGCGTAAATCCTAAGATGTAAAACATCCTACACAATCCGAGTGCGTTCTGCAGACGTTGCCCGGATTTGTCCGACTGAAACTAGGGACACAACAAGGACATAAGCATAAGCAGTCTATAATAGGGATATCCCTACCTTACTTGGCTTCTTTCTAAGGGGGTCTAGATGGGATATCCCTATCCTGAGTTTGCTTTTTGGGCCCGATGCAAGCATCAAAACCCCGCGGAGTGGGCTCCAAGCGCTAGAATCCTGAGGCTGGCAACGTGCGTCGTGGACTTGGTGGCTGGGCTGGGGACTGCACTCTGGGTGCCTCGTCAACGAACAGAAAGCTCTTTGGGGGTTTAGGCACAGTATAAGAGCCCTAAGAACTAGAACTTCATGTCTTAGGCTTCCTGATTACAACGATCATGCCCAAAAAGCCTGTTCCACTTGTTACCTTACAGTACAGGCTCTGGGTCCCAAAGCGACATGACAAGGCAGATGAAAGGCCCAACCACAAGGCTTCAGTCTGGCTTCAGGCCAGCTTCCTAGGCCACCCAGCAGTGCCCAACATTCGTAGTCCGACTTTTCGCACTAGACGCCCCGAACGCAAGCCCTTACAGCCCTAGACCGTTGCGCCGAAAGCCTTAAAGCCCGTAAAGCACGAAGCCATCAAAGCACCCCGAAGCCCTGAACTTACCGCAGACAAAACCCAAGACCCAAAGCCAGGCACCTGCAGGAGGAAGAAGAATCGTTAAACCCTAAACCCCAACCGATTTCTGAACCTCTGCGAACGGAAAAGGGTAGTGTAAAAAAAAATCCAACCGAGAAACCCTAAAAACCCAAAGAGCCAACAAGAGAACCTCAGGAGAGATCTGACCGGTGGAAGCCACAGCTGGACAAGGCTTCCTCTCAGTGTCCCTGAACCCTTACATTGGGCTTGCGGGTTTAGGGTTTAGGGTTTGGGTTTTAGCCTGATGCAGAAAGGGTTTGGGTTTTAGGCTGTTCCGGGCGAGAGAAGCCTGCTGCAACAGGTTTTACGGTTGAGGGTTTAGGATGCTCTAAACATTTACAGCAGCCTAAAGCCCCCTCTGTAGGGTCCCGACAGTAGGCGTTTGATAACTGCACCGCCAGGTTTTCCCAAGAGCAAAGTCACACGATCCGGATTCTCAAGTATGAAGAGGTTCGCGATTCAGATGCTGTCATCACTTCTTTTTTTATTCGCGTTTTTCCCGAATATGGGGGCCCCAATATTTACCTATACTTTTCTTGGGGGTTCCTTATCATAACCATAGTATATTGGGACCCCAAACCCTCTTCCAATTATTAAGGCCTCTATACTACACCCCTGAAACCCTGGACCTCGAATTCCCAAGCTTCAAATGCAGCCGAACACAAACACGGGCTCCCGAGCCTCCTAGCTCTGAAGATTTTAAACGGAACCTTTGTAATTTTTGCATAACGGAACCCCGAAAGATACCCCAAATTCCCCGAACCGGTATGTTCGGAGACGTCTAGCAGCAGACAGGGGCCGTTTAGCGCCGTGTCCCAATAGTTGGGCCCCGAAGCCCTCAACCCTGGAGCCCGGCTTCAGAGAACATAAGCCCCAACTCTAATGGACTCACTAGCCCGAAGCCCTAAGCCCCAAAGCCCGAACCCCGAACCCCCCTACACTCGAAAGCCCAGACCCTAAACCATCCTAAACCCTACAACCCTGAAACCCCTAAAGCCTAACCCTAAACCCTAAATCCCAAACCCAACCCTAAACCCTAAACCCTGTACCCTAAAACCAACTCGAAGCCTTAAACCCTAAAACGCCAAAACCCTAAAATTCAGCCTGCACCCGAAACTTTGTCACAGTTGGGTAGCATGTTGCATTTTTATGGGTATTTGAACCCAATAAGGGATAAACATGTACATGTCTAATCCTATCCCAACAATGAACTACTTGGAGGATCATGGGACTTAGTAAGTAAGGTTATAAGTACCTTAATTGGGGTTATAAGTATTGTTACCCTAATTATAACCCTAGTTACTAAGTCCCATGATCCTTTGAGTAGTTCCCTAGTGTTGATGATATAAATCCTACTATGATTTAAGGTATATTCCTTAACTAAGGGATTTTGGAAGGTCTTTCTAGGAAACCCGAAACGCAACGAGTCCGTGCAAGGCCCTTGAGGCGGACTCGGATTTCTCGAAGAGCATGAGCAAGTGACCTGGGCTCGGAGTTAAGAGATCTATAGGGTTCCTTTAAGGGATCTAATGGGGATCTATAAGGGTTCCCTTAAGGGATCTATAAGGGTTTAGGGGTTATGAGATTTAGTTTAAGCTACGGCAGTCGCAATAGGCCTGGATGCAAAAACATTTCAGTTACCAGAATAGGGGTCTAAAAGGAGATCCTTTAAGGGATCTATTAGGGCTCCTTTACGGTTTACGGTTAAAATTACCATAATGGGGATCTATAGTAAATAACAAGGTTTGCTTATTATGATTGCTTAAATGAACTTCCTTAACAAGAATCCAGCCGAGCGGCCCTGGTTTTGGGGGCTTCCGGAGGGTTTAGGGGTTTTGGGGGTTTGGGGGTTTAGGGTCTGGGGGTTTAGGGTTCAGGGTATTTCCGGTTGTTTGAGTTGGGGGCTCGTTTAGGACCCAGGCCTTTGGGCTTTTGAATGCGGGGGGATTCCCTAGATATTGGGGCTTGGATTTTGATAGTACTACCCCGTAGGAACTGGGAAGTCGGAGGCCAGGGGATTCCCAAACTTCCTTCATTTTGGGGGACCTTTTGGGAAGGTTTTCTTGTGGGCACTGAAAGGGAGTCACTGCCCCAGAACTACCTTACGCTGTACAGTGCTTCATCTTTTTGGGCTTTAGACGATACTCAACGTGCACTCAGTGATCGAGATGTGTTGGGCTCTCTCTGAGGGGTTCGCGGTTGGGTTTCCTGCAGGCTTGTTTGGTCTGCGGTTTACGGTTTGCGCTCTCAGGTTAAGAACGCCAGAGAGACTGCGGGCAAGTAAAGGGAGCTATCATGGCCTTTGACATTGAAGACATCCTAAACCAGGAAAGCGGGAAAGCCAAACCCTTAAACGCCCCAAAAACGCAGAAAAACACGCCCGATGTTTTCAGGCTCGGAGGCTTGAGATTTTAAGATGGTGTAGGGTTCTATTGGGTGTCCTGGCGTGGAGGGGTCAGAGTCCTGGGTTTGGGATACAGGGGGCTTAAGGTTAAGAGGTTTAGGGTGTGGGGTGGTTAAGGATCGGCTAGTAGAGGGCTTAGAGGTTTAGCAGAAGCGCTACCAAGCACAGGTACATCTTGCAGGTGGCCGGGAACGTCAGCTCGTCGCTGTTGCAGGAGACACGCCGTGTCATTTTGGGCTGTCATAGTTACGGATCACAGAATCTAGGGTTTTGTATTCGGCTCCCGAATTGTCAGCTTGGAAGTGGGTCGGCCCTTAGGAGGTGTTTCTGCATCGAGGAACATGGGGATCTGAATTGCTCTCCATCTTTAATATATCAAGATCTAACTGGTAAGACCTGATACAGTCCAGTATACTATTAACATAGTAAAGTAGAACCTATTTTCATGTAATCCAGATAATATGAACCTAAAGGATCATTCAAGAGATTTTTTGGGTCCATGGGTCAGCTCTGGAATCAAGCCCAGTAGCCAGGGATGCTCCATGTAAGCTATAGGGCTTATACATCTCCAGGTTTGGGGTGTCCCCATTCCTCCATTCCCTACTAACCAAGATAAGTTATAGGATTATGAAGGCCCCCATATTATAGTAGCCTTATAGATCCCTTATAGTAGCCCATATAGACCCCCTTAAAGGGAACCCTACCATTCCCTACTAACCAAAGGTAAGTCCCGAGAGTCTCAAGGAGAAGTCCCGATGGCTTTCGCCCATGCTGCTTGCCCGCGGATGAAGTTTCGGATTCTACGTTTGGCGCCTGGATTCCCTACTTGGAGGATCATGGGACTTAGTAAGTAAGGTTATAAGTACCTTAATTGGGATTATAAGTATTGTTACCCTAATTATAACCCTAGTTACTAAGTCCCATGATCCTTTAAGCAGTTCCCTACTGTTGATGATATAAATCCTGCATTACCCATAAGGAATATACCGTAATTCCCATAGTTTAGGATCCTTAAGGTGATGCAGGATTTATATCATCAACCGTAGTAGTGGTAATGCTCCACGGTTTCGGTTATACGGCCTCGTTGTGTCGAAGCGCCACATTCCCGGTGCAATGCGAGACAGCGAGTTGAGAATCACACAAGTGCAAAGAGTGGCTCCAAAAGCTCGACAAATAGCCGAGTGCCGCAGACCTCAGGCACCACACCCCAAACCCCAAACCTTGCATGTCAAAGCTCGGAGTCCTTGAACTAGCTAACCCCAAGACACAAGCCTCACCATGAATCATCAACCCGGAAACACAAACGCCCAAACCCTGCGGGCGGAAGCCCATAGGCCCATCGGCCATCATGAGGCCTTGTACAGCTCTCATAAAGCCCGCTGTTTTATTCACAGTAATCATCATAATCACAAGACTCATAATAATCATAGAAATCATAGAAATCATAAAGATCAGAATAAGCACAATAACCATCATAAAACCCATAAGAATCATACATAATCAAAAACATGACGTTAACCTGCGTCATATAACCTGTATAAAGCCCACGAAACGTCTGGTAAAGCCCTCCTCCTATGATACCCCTGGGCCTCGCCTGAGCTAAGCCGAGCCCTAAGCCAGGACTAAAGCGCTCTATTGATTAGGGTTTAGGGTTTAGGGTTTAGGGGTTTAGGGATTAGGAGTTTAGGGTTTAGGGGTTTAGGGTTTAGGGATTAGGGTTTAGGGGTTTAGGGATTTTGGGACCATCCGTGTCCTGCAACCGGGCTTGACGTTTCGAATGCCTGGGAGAGAGAGAGAGAGGGAGAGAGAGAGGGATTAGGGGTTTAGGGTTTAGGGGTTTAGGGTTTAGGGATTAGGGTTTAGGGGTTTAGGGTTCAGGGGTTTAGGGTTTAGGGGCCTGCTGTTGAGGAGTGTTCGCTGGCACACAATCCAAGCCCATGCTGAAAAAGGGACTAGGGTTTAGGGTTAAAGGGGGCTTAGCAGCTGATAGCACAGAGCCTCGGTTCAAAAGCAGGGTGAGGGTTTAGGGCGTCGAGCAGCTAAAAAATGAGTCTGACGGGCCCGAGTATCTTCACATACGAAAGCAGGACGTGTAGACTGGCGTGTATGGACTGTAAAGGAGCAGGCGGCATCACACAAACTGCAGCTCTTTATCGCATGGAATCGCGGGCCTGAACCTGATATAGGCGCTTGACGACATGGGTGGTTGTCTAGAAAGTAGAACGTCCAAGCACTACCTGTAGCCCGAAGAGACTTACAGTCCTACGGAAGTAATAATTACTGTGCTTATCTGTGGCTTGAGGGTTAAGGAGCATTGCTCGTTGGGCTTTGTGGTGTAAGGGCTCATCTGATGGTCAAGCAGGGTCGACGCCGTCGGCGACGTGGTCCCGCCGGCCCTGTCCAAGGTCATGAGGAAGAAGGACGAAGCCGAGTTGCGCAGATTCTCCAGGTATTCTCGAACAAGGTATGGCCAGGTATGGCTGAGTAGGGGATTGGTAGCTCCCAGGACGAGTGGACGCCCGCACTTGTCGCCCTCATCGGGGATGTGGTGCCGCCAGCCACGTCGCCGCATATCTTGAGTTCGATTCTGCGTTTTCTGGGCAGGTTTCCATATCCAGGAGGGAAGCAGACACACGACTTCTTCATCAACCCAGATTCTATGTTACAGCTCTGCTACCCTCACAGCGCAAGTCTTATGGATCTCAAAGCCCAAATGCACGCAGCTGGAAGACGACATCTCCAAATCGACCGAGACTCTCCGAGTCAAATCCGTTAGCCACCTGAAACCGCAAACCTCGAACCCTAAACCAATGCACAAGCTTGCAGCCCCATGCTTTTGCCGGAGCCGAATCCTGAGAATCCCTTAATCAACTTCTAAAGTCAACTAAACTTCAAAAAGCCCCCCCATCCGAGGAAGGAGTTTCAGACCTTGTCGTGCCAGCCCTATACTCCAACTCCCAGGCCCAAAAACCCTGAGCCCCACACCCTAAACCCAGCCTTCACCCCCCAAAACTTGCTCAGGCCCGACCCTTGCAGAGAAAAAACAGATTGGGGTTAAGTTGTGGACTTGAAGTTTCAAACCTCTCGAACCCTGCACAACCCCATGGCCCTACGCCCTACGCCCTACGCCCCAAAACCAAAGCCCTCGGCCAAAACTCTATGCAGGGCCCCTCTGTCGAGATTAGGGCCCTTCAGAGCTGGGGGGTTTATCAAAACTTTCCTTGAGTTAGTAGGGAATGGAAGAAAGGTGGCAATAGTCATAGTAGTTATATTCGTACCCCATTCCGCCAGTCCCTACGAACCAAAGATAAGAAAAAGGGATCAGCATGGAGATTTAAAGTTTTGGATGCAGAGTCCCTAACTTAGAAAGCCTCGAGCTCGAATTTGCCTTCGTCACTTCATTGTCACACCGTTTTTGCTATTAGCCCGCTAACATGGGGGCCTTAATAATTACCTAGACTGTTTTGGCGGGTTCCTTATTATAGTTATATTATAATGGGCCCCAAAACCCTATTCTAATTATTTTGGCCCCTATATTAGAGCTACAGTAAAAAGGACAGGCTTGATAGTGCCTCGATTAGCTTAGGATTTAGTTTAGGCGAAGACTTTGCTGCTGTTGAAATTGTCCAGGTTCTGGTCAGCGTGTTGCAGCACCGGCCGCTCTAGCCGCAAGAGAAAGTGGCATTGTGTGGTGCTCGAGAGAAACCCTCAAGGGCCTAAATCTACCTCAAAGAGCGGCTCAGATTAAGGGTCAAGGTCCCCCGCCCCGCCCCCGAACTGACAAGATCACTCGGTGATCTAGGGTTTAGGCTTTAGGGTGGCATTAGTGTCTTGAGAGAGACTTCCTTGGTCCGGGGATTTGAGTTGTTTGCAAGCCCTCAGTGCTGTTTCGTTGCCAGGCGCCATTCATGAAGCCAGAACCAGCATCCGGATCTTGCCACATTCTTTCTCATCCAAGTTCTCCCGACCGTATCTCGTTAGTGCAGGCTTCAACGCCCTAAACCCTAAGCCCAAAAGCCCCAGACGCAATGCCCTGAAACCCTGCGTGTCTGGTGCTTGCCAAGGGCAGGCCAAAAACCCAAACCCTCAAACAGTAAACCCTGCACCTGAAACCTAAACCCTCAACCGCATGGGCCTTCTGTTTTCCAGATTTCTACCTGAAGAGGTACATAAAGTGACCCTGAACCCTAAATACTAAACCCCAACTTTCTGAATCATGCGAGACGGAAAAGGGTCCTTCACAAAAAAAACCATATTCCATGCACCTGCATTCAGAAAGAGCATAAAACACACCAGCGAGACTTGAACACCCGTCGCCATCCCCTAGACCCTCTTGGACCACTCCTCAAGGCCATGAACGCCATAACATACAGGTCTGAACATACATTACCAGATTATCCCAGAGCCCTATAGTATTCTGTTTACTAAGGGCTCGATACTGAGCTTTCCTTAAACCCTAAAGCCTGAACCCTAAACCCTATAGTACGCGGGCTTCGTCCTTGCTAGGTAGGAGGGAAAAAATAGTATTCTGTTCATTCATGGCTCGATACTGAGCTTTGAGCTGAGGGCGAAGCAGTGGACGCCAGCTTTGATGGAGTTCGTCGCCGAAGTCACGCCAAAGATCGTCACCATTGTTCTCGCGAGGCTGGGTGTTGGGTTGAGGGTTTAGGGTTTAGGGTTTAGGGGTTTCGGGTTTCAGGTTTAGGGTTTAGGTTTCAGCACGAAGTTTAGAGTTTCGAATGCCAGGGCTTCCAAGGTTTCTGTTTAAGTTTTCAGGCTTCAGAGGATAGGTTTAACCCTAAACCCTGAACCCTAAGGCGTTATGGCTTTCTGGGTTTAGGGGCTTCGGGTCTCACATGAAAACCCGCAGGCTTCAAATTCTCGTGTTCCCCTTCCCCGAGCCTGAGCCTGGTTATGGGTAAAACCCAAGCCTCAAGCCTTCTATATGGGAGTGTCCGAAGATATGGGACCCTAATATAGCCATATAGTACCCCAAAGAGTAAGATGCTTATTATAAGGATCCCCCAGAAAAGGTACTCCTACAGTATTTTTCGGAAACCTCCCATATACTTCCCAGAGCATACGCCCAAGAGGCCCAAAACCCCAAATCCGCACCCCTCTCCGTGCACCAGAGGCTCCGGGTCAGTCCCTGGGTTGATTATGAAAATCCTAATAGTAATAGTAATAGTAAGAGTAAGAGTAAGAGTAAAAGTAATAGTGATAGTGAGAGTAAGAGTAAGAGTAATAGCAAAAGTAATAGTAAGAGTAAGAGTAAGAGTAATAGTAATAGTAATAGCAATAGTAATAGTAATAGTAATAGTGCATGACCTACACCTGTAATACCACACCAACACTACAACAAAATACGGCTGATGGTCAAAATCCTGCATGACCTTAAGGACCCTGAACTATGGGAATTATGGTCTATTCCTTATTTTTGGGGTAATGCAGGATTGATATCATCCACCGCAGGATTTTGGTTGAATTGCGAGTCCTAAAGCCCTAAGCTCTGAACCGTGAACTCTACACTAAGCTCTTGGGGCAAAAATGGTTAGGGTTTAGTTTAGGGGTTTAGGGGTTTAGGGGTTAGGGTTTAGGGTTTAGGGTTTGCATGACTGTATAGGGACTCGGCATACTGGGACACATTATCCAAACTCCGGCATTGCCAGCACTCGTTCCGAATGTCCCTCGCAACCAGAGTGTGCCACCCTGAACCCTCTGATCTAAAGCCCGTTCCTTCACAACCCCATTCTGCTTCTTGTCAGAATTCTAGACGCAGGCCAATGCGCCCTTCAATTTAGCAGCACACGTTAAACTTTATAAGGCCCCGTCAGATTTAAGGAACATCCCTCTGCTACGTGCTACTGAGCTCTGTGTCAACAACTCCCGAAATGCTGCTATCCCTGGCTACCGTGAATCACAAGCACACATCCCTAAATTTTGACTCAAGTGGCAGGCCCTACAAGTAGAGCGAAGCATCATGTTAGCAGGCGCCACACACACCCGCAAGACACCTCATCATGTTAACATGTCAGGTTTTGAGTGTGTGATATGCCACTGACGCTGAGATCCGTGCAAGACGTATGTTATTCCCCCGCGCTGGACATGCGCAGAGACGGTGCTACACTCGAAGTTTTGCGTGCCAACGACTTGCGGCAACTGAGTGAGCCATGTTTCGCCTCCTGCTGCTGTTCCCAAGCTGCTTAGCCGGGTCAGTTTTCCAGAGCCGCAGCGAACTTCGGGCTGCCGTCCGTGCTTGGGAATCCCAGGCTAAGCAGGTCGATGGTACTCTTATCTGGCCCGACAGAGCTGGCCTGATCTCCAAATACGGCCAAGTTGCGGAGTGGGACGTTTCGAGAGTGACCGACATGAGCAGCTTATTCGAAAGTTTATATGATTTTGATGAGGCAGTCGGATCGTGGAACACATCAGCGGTGACGAACATGGCGGGCATGTTCTACGGGGCCGAGCATTTCAACCAACCGATTGGGAGCTGGGACACATCAGCGGTGACGAGCATGGACCACATGTTCCACACAGCCAAAGCTTTCAACCAACCGATTGGGAGCTGGGACACATCAGCGGTGACGAGCATGGTACAAATGTTGGACGACGCCGACTCTTTCAACCAACCGATTGAGAGCTGGGACACATCAGCGGTGACGAGCATGGTAGTACAAATGTTCTACGACGCCGACTCTTTCAACCAACCGATTGGGAGCTGGGACACATCAGCGGTGACGAACATGGCGGGCATGTTTACCGGGGCCGAGCATTTCAACCAACCGATTGGCAGCTGGGACACGTCTGCTGTGACGGACATGGGGTACATATGGTACATGTTCCAGAGGGCCAAAGCTTTCAACCTTGGGAGCTGGGACACGTCTGCTGTGACGGACATGGCGGGCATGTTTACCGGGGCCGAGCATTTCAACCAACCGATTGGGAGCTGGGACACATCAGCGGTGACGATCATTTTTTTATGTTCTGGGAGGCCAAGCATTTCAACCAACCGATTGGGAGCTGGGACACATCAGCGGTGACGAACATGGCGGGCATGTTCTACGGGGCCGAGCATTTCAACCAACCGATTGGGAGCTGGGACACATCAGCGGTGACGAGCATGGACCACATGTTCCACACAGCCAAAGCTTTCAACCAACCGATTGGGAGCTGGGACACATCAGCGGTGACGAGCATGGTACAAATGTTGGACGACGCCGACTCTTTCAACCAACCGATTGGGAGCTGGGACACATCAGCGGTGACGAGCATGGTAGTACAAATGTTCTACGACGCCGACTCTTTCAACCAACCGATTGGGAGCTGGGACACATCAGCGGTGACGAGCATGGTACACATGTTCCACACAGCCAAAGCTTTCAACCAACCGATTGGGAGCTGGGACACATCAGCGGTGACGAACATGGCGGGCATGTTTCGCGGGGCCATCTCTTTCAACCAACCGATTGGCAGCTGGGACACGTCTGCTGTGACGGACATGGGGCACATGTTCTACACAGCCAAAGCTTTCAACCACCCGATTGGGAGCTGGGACACGTCTGCTGTGACCGACATGGAGTACATGTTCTACTGGGCCGAGCATTTCAACCAACCGATTGGGAGCTGGGACACATCAGCGGTGACGAGCGTGGTACAAATGTTGGACGACGCCGACTCTTTCAACCAACCGATTGGGAGCTGGGACACATCAGCGGTGACGAACATGAGGGAAATGTTCTACGACGCCAAAGCTTTCAACCAACCGATTGGGAGCTGGGACACATCAGCGGTGACGAGCATGGTACAAATGTTGGACGACGCCGACTCTTTCAACCAACCGATTGGGAGCTGGGACACATCAGCGGTGACGAGCATGGTAGTACAAATGTTCTACGACGCCGACTCTTTCAACCAACCGATTGGGAGCTGGGACACATCAGCGGTGACGAACATGGCGGGCATGTTTACCGGGGCCGAGCATTTCAACCAACCGATTGGCAGCTGGGACACGTCTGCTGTGACGGACATGGGGTACATATGGTACATGTTCCAGAGGGCCAAAGCTTTCAACCTTGGGAGCTGGGACACGTCTGCTGTGACGGACATGGCGGGCATGTTTACCGGGGCCGAGCATTTCAACCAACCGATTGGGAGCTGGGACACATCAGCGGTGACGATCATTTTTTTATGTTCTGGGAGGCCAAGCGTTTCAACCAACCGATTGGGAGCTGGGACACATCAGCGGTGACGAACATGGCGGGCATGTTCTACGGGGCCGAGCATTTCAACCAACCGATTGGGAGCTGGGACACATCAGCGGTGACGAGCATGGACCACATGTTCCACACAGCCAAAGCTTTCAACCAACCGATTGGGAGCTGGGACACATCAGCGGTGACGAGCATGGTACAAATGTTGGACGACGCCGACTCTTTCAACCAACCGATTGGGAGCTGGGACACATCAGCGGTGACGAGCATGGTAGTACAAATGTTCTACGACGCCGACTCTTTCAACCAACCGATTGGGAGCTGGGACACATCAGCGGTGACGAACATGGTACACATGTTCCACACAGCCAAAGCTTTCAACCAACCGATTGGGAGCTGGGACACATCAGCGGTGACGAACATGGCGGGCATGTTTCGCGGGGCCATCTCTTTCAACCAACCGATTGGCAGCTGGGACACGTCTGCTGTGACGGACATGGGGCACATGTTCTACACAGCCAAAGCTTTCAACCGGGCCATCTCTTTCAACCAACCGATTGGGAGCTGGGACACATCAGCGGTGACGAACATGAGGGAAATGTTCTACGACGCCAAAGCTTTCAACCAACCGATTGGGAGCTGGGACACATCAGCGGTGACGAACATGGCGGGCATGTTTAGCAGCTTAGCAGGGCCATCTCTTTCAACCAACCGATTGGGAGCTGGGACACATCAGCGGTGATGAGGATGGAACACATGTTCCACACAGCCGAAGCTTTCAACCAACCGATTGGGAGCTGGGACACGTCTGCTGTGACGCGCATGGAGTACATGTTCTGCCAGGCCGAGCATTTCAACCAACCGATTGGGAGCTGGGACACATCAGCGGTGATGGACTTTTTTTGATGTTCACCGACTTCAAGCGTTTCAACCAACCGATTGGGAGCTGGGACAGGGACTTCTCGTCTTTGAGTAGTGCAGGTTTTCGGCCGTGCCCACGTGGGATGCAACCTGTCTCTGTCAACAGCCACTTGCGTGAAGTGTGTGTTCCGCGGGGCAATACAGTCCTTCTTATTCGAGTATCTGCTACGATTGCCCTGCAGGTACCGTTCCTTCGGAAGACCGTTCCATATGCCATTACGCCTGGTGGATCTGGACCTCGCTGACCCTGGGTTTAATCTTGGTTGTTGCCTGTGGCGTGTCGCTTTGTTTGTGGCTTCGATCGCGAAGGGCCAAGAAGGCTCAGACATGCGAATCCACAGAGTCAGAGTCGGAGGGAAGTAGCTGTACAGACTGAAGCATTTTGCGGGGTGGAAAGGTGTGTAGATCTGTCTTGTTTGAATCAGCATTCGCCGCCGGCCACCTCGCTGGTGCTTGCCGAGGCGTTGTACTTAATTAGGTCTTCATCTTTTCATGTCACCCTCATAAGCAAGTTGCCTTCTTCTCAATAGAGCCAGATCCTTTCAGGTCCGGCTCAACACTTGTAAGAGTCTGGATTCTGAATTGTTCGCCTGTGCAGATTGGCGCAGCAGAACTGACTGCAAAACGCTATTGAGCTGATCGAAGTCCCTCTGAGCGCATTGCACATCATGCTTGGGACTGTACAGAGGGTCCTGGCAAGCGACCCCCCCCCCTCAGACGCAATGGTCCTAAATATTTTGTTAAAGCTTTTACAGACCCTGATAGAGCCCTAAACCCAAGCGATCTGTCTGCCTTACCTCGAAACTCCAAAGTCTCCTGATGATTATGCTCGTTGGAATTTCGGGGAGAGGTGACGTCGACGCGCGTAGTTACTTTATGTGTTGCTAGCGTTTGTGGATGGCATCATGACGAAACCTCTTAGCGTTGTTTCACTTTGCAGACTCCGAACCATATGCCTCGCCTGGATTGTCCGAGTGTGAGCGCCGAAACCCGAAACCTCAGCGCCCAAAATCCGAATGCCTTAACGACCCGAAGCCGGAGAAAGGCCGGATCTGCCCCCAAACATTGCGAGCTGCTGGGCTGAGTTTAGGGTTTAGGGGTTTAGGGGTTTAGGAATTGGGGTTTAGGGTTTAGGGTTTAGGGAAGGAATTGGGGTTAAGGGTTCGGGCCGTCAGTGTCTTGGCTTTGGATTCATGCGGCTTGTTGCCTTTTGCCTTGCACGGCCCCAGGTTCGGGGTCTAGGGCGGCGAAGGCAGTATCATTGCTTGGGTTAGCCGTTCCATGTCGAACCTGCTGCTTGGCTTCCTATCTAATACTGCAACCCTTAGCCGGAATCCTTCTAGATTTTCTCCGTGCCTACTGTCATCCCCTCAACAAGATCAGAAAGCATGGATTCAGCCTCATTCGTTGACGTGCTTCACCCAAGCCTGTGCAGAGAGCTTCCAAACCACACCCCACATCCGGCACCTGAAATCTTGCGTTTGCATCCCAAAGCTTCGAACAGGAACCTACCCGAAACACCGTATTACAGCCCATAGAACCTGCATGAAGAGCCCTTATCCGCTTTGGGAAAGCCCCAGACAAACCTCAGCTCTGGCCCTGCTCCAAACGCAAAACCCCCAACGCGAAACCCCAAACCCCAAACCCTAAACCCCATGAGAGTGAAGTCTCACTTGGTACGACTCCGAACCTACATGCCTCGCCTGGATTGTCCGAGTGTGAGCGCCGAAACCCCCAGAGCCATAAACCTAAGGCCCACAGCCCCAAGCCCTGAACCCTAAACCACCCCTGCATCCCAGGCTTCGTCGACCGCTCTGGGCCAACACTGGCCCCTGCCGTCGTGAGGTTGCTAAGCCACGTACTGAAAACACCTCACCCGTTTTAACTCCGAGGTTTCGGCCCGTTCAGGCTTCGGAGGTTTTTGGAATATAGTACCGCTATAGCCCCATAGAAACCCTTATAGATTTCTTGAAGGAGCCCTTCTAGCTCTCTTTAAGAAACCCTTATAGATCCCTTCAAAGGAACTTATTTATGGCAATTATTAGGATTTTGGGCTTTAGGTTAGGCAAGGGCTCTTTTGTCAACCCGACTCCTCAGCTCATGAAGCTCCCAGCTACACTGCATCGGCCAACGCCCAATAGTGACTCCTATTGCTCTCCGCTGACCACCCCTGTTCTCATGATCCCGCGGCCTTGAACACATTTATGCCCCTAGCACCCCCCAGAAAATCGAGAAAGCGCTCGAAGCACGGGACCATGAACCCGCAAACGTTTCAGCCGGTAACCCCGCACTTCAAGGCCCAGCCCCCCCAAATCTGCCCTAAACCCGAGAGGCAAAACCCCAAAGCCCTAAACCCTAAACTGCTAAACCGAAGGTTGATCGACTTGGTCATCGAAGATCCCCAGATGATGAGGACTATCCGGAAGATAACGGACAGTAGCAACACGGTAGAACTTAAGGCTCAGGGGCGTAGCAGCGTAGCAACACGGTAGACCTTCAAGTTATTAGGCGTTTATGGCTTTGGGGGATTAGGGCTTCCGGTTTAGGCCTTGGGAAGTGGGGTAAAGGGTGTAGGGTTTACGGATTAGGGCTTCGGGTTTAGGGTCAGGGTTAAGGTTTAGGGGTTTGGTGTTGTTATGGGTTTAGGATTTACGGAAAAGAGCAGGCAGTGACAGAGGCATGAAAGGTTCTTGCAAAAGTTCAGAGACCTTGAAAAGAGAGCTAGGGAGTTCCAGTTCGGTTCTTCTAATTTCTAGGCGCAGGGGTGTCTCCCACAAAGGGTAATCTTCACTGCTCCCAACACCCTAGGCCCTAGATGCCCTCAAGAGTTTTCGTGTAGCTTGAAATGTCTGGGGAGCCTTCTCAAAAAAGTATCCTTGAAACAAAGCCGAAAACAAGTCCCGAACCCACGTAAACTGCACAGGGGCCCATTAGAGCTGAATAGAGCTCTATACGGGCCTAGAAACACTTAGCGGATCACGGGGAGGTATTCCTAGATGCCCCGTCTTCGAACTTAAGCCCAAATTCTAGCACAAGGCAAGCAGTACGCTGCAACTCTCAACCGAAAGAACTGATGCTGCACTAAAAGGCAACACCCCCACGGTAACAAAAGTACACTGAAGCCCTAACGCGGCAAAACACCAAGATTGCCTCCGAAATCTAACCTCTCAAAGTTTCACAGCACCAAAACTACGCTCAAGCCCTAGCCCCCCCAAAAGACCAAACCTACTTCAAGGCCCCAAGCCCCAAAACTTAGCGTCCACTCTGCAATACAGTTCGTGGTCCTCGGCTTCCCCCTTGGTTCACCACCCTGCTGCTGGGAGTACCGTAGTCTACTTTAGTCGCAGTCAAGATGCGAAGGGCGAACAATCCAGACCCAGGCATTCGCGACGAGGAGATGATCAACCGGATCAAGGGCGTCGCATGTCTAAGTTACCCTGAGCCCTTAAACCTCAAACTCCAAACCCCCGAACCCTAAACCACACACCCGAAACCCGAAACTCTAAAACCCAAACCCTGAACCCAAAAACCACGTGCCGTTGAAGTAGCCGAGCTGAAATCTACTACGCAGCAAACCCCAGCCCTTGTTGTAATTGTTTATATAGGCCCATACCACGTAATGTGGACCCCTGACAAACCGACCCAGTGTTGATGCCCACTATAGTTATTCTTCATGGAGGATTGTGTATCAATCAGAAGTCTTGGAAATTCTTGAACGAAGCCCAAGCTCTAAACACCCTTGCCGGCAACAGCAAGCCCTAAACAGTCCAAGACAGTAGGTTGGAGCGAACAGATTGGTCCCCGTTTTCATCAGTATATAACTGTAGGGATATATGCCGCCCATTCTGCATGGTCCAATGGTCCCATTGAAGAAACAACAGCCACACTCATATACGGCCGTCTTCTATTTCCTAAGGCACCAAAACGCACCCCCTGAGCCGTAAACCTGAAATCCGAAACTCTGAACCTCCATGCCTAAACCTCAAACCCTAAACTCTTTCGAAACCTTGTTGCGGCCTTGGCTGCCCAAGGTCATTGAGGAAAACTTGAAGGCGTCGACAGATGAGGGGTTTACGGTTTAGGGTTTTGTGCTTAGGGTTAGGATCTTGGGCTTCGGGTTTCGGGCTTAGGGTTTACTTGGAAGGGCGGGGGACTTAGTAAGTAGGCTATAAGTAGAGTTATAAGTACCCTAAATGGAGCTACCCCAATTATAACCCTACTTATAACCTACTTACTAAGTCCCCTGCCCTTCCAAGTAGGGTTTAGGATTTTTGGGGTTTGGGGTGGAGCGCTATAATGAAATCGTTACAAAAATTCGACAACCCTGACGTTCAAAGTCCTTACTTTCTTCGACAGTAGAGGCTGGCTCCTTCTTCCGTCAGAAAGAACCTTCTGAAAGCTGCTTAGCAGCCCAATCTTTCCACCCGCCGCACAGTGAAGAGCCCAGACTAGGACGATTTTTGCTCCCAGTGACTCTGATTTGCTAGGCTAGTTTGGAGATGTTGTTGCACTACATGTTCTCCTCGTGCACCTCGTGCATTGAAAAAGTGGTCCCCTCGAAGCTAGTTGGGGAGCCTTGTTGCCTTCCAGGAGGGTAGCCTGAACGACCTCCCGCATCAAACAGAACAGTTGTTAGATCCTAGCTGCCCCAAGCCCTAAAACTTGGATACTGCCCCCACTCAGTAACAGTTGGATAATATTCATAATATAGATATACTAGGGCCTTAGTAGTAGCCCTTTTACAGACTGTTACTGTATGGGGGCAGTACCCAACCTAAAACCTTAAACACTGAATGCAGCTTGAAGGCCCAGAGGGGAAAAGGAGGGTCCCTTAATGGGGACCCCTACCCTAAAACGGACCATATAATGGGTATATAATAGCCATATTAAGGGTATCTACCTAGGGGTCCTTATTAAGGGTCCCTCCTATTACCCTTTGTACCATGCGAACCCCTATTCTGATGATTGAGGTCCCTGTATTAGACCCTCTGCAGCCTTACAATCCTATGAATGTCTTGCCATACTGAGGTAATCGCGATTTATTGTAGCCCTTATAGGACCGTGTATGTAAAAAACCGTGCAGGGGGCCCCTACAAAACCCCCATCGCAATCCGTTCTCGTTATACTATACTAAACCCTGAGCTTACTACAGAGGCCTTAGTGATTAGAGTCGGGTTTTGGGGCCATGATCTCATGATTATAATTACGAGCCGCCAAAATAGTATTGGTAATGATTTAGGCCCCCACAGTAAGCATAGTAAGCCTAATTGCAGGATGGCCAAATGTATCGTGCCGTCGGCCGCGGAGTCATGAATGCTGCGGAGCAGATCTTGGCTCGGCAATACAGGGGCCTTACTACTGTTGATGGTCAAAATCAAAATCCTGCATTACCCATCAGAAGGAATATGCCATAACTCCCATAGTTGAGGGTCCTTAAGGTGATGCAGGATTTTGACCATCAGCCGTATTTTGTTGTAGTGTTGGTGTGGTATTACAGGTGTTGGCAAGGAGGTGTTCGCGTTCCGTAAGGCTTTCAATGTAAGGGGTCTTTTGTAGGCTTTTAGAAATGAATGAGAGGCTTTTTTTCAGGACCTTGACCTTTGGAATGGGGCTCGTGGTATAGATATACGGGCATACCACGTCAACCATAGAAGCTTAATCTTCCTAGCAGCTTCAGAGCTACATAGTGAAGGGCTTATCCAATTTGTGGGATGCCTTATGGTAAGGTGCTCATCTGCGGGATCCTATTTTTATCAGAGTCTTTACTACGGCCCTTGTTTTTCGCCGAGCTCTCGACCGGAGTGTCGGGTGGGAGTGGGGTTGAGCCTCCTTGAACCCTAAGCCAGTTCGGTTTCGGGTTTCCTAACCCCTAAACCCCTAAACCCTAAACCCTAAGCCGTTTAGGGTCCTGAAATCCGAAATACCCTAAACCCTAAACTATTTCAACTGCGAGGAGGAAAAGGGCCGTTCAAAAAAAAAAAAACTATTTCGGTGTCGGGTTTTTCGAACCCTGACATCCCAAGCTCTAAACCCTGAGGCCCTAAGGATCTCTCTTGGCCTCTCAGACCTTTCGGGGCACTGGAGAAAAGGAGCTCGAAAAAAAAAAAGGATATCCCTAAACCGTAAACCCTACATCCCTAACAGACCCTATACCGTACATCCCTAAACCCTAAACCCTAAATCTCTCTTTAGGGCTTCAGGTGGAGGGTCCTTAATTGCAGAAAACCTTCTTCAGCTCGTTTCTTTGTGAGCCAAGGGGCCTGGATGGCAGGATGCAAGAGGTGGCGGTTTAGGGTTGGGTCTAGGGTTTAGGGTCTAGGGTCTAGGGTTTAGGGTTCGGGGTTTGGGGTTTAGGGTCTAGGGCTTGGGGTTTAGGGTCTAGGGTTTAGGGTTTATAGGGTTGAGGGGCGCAGACCTTAGCTCTTATGCCCGTGCATTACAAAAAATGAGCCAAGGAGCATGGACACCATGAAGGCCAAAGCCGCGCGTGCTGTCGGCCTGCGCTGAGCCCTGTTTCCCGGGCTTCGGGTAAAAAAGACCGAAGCCCTAAGCCCCAAATCACCTACCGGTTGAAGGGATTCTAGCGTTCTAGAAGATTCTAGAAAGCTAGAAAGAAGTCATCTAAGGAACCCGAAACCGGTAGGTTCTTTAGGGTTCAGGTAAGCCCTAGACTTGATGGTAGGTCGTTCAACTGGGGACTGGGACGGGCGGCCGAAGGGCAGAAATTCCGTCCAGGCCCCAGTTGAGCCATCAGGGAGTTTCCGAAAATTAGGGTACAGTACCTTATTTTGGGGTCCTTATAGTAATGATCCTACTATTTAGGGTGCTACATCAGGGTTCCCTATTTGCGGAAGCTCCCATCAGGAGGCTATGCTTCAAAGCAAGATCCGGTGCTCCGTGTGACATACTTGGAGGTTCATGGGTGGTTATGAGTGGGGTTATAAGTAGGGTAACCTTATTGTAACTCATATTCGGGGACTTCTGATCCCACTTATAACTACCCATGAACCTCCAAGTAGGGGTTGCAAGACGCGATACTGGTGATGGTACCCGGTCGTAGTCCTTAATATAATATTGTGTAAGATGCCACAAAAGCCCGAACCCTAAGCTTCCAAATTCTAAACCCTAAACTGGAACACAAGCTATATAACCCTAAATTCTAAACTGATTTTGCATATCAGGATGCCAAGTTCATGGCTATGAGACCTCCTGTGGGCTGAGGGTTGCAGATGTCCCCCAGCTCTGGGCGGAGCTTTCTTAAGCCTCGTCCTGAACCCGAACACCCCTAAACCCTAAACCCCTAAGCTTCAGCCTTGCCTGCCTGTGTGCGAGTGTGAGCGTCGAAGCCCGAAGCCTAAACACTGAAGAAGTTCAGGGTTTAGGATTTAAAGGTTTCGGGTAGATCTCCGATCGAGGCATAGCCCCCAAAACATCGTTTGAGAGCTGATCTTCGATTTTTCCGCTCCTGGCAAGCAGGAGTTGACATGCTTTCGACCCTGCGTGTCAAAGTTCACTTCCAGGCTTTACGACGACGTGACGACTTCAGTTCCTGTAGTTTATTAAATTTTCTTTTGGGGTTAACTTGTGAACCACTGCCATGCTGCGGACGTCTCGATGTGACAACGCGGTAGGCGAATACGACGGAGCCGTCGAGACCCGATCACAGAACCCTCAACCTTATACCATTAATCGTTACACCTCTTCATGTGATCCTAAACCTTGAACCCCGATGACGCCTTACGCCTCAAACCCAGTGAAACCTTAAACCCCCAGGCCTAATGAAACCCGAACCCAGAGACTCCAATATCCCTTAATTAAGGAATATACCTTAAATTATAATCGGATCCTTAATATGATTTAAGGAAAATTCCTTAATTAAGGGGTTCAGGGTCTACCTTAAATTGTAATAGGATCCTTAATATAGGAAAATTCCTTAATTAAGGGATATTGGAGTCTCTGGGAAACCCTACGTCCGGCCCCTGCGCACGTGCCGCACTCCGGAGACGGCTCGAGAACCGTCCTGGCCAAGCCCGGAATCGTCTGTGACGCTCTCACGGACTCCTGGGGGATTTTCGAGTTTGGGGTTTAAGGTTTAGGGTTTGGGAGTCTGCTCAGATAGGCAGTGCTGCTGAGTCTGCGTTCAAGAAGTGTTTGGGAGGTTGGAGTTTATGTTGGCGGGTTTTTTTACAGCTTTGGGTTGAAGGCTTAGTGTCTTCGGACTAGAGATCGCGGGACGAAGTCGCGGACGTGGGACTGGTCCCATCCGATCCCTAAACCCTAAATCCGAAATTTCCTACAATCCCCACAGCCTAAGCCCTAGCCTTCGCATGTGGACCGGTGATTGATAACTTCCATTTGCTTCATGAGGGTTGAGGGATATGACAGGATCGGCCTCCTAGCCTCCTAATTCCTCAACCCAAAGTTTAAACCCCGAGATGGCTCCAAGGGTTGGAAGAATCATGGATGCAGGGATCAGATCGGACGCCGCGGATATGTGAGAGATGCTAAGGTTTTTTTGGCAAAATGCCTGCCCAACCTGGGCTGAGATGCCTAGGAGACTAGTGCAGACTCAAAAATTAAAACGGCCCTGGAACAAAAAAACAAGTAAACCCCAAGTCCGAAACCCCAAACTCCAGCAAGAAAGTATCCCTTGAAGCCCCTTCTGAAACTGAATTTGGGAATTCTGGTCAGAATTCTTAAAGGGGCTTGAAGTCTCCAGAAGATAATCAGCTTGTTCATCAGGAGTGGCGGCCCCACCCCGAACCTCCCCTCCCCAAACCAAACCAAAGCTCTCCAAAAAGTGGCTGAGTTGGAGAGATACAGAGAGGGCAGCGCTATGGGAACTGTGGCAGTTCCTGATTATGGGTAATGCAGGATTTATCTCATCAACAGTAGCACTTTCAGCTAACCCTACGAGACTACCCAATATCAGACAGGCAAGAGGTAATATTGACCATGCTGCTTTTCTGAGTTAACGAGAGCAAAGCCGCAGGGCTTGACGGCAAAGTGGAGTAGGGATACTATCGGGGCCTTAAAAATTGACTTTGCTATTCTGGGGGTTCCTTCTTGTAAGTATGGATTAATGCACAAGTCCTGATGCAAAAAAAGTATGGATTAATATGCCCCAAAACCTTGTCTAATTATTAAGGTCCCTTTGGGGCCACGCCCAGTTTAGGGCTGCAGATTGTCTCTGCCATAGGGGTATTTTGAGCAGGATTTTAGTGTACAAAGATTCTACCAACTAGTCGGACCTCCACATGACTCATGTTCAAGTTTCTGGTTCTGGGTGCCTTCCGGATTTTGCGACCTGTCCGGAGGACGCATTGCAGAATGGAGATGATCCTCGTCAGCAATGATGCTCCTGACCGCCCCCACTTAAGCGCGAAGCCTCGGAATCCCAAAGTCTAAACACCTCGAGTGACGGCACAAGCGCCCAGAGAAGGGCCCGAGTCAATATCCCGCGACCCTCGACCCGGAGGGTTCTTCGTGAGGAGCGTAGGAGAGCACTTGGTTGGCTTGATATCCCCACTATGGTGACTCAAAGTCCGTTCCTCGGCAAGAACATAGGCAAGCGTCTGAACCCCTGAGTCCTGCTTGCTTGGGTTGGTTACTTGGTGCACGGTTCGTAGTCCTGCATGGTCTGGAAGTTAATTTGAAGGTTGGTGCTTCCGAGTCCGCAGCCAGTGGTGTTTTTAGGGAACAAAGTATACCATGTTTCCCAGTATACCCTTTTGCACTTTTTATTTGTAGGATTCCCAGGGGAAAAAGGACACCCCTATATTTGACCAAAAGAAATCCGAATAAGGGGGCACAGGGGGACCTCGCGTAGCGTCGATAATCCTTCAAGGCGCCTCTTTCCTGCGTGCCCCGAGACTCGCAACGGAGAGCCGCAAACTCGAAACCTTTTTTTAAACACCCTAAACCCCAAACTTTGGGGTTTAGGCTTTAGGGGTTTAGGGGTTTAGGGGTTTAGGGGTAGGGTTGAGTGCTTGGGTTTTACCTCAGCCCTAGCTTCGGAGAGAGGTCCACAGCTAAGGTTTGAGACGTCACGCGCATGGCCGAAGCTTTCAAATGTCCACGCACCCCCTCCCCCAACCAGCCTCTCCACGCACAAGGAGTCCTTCGCCTGAGAACCTCGCAGTTGGGACATATGGGTGGTTGTCAAAACTACTTTTTGGGTACACTAAATATTAGGTGCCGTACTGTAATAAGGACCCCCAAACGGACCATAATTTTGACAACCACCCACATATAAAGGGCTTTTACCAGGTTTCACCAGCTTTTTACCACCACTCATGGAGGCATGTGCTCTGGACTGTCCCTCGCGATGACTTAAGGGTACCTTCCTCCATCACACCAGTGTGGAGTCTGGACTCCGGTTGGTTTCGGGTTTTAGCGTTTCGAATGCCTGGGAGAGAGAGAGAGAGAGAGAGAGAGAGGGTTTAGAAAGAAGGGTTTTAGGGTTTAGTGCGGTTCACCCGAAATCCCCAACCGTGAGCCTGAAGGATGAGATGAAACGTTTGTTGGCCCTGGCCCCGCGGCTGAGGTTTCAGTAACCTTGGATTTAGGTACTGCCCGCTGACAGATAGTAGGGCTACTATTAAGGTCCTAATATATCTATATTATGAATATTATTCAACGATTACTGACTGGGGCCCGTACCCAACCTTAAATCCTTTAACCTAAACCCTAGGCCCTGAACCCGAAGCCTTCCACCATACTCCCCGCATAACTAGCATGCACTACCCAGAGACTCCAATATCCCTTAATTCAGGAATATACCTTAAATCATATCAAGGATCCTATTATAATTTAAGGTATATTCCTTGATTAAGGGATATTGGAGTCTCTGGGTACAGCGCAAAGCTTTCACGCAGCCCTCGAGGCGCCAGCATGGCGCAAAAGGCGGCAAGGACGGCAAAGGCCTTAAGGGCGCGGGTCGCGATCGAGGACGGGCTCATGCCTATGCCTGCCTGTAGCCAAAAGTAGTCATTTTGCAACATAGGGTTTAGGATTTAGGAATTGGGGCGAAGAGTTAAGGTTTAGTCGTATGGGGTTAGGTACCTGTGCTGCTTTTATTCTTGCATGCTGAGACCTTTAGACATTTCGCCAGCATCCGTGCCTGCCTTGAATGAGTACACCCGTCGAAGCCCACAGAAGCCTAACCCCCACACTCTATAAGCCCTAAGCCGACCGAATGCACTGCAAGTTTGCAAGCCCTAAGGCAAGCTCATGGCTCCAAGCGGATTTGGGCTCGAGGGCTTTTCGGGTTCAGGGCACTAGGGTTTTGGGTTTTGTGGTTTAGGGCTTTAGGGATTGTAAGGTCCCGGTTTAGGGTTTATGTTGCAAGCCAGTTGCAAAGGGTTTAGGGTTTTGAGTTTTATGGTTCAGTTTAACTTGACGGTTCAAGATTCGCAGCAGGACAGTCCGGACCAAGATTTCCAGGTATCGACCAGTGCCCTTGGCTGCAGACCGCAGCTTCGGGATTCCAGACATTAGGGGTCTATTAGGTACGGCCCCCATACAGTAAGAGTCTGTAATAGGGCTACTATTAAGGTCCTACTATATCTATATTATGAATAGTATTTAGCTATTACTGAGTGGGGGCCGTACCTAAGGGGTCCAGCGCTTTCGGGAGCTTTGGGATCCAATGGTTGAAAGGTTTCAAGGTTTATAGGGGTTAGGGTTCATGGCTTGGGGTTTTGGGTTTAGGGTTTGTGGTTTGGGAGTTTTGGGTTTAGGGCTTATTCTTTGGGGTTTTGGGTTTAGGGCTTATGGTTGGGGGTGTTGGTTTTAGGGCTGATGGTTTGGGGTTTAGGGTTTAGGGTAGGGGGTTTACGCGTTTAGGGTTTGGGCGTCAAGAGCTACGCCAACAGCCAGACCAGACCCGGGGGGAGCCTATCGGGCCCATGTTTCAGGGCCTTACCTGGGAGTTTCCGAAAACTAGGGGTACCTTGTTTTGGGGTCCTTATAATAAGGATCCTACTATTCAGGGTGCTGTGTTAGGGTCCCCTATTTTCGGAAACTCCCAGCATAGCAGCCCTTCATAGGCTCAGGTCTCATTTTTAAGCTGAGGTTATCATCTGGGTAGTTCTCTAAACTAAGGGTTCTCTGTCTCAGGATGCCGCACTATGTTGGGACCCAAAAGGGGCCCTAATTTGGAGAACTACCCATCTGGCTGTTTTGGAAGCTCTGAACTCTGAAGCCGTGGATGAAACCCCATTGTCACCAGCGCCTGGCAGCAGAGGCTCGTGCTAGACGAGCTGACTCGCATTCTGGCCCCTCGCCCAGCAGTTGAGGAAGGGCAGCCCCCCTTTAAGTCGATTTCAAGCTTGATGCTCAGGGGTTGTAGCTCGGTCTTTTTCGTGTGGCAGTCCGAGAAAAACGGGGAGAGCATGGGGTGAACCCCTGCAAGGCCGTTTATCACCGTAAGTAGGCTTAGGACTTAGGGGTTGGTGTACGGGTTCTGGGTTTAGGGCCTAGGGGTGTGAACTTCGAACTAGAAGAGGGATACCTGGACAACGAGTTGTGTGTAAGGAGCTCGGCGGAGTATGCATGCTTCTGCGTTAAACGGTATTTTAAGATCCACACCCTGGCACCCCACAAGTGAGGGTGGGGATTAGAAAAAAACAGGTGTTCGGGCAGAGGGGATGAGAGCCGATGCATGCTGAAAACCCTAGGGAATTGCCGAGATCGGTGTCTCCAGGTTTGCTTTTTCAAAGCGACGGCTATCTGAGGATTTGGGGGAAAACCGACACTGTAAGTCAAAAGTCCCCGTCCAACACCCTAAATCCCGAACCCGTGAAACCCCAAAACCCCAAGCCCGAAAACCAAGACCTCAAAGCCCAAACCTGAAAAGACCCATGTGGAGCCTTGCTGCCTTGTGCGAGTGTGAGCGTCGAAAGGACCCGTAGCTCCTGAATCCTAATCTACCAGACCCAGAAATTCCCGAGCGCCAGATGTCGTTGATGCTTCAGGAATCTGGCGGCTGTCCTTGCGTACAGGCACCTGATTTTCTTGTCCTGACTTCTGGTGTTACTTTTCTTCAGTTGCACATCTTAAGACCCAGTACAGTCCAATACCCAATAGCCCTCGGACTTACATCCTAAAGTGTCAGCTCTAGAAGCCGTAAACCCCGCTAGCCCTAAGCCCCACATTTTCGAACTTTGAGGTGTAAACATCAAATTTCCTTAGCCCCCTTGAAATTGCGTTAATCCCAAAAGGGTCATCCCCGAAGCACGAAGCACGCCCTGACCTCGAGCCCTTGTCCTTCAAGCCTAAACAGGGATCTCGGGTTGATTTCTTTTGCAAGCACGGGCGAGTGAAGTGTGAAGGAGGAACGTCAACTGTCCTTCCAAAATCTCTATCCGATTGAAAATGACACCCCGTCAAACCTGCAAGTCGAAACCCGCAATCCCTGCGTACCGAGAGACCTCGTCTGGTTGAGTCCGAGCTGCGAGAGCATCAACCCCTAAACCGTGAAAAAGCACAAGGCCGCGAAGCCACGCCGAATCCCATTCTCAACCCCTTACGCCACCTCTGAGCCCCAAGAGGCCCCGGCTCTAGAGCATAAACTCCAAACACCAGATGCTAAACCCTGAACCACTAAACCCTAAACCACTAAACCCCTAAACAACCCCAAACAGAAAACCGAGAGGGGTCCACAGCTCGGAAGGACTTCAAGCCGTTCTTGGCTGCACACTTCGGCGCGGACCGGCTTGAAAAAGCGTGGCACTTCGATCAAGCTGCGAAGGTCGCCTGTCGTCCGTGGGTTGTGAGGTTCTTGTACATACTAAGTCGTGTGTAAGGTTTCTGCATGGGGTTTGTGAGGTACGTGCGTACCCCTTTCCGTCAAGGTTTCCTCTTGACCGTACCGGCACTTTATATGTCTTGGATTGTACAGCACTTCTGATCATTTATCTGACGCGCCTTCCTTACTTCAAGCTTGGATGCACAACATCTTCTGCACGCGCTCCGGGCAGTCTTCTGGCCGAACCTGCAACTAAACGCCTGAAGCGACTCTATCGCACGGGGTTGCCATTGATAAGAACCACAAGTGAGGATTACTATACGGGTTTAGGGGCTTTAGCCCTGATCTGATCCCTGAAGCAAACGCCTAACAGACCTCAGCACTACGGGGTTGCCGGTGATAAAGATCAAGGTGAGGATTACTATACGGGTTTAGGGGCTGAAACCCTGATCTGATCCCTGAAGCCTGGTCAAACTGCATGTAGCCGCGGGGCCCGGGGGCCTTGATGCCTTTGGCTCCTGAAAACCAAGGAATAGTTGTATATACTGCACTTACTACTGCTGCGACGAATAATAATAGCACTGTACTGCTAATACTATCAACTCTGCTGATACTACTAATACTGGTGCCCAGATAGCCCCGTGCTGCGAACTCCTCCGCCCTCGAAGGCTAAAGGTTTAGGGTTCCGGGCACACCGTCCGAAACGTAGGCCTCATGCTCATAACGCCAGCCCTGAGCTCCAGGCGGATCTAGCTGTAGAGAGCTTTGGGGCCGTAAGGTTTCACTCACGCATCCCACAATTACCGAGACTTGCAGGGTAGTTCTCTAAATTAGGTACCTTTCTGGTTTATGGAGGTGCCATACAATTTTTTGGAATTACACAGGGACCCTCATTGAAGAAGAGTTAACCGTGAAAGCTGACGGATGGTCACCAAGAGCCCGCAAGCTTAAGGTTGACGCCTTGTAGTTTAGGGTTTAGGGGTCTAGCAGACTTGAGTCCAGTAGCAAAAAGGGTTTAAGATTTAAGGATTTCAGATTGGGGGCTTACGGTGTAGACTCGGTTTTCTGGGTATATCATAGTAAAGTTGTTGTTAAATCCAGGAAACCCTGAGGAATAATACTGGGAATTCCTGTAAGGGATCCCCTCAATATGGCACTCAAAAGAAGGGGCTTATCCGTCATTGGGAGTCTCCTGCTTGAGCGGGGTCTGTGTAGTCCGTCACGCACGCCCAAGGGCAAAGCGGTCAACGACTTCCAGAGTGCTGGAACGCCGGGGCCGGACACGGACCTCGCCGACGATCAACAAATGGCGGGAGGCTTCCGCGAGGACTCCAAAATCACCATCACCGTGGACGCCCGGCCAGATCCAAGGCGCCTGGGTTTGGTCGGAGGTGGCGGACCACATCCACGTTCACCCGGCCTGCTGCCTTGGCCGCCTTGGACTCGCCAAGGATGGGCTGGAGGACGTGGAGGGCTTGCAGGCCAGAGCCACCCGCCACAACCTTTCACGCCTCACCCTAAGCCCCGTGTCTTCCTCCGCACAGGCTTGGAAGGACCGAGGCTTCACACCAACTGCGGGGGATCCCGATGGCTGCGGGTCAAGCCATTTCAGTGCATCAGTTCGACCTGGAATACGCCTTTGCCATCATGGCATCAAGCAATCGAAAGTTATCCAGCTGCATCGCCTACAACATTAGGATGGCCAAGCGTACTGCATGCACGGAAGCGGTTGATCATTTGTGGAGCGCACCGTACAGCTTGACAACGGGAACGTCACAGGCAGAGACATCAGTTTTTCCGAAGGCTGTAGAGGAGCATGTGCAAATCCGCAGGTTATCTCACTGGCAGATGGTGTCTTGGCATACCTGAGCACGCCCGTGTGGAGATGAAAGCTGAGGATCGGAGTTTGATTGTCTGTTCCTCACAGGCCGCCGAAACTCGAACCGAGACGCGAATGTACACGGAGAGCGAGTGCCAGCACTGGTCAGAGAAATTGGTGGCGCATGTTTTGGAAGATGCGGTCAAACAGTTGGAAAGCCAACTGGACCAGAGGGAAAGACATTCTCCTGCGGTGGTTGGGTCCTATGTCAGCTCTCACGACATCAGTGGCCATGGGCAAGCTTTGCCGGCCCAAATAGGTGGGTCTCCGACCGGCTTTGTTTTAGGAGAAGATGGTGCCTGAACAGATTGCTTTTACTTTTGATCAACTTAAGGACCAGCACATAGGTCATCGCAAGGCCCTGAAGCACCAACGGCGGGAAGCAAGGCAAATTCATCAAGATGAGAATGCCGAGTAGTGCACTTCCAAGGTGAACATGACAGGCTCATCATTCTTTGTCAGTGATTTCGTGCTGTGTCTGGCCTTGTTCAGAGACCAGGTGCGACACATCCAGGCGGGCTTCACACAAGCCTGTGCAAAAAAAAAAGGGTCTAGCAGACTTGAATCCAATAGCAAAGTTGGATCTCGAATAGAGATTTTGGGCTTAAGGTTTTCAGTGCAGGGCTTTGGGTTCAGAGTACGGATTTTGGGTTTAGTGTTTAAGGGCTTGGGGTGTAGACTCGGTTTTCTGGTTATATCATCCTAAAATTGTAGTCAAATCCAGGAAGCCCTGAGGAACAATATTGGGAATTATTCAGGCTCCTGTAAGGGATCCCCTAAATATGGTAATGGAAAGAAGGGGCTTATCCATCATGGGAAGTCTCCTGCTTGAGCGGGGTCTGTGTACTTCCGTGACTCTCCCAGGCAGCAGAAAAAATCCTGGCACCACTTTGCCCTAAAGCCTGTGCGACGTTTGGATCCCAGGGAGCTGGCGCGGTCTCTTTCTGAGCACTAACAAAGCTAGCAGGAATCTCTGGCCTTGCAATCCGAAACTCCACACCAAGCCCGATGCGCAAACTATAAGATAAACTCCAAGCTGCAAAATCCATGTACAACCCCGTATGAACCTCCTGAAACCCGCATGAGTTCAAGGCAAAACCCGGTGAACACCTTTTGAAACTTTTGAGTTCCTAGAAAGTCTCTGGTGTTGCTGCTCCAGGAGAGTTCAGTCTTGACAAACTTAGTGCAGAAGGAGCAGGAGCTTTAGGGTTTCGGGATTTGAGGGGTATGAGTGTTGTGGGTTTGAGGGCTTTGGGATTCAGGGTTTCAGGGCTTTAGGGTTGAGGATAATAATGAGGTTTTGGGGATTCAGGTTTTCAGGGCTTTAGGGTTTAGGGCATGCACAAGTCTGCGCAAAGGAGCGCTTAGGGTTCACGCTAGAAAGCTTGATGTTTAAGTTGCCGTAGCGGGGCCAGCATGTTTCTCAAGCATATCGCCCATTGTTAGTGCCAGCCAAGCGTCCCAACAGTTACTTCGGCCAGAGTCTAGCAGTGGGCTTCGTCAGTTTGGGGCCAGCTTACGCCCTTCAAACACTCAAAACCTAAAGTTCGGAACCCCATAAGCCACAAAGCCCTGATCTATGAATCCTGATTCCTAAATCCCACAAGCTTGCCCCGAAGACTGAACGCATGCCTGTAATATAGGGACCCACGAAATCGCAAGAGTATTCATATGGGTACGCTACTGTAATGATAGCACGATACCTCCAACCCCACCTTGGCAGCTCCAAGTACGAAACCTGCAACCCTTCCAAGCTTCTAAACAGTAGTATACATGGACAGTCTTAGTTCACCTCGTCCTTAAAACCTCGGTTCTAAGGCTTAAAGGGAGACCTGGCACAAATTCTTTATCGTTCTTTGAGGGCACTTTGGGGCTTCAGGTTTGACATCAAGGTTTTGGGTTCACGTCCCTCGGGCCGGAAGCCGCTGGAAGGCGTTGGGTTAATTGCTCTTTTTTGGGTGGTTGAGGGAACCCTAAAGCCCTATGCTCTTTTTTGGGTGGTTAGAGGAAACCCTAAAACCCAAAACCCACCCTAAACCCTAAACCCCAACCCCCTGGACCCCAACCCCGGGCTCCAGACTGTTCAAAAGCCTTCGCACGTAGCTGGGCTTATGCCCTGACACGTGACGCGTTAGAGCTCTAGGGTTTAGTTATTTGGGGTTCGGGGTTAAGAGTTTCAGGGTCAGTTCTGAACCTCGCAGAGCTCTATCCCCAGGCGCTCCGGCAGTTTCTCCTCTCGCTGAAGGCGCTCTGCCCCGTCTGGGCTGTGAGGGACGCTGCCGCTGGCTCTGACGATTTTGGAAGATGCTGTGATAGCTCAAATCCATTTGGTGTAGGTAGCAGCTTCAGCCTCAGGTTTAAAGTTAGAAGATTTCACAAGCTATGATACTGTCTTGCAAAGCAGAGGTTGATGAGGCTTCAGCAGAGACTTTTGCTGCAGTGCTTCAGCCGTTCATTCCTAAGAAGGCTACTCGGACACGTCCATTTTGACACAGCCCTGGGCCCAAACCCGAAACTGGAAGCCTTGAACCATGAGACCCTAAGCCCTATTCAGGGAACCCAACATGTTTTGTCAGGGGAGGCGACACGAGAAGAACATACAAAACAGAGCATCCTGGGTTCCGGGTACAACTCAACCCGAAAACAGCGTAGAACTAGAAGCCCGCTGTCGCACCGAAACCCAATGCCACTTCGGCCCAACTACTGGCGCATTCGACAGAGGGACCAACATGCCTTCCCCCAAGTACTGACCAAGAGCGATGAACAAAAACACACAGGATCCTCACAGAGGCTGCGGAAATGGAGCCCTGCGATGTGCTTTCACCTAAAACCCAAGAACTCCAAAGCCCTAAACCCTAAGCCCGAAACCCTAAACCCTAAACCCTAAGCCCTAAATCCTAAATCCTAAACCCTAAACCCTAAACCCTAGACCCTAAACCCTAAACCCCTAAACCCTAAACCTTTAAATCCTAAACCCCTAAGCCCTGAACCGAACTGCCAAGGAGAAGGCCTTCCTTGCCTCCTCCTTCGTCAGGCCGGGTATGGGGCAGGGGGGGGGCCTGGGCCCTTGGAGAAAGGATCTACTGCAGGAGCCTGAAAAATTAATTATGCGATTTTAAAGGTTCCTTTTGTTGGGGTCAGCTACGCGCTTACAAACCCCAAAACACTATTCTATTCATTAAGACTCAGGCCCCTGTATATAGTGGTTTAAGGTTTACGTCCCGGATGGAGACACAACACGCTAGATGCAGGCTGCGGGTTTAGGATTTCGGGGTTTCGGATGTGGGCTTCATAGGAGTTTCCGAAAATTACGGGTTCCCTATTTTGGGGTCCTTTTTTGCAGGATCCTACTGTTTGAGGTGCTATACTAGGGTACCCTAATTTCGGAAACCCCCATGTGGGCTTCATAGGATGCGGGCTTCAGGTTGATCGGTTTGAGGCGGACTTCCACAAGCCCAAGAATCTGCCCCAAGCTTTACTCGCAAACCTTAAGCTCTTAAACCCTGAGCGAAAATAGGCTCAATCCTTGCCTGGAACCCAGAAGTCACGCTTTTTGTAGAGGCTACGCCCTAAACTCTGGATCCAAACCTGAACCTAACCCTTGCACCCACCCAATCTCTCCAAATCCCTTCGGGTGATTCGAAGATTGCTTTCTTGGTGCCGTCATGTTTTGTTGTTTCGAAGACGCGGGTTTGCGAGTTTAGAGTTTGTGCTTGTAGAACTTTGAGGGTTTCAGGTTGTTGGTTTTGACATCAGGGCATGGTCTAGGGTTCAGGGTTTGCTTTAGGGTATGGGGTATAGAGTTTAGGCTGGATTTAGGATTTAGCAAGCTTTTGCTGAGCTGTCAGTTTTCATGGCTCTGCTTCGTTTGCTTTCTTCGTACAGTCTTCTCGACTTCGAGGTAAATGCACACACAGACCTGTAGGCCTTAAACCCTAAGCCCGGACCCCTCAGTCCTGAAGTTTAATCAGAATTCTCAACCCTAAACCCTACCCTGAACCCTAAACCCTAAACCACAGAACCCTAAACCCCTGAAGTGGCGCTTCTATGCCCTCAGGAAGAGGTACGACGTCAAAGAATGGCCGAGCCTTATGCTGCTTTGCCGATAGTTATGGGTTGATTTACTGTAGGGGCCTTAATAATTACCTGTACTATTTTGGGGTTCCTTACTATAATTACAGTATAATGGGGCCCAAATCCTATTCCAATTATTAAGGCCCCAACTACATGAAGGGTTCCTGTAAGGGTTCCTTTGTGGAAGTTTAGTTGCACTGACCCTTAACCCCTAAGGCCTCCGTAAACTCTCAACCCCAAAATCCATGTCTTTGGGCCCCAAAACCTACAACCTAAATCCTTAGCCCGTAACCCCAGTGCTCTATACCCTAGACCTTAAACCCTAAACCCAAACCCTTAAGCACAGAACTAGGAGCCCTGTCCGCAAGCCCTTTTTGCAGGTGTACTTGCGAATGGACGTGGGGAAATATCCTGAAATAGGGGCTTGGGCTCCGAGATGGAGATGGGTCCCTGAAGCCCCTAAACCCTAAACCTTAACCCCTAAACCGCTCAACCCTCAGCCCTTGCCCAGAACCCTAACCGCGCCTTCAAGGAGCACCTGAACCCCGCAGGTCCCCCAAAATAGGGATATCCCATATAAATCCCCTTATAATGAAACCCAGCAAGGTAGGGATATCCCCATAAAATGCTTATGCTTATGTGCTTTTTGGGGTCTCTAGTCGGGAATTTGGAACTCCAAGCGATGAGGCCGAAACCAACACCGAACGTAGCTGAAACCTCAAAGAAGGCCAGACCCTAGCAGTAAAACAACTCTAGACCCTCAGGTAGGGGCCCTGATGCTCAGAATAGGGTTTGGGGGTAGATTCGACGATAGCTCTAATAAGGAACCCCCCCAAACCCTATTCCAATTTTAAGGTCCCCCCCTAGAGTACGCCCAGTCTGAGAGTCTTTGAGGTTGACAGGCACCTCTCAAATCCAGAACCCCCGCCGCGGTGTAGGGCTACCTCCGTTGAGTGAACCGAAGTGCGCACCCTCACAGCCTAAAGCACCAGAAGTCTTAAAGCCCAGAGTGCGCCCTGAGCCCTAGCCCCGTCTGGAGACCAGTTCCGGAAGGATTTCAGGTCCATGTACGCAACACGGATCGAAGCTCTACACCCCACAGTGTGCTGCGCTTACTCCTGGGATCTAAACACTCCACCCTACAAGACCCACCCCCGAATCCCCTTATACTATTCAAGGCTCGGGCCATCTCTTGCGCTGCACCCGGTCCTTAGCGAGCTTTTCTGGGAGTTCGGCGACGCCCAAGCGATGCCAGGGCAGCAAGCAGGTAGCTGCTAGCAGTACTCACCCGAGTCTCATGAACACCAAAACCAGGCACTCTAACCCCTAGGCCTCCACACATGCAACCCGAGGCATCAATCCGACAAACCTCAAAGCTGTGAACCCTAGTGGCTTCCGAAACGGCTCTCCCGCTCATTGTAAGGAAGGCTTAGGAAATCTGAGCCCTGAGCCGGCAAGCCGGGCTTGAGGGTTCACTGTCTTTACAGCCGCCTTTGTTTTCTGAAGGCTCGGGCTTTGAGAATCTTCAGGGCATTGAGTTAGCAGGTTTTCGAGTTTGGGGTGTAAGGCTTTGGTAGAAAGTGCCACTGGGGCATGATGCTTTGTCGGTTTAAGGGTTGAAAGCTCTGAGCTTATTCCAGACTTTGAAAGGGAGCTGCGTCTCCAGCGGTTTTGGGGTTTCGGCTCCGGTTTAGGGTTTAGGGTTTTGGGTGGCAACAACATCGTCAAGCTTTACTGTGCGAGTACGTGGATGCGCATCAGTATTCTATACTTGAACAGATGGTGCAGTGATTGCGATTGTTCTTTTCTCTCGAGGGATCTTCAGCTTAAGCTTCAGTCAGTGGTCTTCTACAGCTTTTCCTTCGAACTCTGGCCTTAAAACGGGGCTACGAGTTTCGTGGGCGCTGGCCGGCACCTCAGTCCGTGCTGAAAAAGGGTTTTGGGTTTAGGGGTCTGGTACATTGCCGATACCGGTGGGTCAAATCCTCGCGTCCGTCTTTGGCCAACACCCCAAGGCACAGACGTAACCAAACAGAAGCTTCAGTCGGAGGCCAAGATTCAAAACCGCCCCATCCCAGATCCTCCAGAGCTTCTTATTACTATAGGGTCTTGAAGAACTGCCTATACTATTTTGGGGTTCCTTCTTATAAACATAGAAAATTGGGCCCCAGAACCCTATTCTATTATCAAGGCCCCTGTACTACCAGTTCATGTATACGCTAATGCACCCAAAATCCCAGTCCAATGATCAAGGGCAGCAGGTCCGTTCCTCCGTTTAAGCTCACACAGCCACTGCGAGGAAGTGGCAGACCTTCCACACTGCCTCTGCGCGCGCGGAGGATGGAGCTGAGGCGAGCTAGAGGGTAGCTGTTCTTGTGAGTTTGCTAGTTTTGCCTCAGGGCTGTTGTGGGTTTACCAAAAAGTTTTGGGTTGCCCTAAACCTTAAACACTCCAAACCGCAAGCGCCTGAAATCCTAAACCAGAAAATTGGTGATGGGGCCTGGGCGCAAAGCCCAGTGAAACCTTCACCCCCCGGGCCAGTTCATGGAAAGACTATGCAGTTGAGGCACCGTTTGGGATGGCCTCGAAACGATCCGGCCACCATAGCACACCTCTATCCCCTAAACCCTGAACTCTAAACCTTAAACCCTCAACCCTGCTGTCCTGGCGCGTGCGCCTCTCGGAGACCTTCGGGCGTCCGCAGAAAAGGAGCCAAACAAAAAAAAAAAACCCAAAACCCTAAACCCTACACCCTCAACCCTGAACCCTAAACCTTAAACCCTAAACCTTAAACCCTAAAACCTAGACCTTAAGCGCTAAACCCCGAACCCTAAAACCCGCGAGAAGCCCCGGGTCGGTGAAGCCTCGGAGGTGGCCGGGAGGCGACTCCTCGCTGGCGCGGAGGTCGGGGCCGGATTCGGGGCTTGGGGTGGTAGGGTACCCAGAGACTCCAATATCCCTTAATTAACGCGCAAGCCTTAATTAAGGAGTATTCCAAAAGTCATATTAAGGATCCGATTATAATTTAAGGTATATTCCTTAATTAAGGGATATTGGAGTCTCTGGGTAAAGGGAGGGTTTAGGGTTTAGGGTGTAGGGAAAGTGCAGGGGTTGCAATTGAGGGTAAGGAGCGTCTAGGGTCTAGGGGAGGTTTAGGGATTGCAATCCTTAGCCACAAGTCTTGGAGAGGACTTTTGTAGCTTTTGGGGTTTCGAGTGCCGTTGTAGGTTTAGAGGGTTTGGAGGTTTTGGGGCTTCAGGGATCTAAGGTTGGGTTTAGGGTTTAGGATTTTGAGTTAAAGCAGGTTTTGGAGTTTAGTTTGCGACGGGTTTCGAGTTCTCGTTTCGGGTGGAGGATTTCGGGGCTTTCGGATTTAGCCTTGTGGCATGCTGAGACAGGAGTTGAAGCATTGACGGTTTTGGGAAAGGGACGGGATACAGTAGATACAGTAGACGCCTAAAAGTTGGAAACCCAATAGCCTCATTCCTTAAGAGTAATGTATCGGGAATCCCAGCACTATTTGGCCTTAATCCGGTTTCCAACTTTTTTGGGGCTTACTATAACCCTACAAGCAGAAAGCAAACAGCCTGTGGTGGAGCAGCTCCCGGGGACACTGCCTGCAAAATCTGTTGGAATGCAACTGCAGCTGAGGGAAAACGGTTTCCTATCAGGCAGCTTCTGGCGGAACAGGAGGACCAGTTGCTTGCCTTTCTTGCAGGGATGTGGCGCGACTAAGAGAGGAGCGGCCCGGTCCTCTGCCCTTGAAGCCAAGCTGGCGCTTGTGCGGCAGATGTCGCAGCACTGCTATGAACGAGAGGTCCGGGGACCGTGGCGGCCGGTAAAGTGCTGGCTGCGCAGGGGCTTCTCCGAAGAGGAGATCAAGAAAGCTCCTTCCGAGCTTCTCCCTAAGACCATAGGCCAGGACAAGCTTCGGAAGGACCGACGTCTTCGTCCCTTTCAAGTTATTACTTTAACCCAATCCGCAACAAGCATAGTGTGAAACATGAGGGGAAAAGCACAGGGAGCGATCGGTGTGTCGCAGTGCGAACGAATATGGTCATACGTATTCGCAGCGATAGAACAGAGAAATAACGGCAGCATCGCCCGCAACAGTCACAGCAATAATCAACGCGAAAGCTGCAAACACCAAGCTGCAACCCAGAAAGCCCCAAGCAACCAAAGAAGCCAAATTCCAAAGCCGGTAACCCTAACCCTAAACCCTAGAACCGAAACCAACCACCCGACAACCTCAAAAACCATGCTGAGCTGAGTCTTGAGGTTTCCGATTGCGGTCTTGAGCTTTATGACCAGGTTTGAATTTCGGCAACAGGTTCGTTCAATGATAGAGCTAGACTAGACCCTACAACCGTAGATAGGATTCCGCTAGGGGTGTGGGGTCTTATCAGTTTCAGGCCAGCGTATGGGTTTTAGTGTTCAGGGCTTTCGGTGTTGGTGTCTTAGGCGGTATCATTTAGAAGCTGCCCCCACCATGTAATAGTGGTATACTAGGAATATATTAGTGCCCAATTATATTCCTTACCACCATTACAGGGCCGGGGGCCCCTTCTAAGGTACCTTAAACCCTAAACCCTTTTGCAGACTCGAACTCATATGCCTCGCCTGGATTGTCCGAGTGTGAGCGCCGAAACCCTAAACCCCATTCAGACTTTTTTGGGGTGAAGTTTGGTCTACGAGCGTCAGGCACAGGGCTGCGGCCGAGGACTCCAGAGAGGTTTTGCTTCAACCCGCAGGGTTTTAGGGGTTTGGGGGTTTAGGGATTTAGGGGGTTTGGGGGTTTGGGGGTTTGGGGGTTTAGGGGTTTCGAAACCCCAAGGCCAAGACCCTTGAAGGTTGAAGGCGCATTCATATCCCCGAGTTCTTGAACATAGGAATCCCGTTGCGGGTGTCCGGCTGGGGGATGCTACTCTAGACAACCTGTATATCCGAGAGCCCGAAAGTCTCACACCCTACGGTTTAGGGTTTAGGGTTTAGGGTTCAGGGTTTAGGGTTTAGGGTTTAGGGTTTAAGGTTTAAGGTTTAAGGTTTAGGGTTTAGGGTTTAGGGTTTGGGGCTTAGGGTTTGGGGTTTAGGGTTTAGGGTTTAAATCCTAGACCTAAACCCGAAGGGAATCCTCCGACAAAGAAGGAATGATCCAGAGAAGATGATGACACGCACAAACCGAGAGGTGTACCACGCGTCACAGCCCATCTCTTAAGCCAACCCCAGCCCCGAACTCTCGGATAGAACCCCTTACACAGGCACTGGGCCAGCTCTTTGAGTACCGGGTGCCGCTTACATGTTCGCATCAATCCCTATTGCTTTCTCTCACGTTTGGTTTTGGAAGGGTGTTGCAAGGGCTGGAGTGTCGCACAGGCTTGGCATGGATTTTGAAAGGTGTTTGAAATAAGGATTTTTGGAAGAAGGCTTTTCAGGAGTGTTCTGCAAGGTTTTAGCATTGTTTTGCAACGGTGTTGTTGCGGAGCTGAAGGCAGGGAGCCCCGTAGTAAAGAGAGCCTTGGTAGTTAGAACAGGATGTTGGGTTTAGGGTTTAGGGGTTTAGGGTTTAGGGCATATTGCCGCAGATTTTATGGTGGCCTTCCAGGGGCTATTTCTCTTTGTACAGGCCTCTCTAGAAAGTTAAGAAGCTCGATCTGCACTCTGGACTTACACCCGCCAGGGTTCTGACTCTGGGTATCCGCTATAAAAAGTAGCTTTTGGAGAATACAGACCCCTCAACAACCCTAAGCCCTAACGCTAAACCCAACCCACCCCAAACCTGAAAACGACCCTTAAACCTGAACCCAGAATCCCAACCAGTTCGAGTCTGAAAGAGCGAAACTTAAAACTCCACGCCCTGACCTTTGTTCTTCTGGGGCGATGGCATAGAAGTTTAGGGTTTAGGGTTAGAGGCCATGACATGAGTAGTTCGCTGAGTTAGGGTCCCCTTTTTTAGGCCTCCAAAGAAGTACGGCACCCTTAGGAACAGGACCTTAGCAGGGACCCTCGTTTCAACAACTGCCGCATCCAATGTAGAAAGAAGCCTGGCCCGTTGAGGCTGTTGAGTTCTCTACATACCCAGACCCCCGGGAGGATCTAGAAAGTAGATCCCCTAATTCTAATTTGGGGCCCTATACTACTAAGGGTACTTACTTTACAGGAACCCCTATTACGGGATCTACTTTTTGGATCCTCCCGGGGTCTGGGTAAGTCCTCAGCCATGCCCCAGTACCTGGAACCCAAATGACCCACTCTTCACAGAGGTTGTTCAAAGGTTTCCCAAGGAACCCCTGCCAAAGAAGGTGGGGTCTCGTTTAGGGTTTAGGGTTTAGGGTTTAGGGTTTAGGGCCTACAACCTGAGACACCGCCATGCCCTTGCAGGTGACTACCTCGGACCTCGGCACGGGGGTGATCGAGTCGTGGCTGAAGCTGCTGAGCTTAGGGGACCCAATGCAACTTGCCACTTGATTCGCTGCGGAGGTCTAGGAGCTTGTACCGACTTGCCCTAAACCCTAAACCCTTTAGGTTGTGTTTGTTGGCTCCTCAACTTAAGCAGCTTCTCTACGGGCTCTCCGGGTTTCGGCTCTCCTGGCTTTCTTCTCGGGCTGAGGGTCTAGTAAGTAAAACCTGGGGCCTGTCTTGTCAATTCTAAGCCCTGGGCCCTGAAGCCTAATTCGTCAATCCTAATACCCTAAATCCAAAAGGAAACACGCCAGAGACAGATCAAATTTTTCCGTCTCATCCCTAACCCGAAACCCTCGGCCCAGAAAAGGGCCCACAGACCCAGAGCCCCATGACCCCTCAACTTTGAACCTTCTCAACTCCGAACCCGAACGCGTGAACCGTGAGCCTCTTGCCACCATAAACATACACAAAGGAAGCCCAACTTCCTTCAGAGACGTAGCACTTCAAGGTTCAGCAAGTCCTTATGCTTAAAATCTCAGCTCCCAGACTAGGATTTCACCCGGGAGATCGACTTCGATGACTTTGAGCAATGGCTGAAGAAGGAGAAAGGCCAGGGCTGCAGCCGGATACGGGCCTTCGGGGTTTCGGTTTCAGACTTTGGGTTTAGGGCTAAAAAAAAGGGGGGGGGGTTTTAAGTTTAGAGTTTGCCGAATACCTTCGGATTTTGGGGGTTTCAGAGTTTGGGTTTAGGGTTTTTTTTGGGGTATAGGGGGTTTAGAGCTTGCGGTTTACGGTTTAGGGGCTTAGGGCTTGGGTTTAGGGGTCGGGGCATCTGCTAGCTTTTAGGGCTTGCGGTTGCTGTCGGCTTGGGCCTCAGACGCAGAAGATGGAGGCAGCGAGCGACGCTAGAATGATTGAGTGAGATGCTCCAGTAGCGGGTGGAGAGACGACGGAGGCATGTAGCCAAAATGCAGCAATGCGTACTAGTGTGCCTAAAGATACAGGAGAGACAGGGAGACAAGAGGAAAAATGCGCCAGCCGTGCTGGCCCATTCAACCGCCGCTTGGAAGCTTGTCAACAAAAACCAACCAGGAACATGCAGCTCAGGTCCTAAATCCAATGCCCGGAAGCCCCCGAGTTGGAAACATGTGCTGGTTCATAGTTTAGAAGCTTGAGTGGTTTTTCAAAACCATTCCTACGGTTCCTTGTGGGGAGTATGGTAGACTATGGCAAAAACACACTGCTTTGATTCAGAAGGCCCCTATGACCCCTATGACTCGTGGGACCAGGTGTGCGGCTGGCAGACTCCGGAGTTAGACTCTCGTCTGGCATGTGCTTGTGAATGTCTGGAGGGATTTGAAGATGTCGATTGGGGAGTATGTCTGCGGGAATGAGGTTCAGAATTTGAGGGAGTGGTGTTCAGTGTTTACGACTTGTCGTCTCTGGAGGTTTTGAACCCACAAGTTGATCCCTAAGCCCGCCCTATTCTCTACTTGGTTAGTTCTCGAAATTCGGGTCCCTTTTATGATCCTTTTAAAAAGGTGAGCCGTGCTATGTTGGGGACTTCCCAAAGGGACCCTAAATCAGAGGACTACCTTGGGTACGGCCCCCACTCAGTAACAGTTGGATAATTTTCATAATATAGATATATAAGGCCCTTAATAGTAGCCCTATTATAGACTGTTACTGTATGGGGGCTGTACCCAAGAACTGCCCATTTGCTCTGCTCTCGCTACGGAGACCGAGGCTTCAACAAGTACAAGTTCGGTCTGATCATGGGTGGCATGAATGGAGCTTCTTGGTAATATGAGGGCCTTGATATTGAAATAGGGTTTAGGGTTTAGGGTTTTTGTGGTCTATCGTGTTATAACTATAAAAAGGAACCCTCGAATAGGATTGATAGTTATTTCGGCCCCTCATGCCTGTGCACACAATCGCTAAATGTCGCCCACGTCCATGTACATGTGCTGGGGTCATTACGTTCAGATGCACCTGACGCCGCGGGCTCCGTCTGATGTAAGATAAGTTTCGCTCACGGCCTGACTTCTGCAAGCATTCTCTGAACCCCCAAACCCTAGGTTTCCGAACGAGCTCCCTGCGGTGCGACTTTGTCAGCTGGGCGGGTGGGAAAAAAACCCATCTTAACCCTAAGCCAAGCAAGCGAAAGCACCTTCATACCCGGTCATGTCATCTGTTGCTGAGTTAGAGTCCCCGAGCCCACGAAGATGAAACAACAACACCGTCAGTGCAAGGCCCTCCACCGGAGGGCAATCATCGCCATCGCCACCGCCATCATTTTAGGATCGTCTTCATATGAGTTTAGGGTTTAGGGTTTAGGGTTTAGGGTTTAGGGACGAGGCAGTCAAATTCATCATCAGCCTTCAGAACCGTCCTCGTCCCGTCAGCCTCCGTACTTTATGACTCCTGTCACCGTGTACATCTTGATCAAGAAATTTAACCAGAATCATCGACACCGCCCCCGCTATTGTCATGACAAGCAGGAGTTGGAGGACAGTGATGCCTATAATGACGAAAACGTCGGGGCAGATGATGCCGACTGCAGTCCGGGAGTGGGGCTGAGGAAGATGCTGTTGCTGGTGGTGATGGAGACGATGGGGTGGCCATACCCGAAGCCGCTGCAAACTCCGCCCGAACTGCAAACCCGAGTCTCATCGCGAAAGCCCCGTCACAATCACAAGCCCTTATAAAACCTTTGCGAAAAGCTTATCACAAGCCTCAAAAACCAAAAGCACGACATCACCTCATAGCAACCTCTCGAACCCACTAAAAAACACTCCCTAAGAAAACAGTATAGAAGCCTAGAAGCACTCTCTAAGAGCACAGTATAGAAGCTTCGGAAGTTTTGCCTGAGGCTTTGGCTGAGCTTCACCGGCTGCAGGAGAGGGCCGAAAAAGTGTACCTGGCACCCTGGCGTCAGTTTTCGCGCTTTTGGGGCTGGTTTATGCTATGGAGCTTGGGAGTTTGGGGTGCAGAACGAGGGTTTCGGGCGTAGGGCGTCTTTGAGTGTTGGGTGGGTGTTGTTTTGAGTAGAGCCCTGTCGAAGTAGACCGAAAAAAAAGCTTAGAAATCGACAGGCGCAACTGCGAATCGGTTGCCCGCCACGGCCCAACCGGGCCGTGGCCAAACCCGTCAAAACAAGCCTAAACTCTAAGCCCTAAGCGCTTGACCCTCAACCCTATGTGCACGTTACACCCTAAACCCTGAAACCCTAAAATGGGTTTTGGGCTTCAGGTTCTGGGCTTCAGCATCAGGATTTCAAGCTTAGGGCGTTCAGGGGCCTTCGGGGTTAAGGGTGCAGGGTTTGCGGCTCGTTCTCCTTACGATGGAAGCGGAGCGGCAGATCGACGATGTAAGTTTTTGTTACATTTAGGGTTTAGGGTTTAGGGTTTAGGGCTTAGAGTGCCTCAGGCACTTGTAAACCGTAAGGCAAGAACATGCGCTAAGCGCACATTACCACACCGATTGAAATAGCAAGAAGCCCAGGCCAAGCTTTCCGATCGAGCCGAAGTGGAGGTGGAGCAAGAGATTCAGAGGCTACGGGCCTACTGGGATGTACTTTTCATGATGCCTGATGTAGGAACCTGATTAAGAAACCTTGGGTCCTTATAGGGTTCTTAATATGGATCCTATTATATTTGGGGTCAAAGGGCCAGGGTTTCTTAATCAGGTTCCTACCCCTAAGCATCAAAATAGCCCAGAGGCCTTACATAGTATGGTCTTTGGGCCCAAAAGCCTTAATTAATATATGAGTCCTTAGATGCCTAGGGTACATTATGCAGTTTCCCGGGCTTCGTTATTCGTTCTACTTCCTCATCACTTGGTTTTAGACCAGTCGTGAAGCCTTGCCCGAGAGTCGAAACCCGCAAGTCTTACAATTCTAAACCCCCAAAGCCCCCAAACTCCTAAGTCCCGAAGGGCCGGAATAGTAGTAATGAGTGACAACATGTCACCCAATAATATGACAGGCCCCAAAGCCGTAGTCTCATTATGAACGCACCTTTGTTGAACCAGCCGGGAAGTCCCCAGACCCTCAACCCTAAACCCAAAACCTGGACCCCCTAAGCCCTAAGCCACCCAAGAGCTCCACCCACAAAAGCTGGCCCGCCCTAAAGGTTGTCGCAGCCGACCTGGGATCTTCAAGAGGAGGTTCATGGGCTCAGGGGTTTAGGGGTTTTAGGGTCTAAGGGTTAAGGGATTTAAGGTTCTAGGTTTTCGGGTCAGCGGTTTAGGGTTTTAGGATTTACCCTCAGGAGGCCTGGATGCAAAAAGGAATTTGGGATCTGGGTTCAGGGGTTTAGGGTTTGGTTTGAGGGTATTCCGGCGATTGCACAAGTCCTGATGCGTAAAAGGGGTTTGGAGGAGGCTTTGAAACAACTCGGGAAAAACATGCACGCACACGCACCAAATGAGAGACCAACTGACACAGAGACCCCCGCACAACCACTGGAAGCGTACAAAACCGCTTAACACAGTGGGTTGCCAAAGCGCAGGCCCCACAGCCTCCTTTTCGGGTTTCGGGGTGAAGGGGGCATACGCCGAAAGCCTGCGCTGAAGAAGGGTTAAGGGGTTTAGGGTTTACGCATTGCAGTCTTGGTTTTTGTTCTATGTTGAGCTGTTTTACGGCTTCAGGTGTTGTTAAAGGATGTTTTGAAGGTTTTTTTGGGAGGTTCTAAGGGGCTTGAGATTTATTCATTTTCCTTTTATACGTTAACGGGCTTTTATGGTATCCCAAACCCGAAGGACACACATGACATACCCCCCGAAACCTAGAAACCCCGCAGTCCCAAAACCTAACCCCCCCCCAAAGCCCCCGGTAACACCTTCGCCCCGAAACCGCACAACCCCCAAACACCATGATCCTAAATCCTTAAAGACTCGAGATCCGAAGAAACTTACTATACCCCAAATCCTAAACTGAACCCAAGCGCTTCAAACATAGGCTGTTGGCTCTTCCTTCCATAGAGCTTGGATACTGCCACCGCGCAGTAGCAGCTGAAAGAACTTGTAATGTGCACTCACATATATGCAGACGGCCTCGAGTAGTGCCCCTATTATAGACCATTACCGTGTGGGGGCAGCACACAACACAGAGTCACAGAGGCAGCAGATTTCCGGGCCCGGTGGCAGCAAGTGGCGAGGCATCGTCGGGTCCGTTCTTGGCGAGGGCGGGAAATTAGGTTTCAGTTTTCAAGTAGTCGGTTTTGCGTGTCTTGTAGGCCATTGCCCGGCTTTAAGCGTCTTGAGAGTTGTTTAATGCTGATGTGTTTCTTGTGACAAGTCTAGCATTTTGTTGTCTTGTTTTGTTTTATTGGGGGGATTGCAGGACTTAAACATGTATCTACTTTCAAGGCATTGGCTTTTTGTGGCGGGTTTTCGGGTCGTTTAAGGGCGTGCTGAAGTTATGATGTTATTATCAGATGGTTGGTAGGTTGGGGTTCTTAAGGTGGTGGGTTTTAGGGCTTGCGAAGCTTTGGGGTTGAGGTTGGCGTTCTTTTTGGGGGTTTTAGGTGACTTTTTCAGGCTAAGTTGTTCTTAGGGATACAGGGGCTGTGGGCTGCGGACGTTCAGAGTTTCCCGGGGTTGTGGGCCTTGGGCTTTCAGACTCAACCCTAAACCCTAAACCCTAAACTTCAAACCCAAAACCCTAAACTCCAAACTGTTTCCGGGCCACTATGGGCTGAAGCCTGTTTTTAATATTTCGCCTCCACTGAAGTGCAAGCCCACTTGAAATCCCAAGCTTTGAGCACCCAGGTCCCGAACCCTACATCCCCCAAAGCCTACTAAGCCCTGCCAGTGGCCATGCAGTACCTACCCCTCCCAAAAAGCAGAGTGCGAGGGTGCGCAGCGCCCCGGATGTCGCTGCTCAGCTGGTGTTGTGGGCTCGGCAGGCTCTTGGGACTCGTGCTTGGGAGTTTAGGAGTTTGGGCCGTTTGGGGTTTAGGGTTTAAGCTTCAAGGTTGAGGGTTCATCATGGGCTTACCATAGTGTTTCAGGTTTCGGCTTTAGGGCTTATCATTTCAGGCAAGTCTGTGCTTCGGGCTGAACCCACATAACCTTGGTTCCTCGGCTCCGAGACCAGCCCCCAGCGTCGCCTTTGGTCAGGGCCTCGTCAAGTGCCATCATAGGCTCCAAGAAAGCTTGGCTTCTATGCTGTGTGTACACGGATATGTACCCTCCTCTAGGAATTTCAAGACTCAATGCGGGCTCCTGCTTAATCAAGCCTGTTGATAAGGTTGAATGTAGGCGCGTTCGAACGCAGCTCCTGTCTTGTAATTACGGCTAAACTGCATCAGACATCAACACCTGAAAGCTAGCCCTTAAATACTCTATATGCGGAGAACCCCGAAGCCTAAACCCAACACCCTAAACCCTAAACCCTGAACCCCTCAAGAAGCACCACCCGACCTAAACCCCAAACCATGAAACCCCCGCCGGAAGTGGGAAAACCCGGGCCAGGCCTTGCAGCTGCGCGGAGAGGTGCCGCCGTGGCTGAAGACTCTGACCTTGTCTTTCGCACAGGCGCCCCCTGCTTAGGGCATTTAGGGTTTGGGGTTTAGGGTTTGGGGTTTAATTCGGGTTTAGGGCTAAGCGCTTAGGGTTTAGGGTTTAGGCTTCCCGGACTGTAGGCTTGCAGGATCTTATCATATTCGTTCTCCCTGTCAGCTTGTTTTGAGGTTTTGGAAACCGATGTTTAGCGGTAAGGCTTAGGGTTTACGGAACTTAAGCTGGAATGCCTGAATAGGGAAGGGCTTTCTAGCTACCTTCACTGACTCTCATAGGGGTTGAGGGCCTCAGGTGAATGGAAGGAGATCGGACAAGATGGCACCCTAAACCCTAAACCCCAAACTGCAGGGTTTAGGGGTTTACAAGGTTCTGTCAGGTTTTTTCTGTGGATTCTACCAGTTTCGAAGAAGAGGTCAAGAGCTCGAGGGGTTCTTCCGAATTTTTACAGGTTTAGGGCTTTCAGTGTTTAGGGTTTAGGTTTTAGGCAGTCATCAAGTCCGGTTTCAAAAAACGGATTTAAAGTTTTGGGGGTTTAAGAGTTTAGGGATTTAGCGGTTTGGGGATTTAAGGGTTTAGGGTTTAGGGTAACGGGTTAGGGCCGTGTCGGGTTTATGGGGATTACAGCACACGAACATTCGTTAGCAGGATGGAAATCCCGGCTCGCTCCCGCAAATCGCAAGGCCTCCATTACTGAACCGTGAACTCTGAAATTCCTACTACAAAATAGGAACTGCTTTGCAGCACCCCTAATGTAATATCGTATTTTCGTGCTAAGGCACAAAATAAAAGTCAGAATAGGGGGCCCTAAAAATGGTTTTCGGTATATTCCTAAGGCTGGACTCTTGAAGTCTGTTGGAAGGTGTGAACACCAATAAGACAACAGCTCTTCATAGAAATCCGTTTGAAACGGGAATCCCGTAGAGCACCCTCTGGCAGACGTGATGCAAACTTAGGCAGCCCTCCGTCGGAGGCTTCAAAAGGTGGGATGATGCTAGGTAGGATCAGGCTGATTCATATAAGGATTACCCTAAACCCTAAACCCTAAACCCTATACCGTATACCCTCTAAAGGATTACTTTTCGGCTTACCCCACCTACCTTCATCCTACCCTGGGAGCCTAAATCCCTAAACCCGAAAGTCACAGCTCTTCATTCGCACTTAGCCGCAGGCGCTCCAAGCGCAGGGGCCGGAAGAGGCCGGATGACTCCTTGGCCCGGTGACTTCTCAGAGGGACTTAAGAAGGGTTTAGTTTAGATCTGCAGCTTCAAGAATTGTCGGGATTTTACAGTTGTCGTTGAGATAGGTTGTAGGGGTGGCGTATCCAGATTTAGGCGCAGGGTTTTGCGGTCGAACGGGAAAGTGCTTTATCGAGCCCTTTGCAGGAACCCTTGAATTAGTTGTCAAGGGGCCTGAATTCCCGACCCCTTAACGGAACCCGAGTCAGTTCTTCTCAAGGCTGTGAAGGAGGCGCTGCAACCTGTGCCCAGGTGGTGGGATCTCATGCACAGGGGCAAGAGTCGGCGGCATGCGCCCCTAGACGGTAGATGAGGCAGTACGTTTGGGGCCTTAATATTTAGAATATGGTTTCGGGGCTTATAATAAGGAGCCCCCAAAATCGTATTGGGACCTGTTGAGGCCCCTACATTACGTTAGGGTTTAGGGTTTCGGGAGTTTAGGGTCCTGGCTGATGTGGAGCATAGCTCTCAGGCATAGCTGTAGGTACACAGCTCCTTGCTTCAAGACAGGGTAGGGCAGGGTTTCGGGACATCAAGAATAAGAAGTGTAGGTGTAGCAAGAGGGTTTAAGGTTCAGGGTTACTTGGTCTAGGGCAATGTTGCAACAAGGGGGCCCCGGTCTTAAGCCCCATATATGACATGGCATCTGTAGACGTGGGTGGCGCATAGGGTCCTTAGGGAGTTCAGGAGCCCTGGTGTCGGAGGGTTGTGTGCTTGCAGATAAGGTTCAGGCACGCTTGGTCATTAGGTTGACAGATGTGCCAGGGGATATTGCCCAGGTCAGGCAACCACATATTAAAAAGCGTGCATTACAGCTCTCCCCAGATAGCTGCCCGACCTCTGCAGGCGAGCTTGAGGACCTGATTGGGGCTTGCATTTCATCCCCTACACAGTCCTTTCTGTCGCGCCTAGGTCCGAATCGAGGTTTCTTACTGCGAAACCCTAGGCCCTAAACCCTTAACCCAGGCATCGCCCTTGGAAGTGGCGGAGACAATCAAGAGCAAGCTTAGCTCCTTGGAGCGCTGAGCATGGGCCCAACCGAACAGAAGAGACAAAGTGCAGAAGCCTAGGGCAGAATAGGTAAAAACAAAAAGGACATTGGAAGAATGAGATGAACAAGGGGTTGAGCTCGCTTAGTTTAGTATGAGTTTTGTGTAAGTATTTGTGCGAGAATGATGCAGGAACCGGGCAACCTTAAAACATATCTTACACCCGGTCGGAACCCGCAGAGGCAAAACAAGTTTTGTACCGTTGTATCAAGGTTCTACAAGGTTTTAGATGGTTTCATAAGGTTCTATTAGTTTGAGCGGTGTATGCGAGCAGATAGGACAGACACAAGACCAAGCTAGATGTATACTTGATGTAGCCCCTGCCAGCCGATGCTTGCCTAAGCATTCAGTAAAAGCCAAGCTATCGAAGCACGAAGTCTCTAAACTCCACTCTTCCTGCATTCCTGCATGACAATATGTACGGAAATCCTGGTAAGGAAGCTTACTACTATTTGTTTAAGAACCCCCCCAAAAAATAAAAAATTGATAGTCCCTGTATTATCCCTATAAGGAATATTTTTTTGGGGGGTTCTTAAGCAAATAGTAGCTTAGGATGAGAATCAGGTAAGCCCTGAGCCGTGAACTGTTCAGGAAGCAATTTGCTGCAGGATTTTCCTGTCGGGTTGAGACCGTAAGGATCATCGTTTCGGGTTGAAGGTTCAGGGGTTAAGGATTTAAAGATTCAGGGGTTAGAGTCCAGGGTTAGGCTTGTGGACTTGGGTTTCAGCGCTTCGAGGTTTAGTGTTTACATAGCAGCTGGCATTCATTGTTTGGGACCCGCCCTGCGGGATTAGAATTCCAGGATGTTGGGGCTTCTGGGCTAAGAGTGTGTAAGTTTCGAAATTTTCGAACCCAGGCGGTATGAAAGCAGGGCTAATTCAGTAGTCAAGCAGGGATTTAGAGTGTACCATGAAGTGTTGTAGGGCTGCGGGGTGAAGGCCCTGAGTTCAGGGTAATAGGGCATGGGTTTCCAACCCGGAACCCCCACCCTGGATGCGAATTCCTCAAGCCCAAACCTTGAAACCATTAAAACCCCAGCCCTACCCCTATACCCTTAAGTCCAAACCCAAACCCTGAACTCCGGAGACCTGACCGAAAACCCGAACCCAGGCCAGCTTCCAACGGAGCAAATCTTGGACCTGCGCCGCGGGGACAGAAGAACTGAGATGCCTAAACCCTAAGCCTGCAAACCTGAACCCCCAAATCCCCAATACCCTCAAGGAAGGGGACTAGCATGGGATCCCAGAAGTGTCTCAGAAACAGTAACGGTGCAAGGTGTAGGCGAGTGTAGGGTATTGGAGGGTGGTGTCTTGACGCTAAAACCCTAAAGCCTCTAGTGGTGAAGTTTGCCAGGGATGGGGCTTGTCTTGCATGTGAACCAATCTTTGATAGCTCTTCTTATTTCTCAGGGGCAGTTGGAGGTTCAGGCGTAGATGTCAGTGGAATGATGAGTAGGGTTAGCTCTGTCTAATTCTGTAACATATTAGAGGACTCATAAATCCACTTCTAAAACTACCCAGGAACCTCCAAGTATGGCTTGTTGGAGTGGTAAGATCCCAAGCCCTAAACCCGCCCCGAGCTCTCCATCACACCCAAGCCCTAGACCCGAAACCTTAAAACCCTAAACCACCGTAACCTGTAAGCCCTAAAACCCTAGCGCGAAAATCGCGAATGAGGTGCGCTGCAGAAGCTTGAGAGGCAAATCCTTGGGCCGGGAGGCACGCGCAGAGCCCATGTGCTTCAAGACATATCGGTTTCTGAGGTTCTGAGTTTAAAGGTTGGGCGTTTGAGGTTGGGCTTACAGGTACCTAAACCCGAAGCATTCCAGAGCCCCCTCAATTAAGCGTCGAGTTCTGCAAGGCTGGCTCAGCTTGGCGGGTTTGGGCTCAGGGCTTGGGCGTGATGATCGTACCCCAAACTCTCCTAAACCCTAAATAAACCCTAAACTCTCCTAAACCCTGCCCCGCCCCTGAACCTCAAACTCTCTGCCCTCTCTTCCCCGCAAGCTCTAAACCTTACAGCCCTAAGCCCTAAACCTTCAAGCCCTAAGCTCCTAAGCCCAGCCCTACATTTAAATTACTTTAAACCTGTAGGAGTCCGGGGTTTTCATTTCAGGAGCTGAGGGCGACTTCATGCTTGTAGGGCTTCCTTTGCGGGTTCCCCCAAGTTTTTGTAGAGGTTCAAAGGTGTATAAGGGTTGTGCGTCGCAGTTGTGCATAGTCCAACACCACCCTCGAAGTCCTCACTTCGGACATCTTCCCCTTCCTGAAATTTCCCCGACGACAGGAAAACGGTATGTTTGGTGGTCCGAGACGTAATGTGTAAACTGCTGGGTTCTTACACGTTACTCTAAACCCTCAACCCTAAAGCCTAAACCCTCAACCCCAAACCCGAAGCCAGAGGCTCCATGGACAGTCTGCTTCCCGGTCACGGATCTTTCCTCAGCTTCCTAGCGCAGACAACAGAGCCGCCCGACCTCAGAAGCTGCCGTTGGCATAAGGTTTGTAGGCTTGACAATTTGAGGTTAAGGGTATGGAGTCTCTGTCTTTAAGGTGAGATCGGTCGACTGCGCAAGTCCAGATGGAACAAGGGTTTGTAGTATCCGAAACATGTTTGGCGGCAGGGCTGATGTAGACCACTGCTGTTTCTGCTGTTTCGGGCGAAGAGTCGTAGCGACGCGGCCCTTTGGCTTGCATCTAATTAGGAAATCCTCGCGCAGAAATCTGGACACGTGCCAGTATGCGCTAAGGCTGGGAATCACATGCTCGAGGATTTAACTGGCGCCTAAGGCAGAAAAGCCATCCCCGAGCACATGCAAAATCAAGACAAGACGGAGCCAACATCAAAGTTAAAGCAGCACTCCTGCAGACCTTCAGGCTTTGCCAAAGAAGGCCATCGCGACACTGGGCCCAGGCACATGCAAGTACCAAGGGCAAAACCAGAACTTCAGCCTGAGCCTATTCCTCAAGGGGGTAGGGTGAGGCAAACTGCAAGCTGTACACCCCACACAGCTGACATTCAAACGCAACTGCGCCCATCCAACACTTGAGCCCTGAGCGTATTCCTCCAGGGAACAGGGGAGGCTAACTACAGGGTAGGTCCCTCACAATGGAAAATTAAACATCACTGTGCCCTCTCAGACGTGCCGCTGCATACAGTGACCGCGTATATACACACCAACACGTGTGAGGTCCGAGTCTAACGAAAGCGAAGCGCCCAACAAACCCGTCGACATGCCGCAGAACCCCAGGACCTGGTCTACTGGGCTGCGGGGCCAGATGTCAAGGCGCTCGCCTATCGTATAAGCAACGTTAGTGCCTTCAATCTTGAACTCATATTGCCGCATGTCACGATCGTACTTACCATCGCCAGGGGTCGATTCCTTCTGGAGGTTGTCATCCGAAAGAGTACGGCCGCCCTCAAACTGCTTGCCAGCAAATATCATGTGCCGCTGGTCGGGCGGGATGCCTGCCTTATCTTGGGACTTAGCCTTGACGTTGTCGAACTTGTCACTGGCCTCACCGTCCAAGGCGAGCTTCAAGGTCTTGACAAAGATCTGCATGCCGCCTCGCAAGTGCTGCGCCAAGTCAGGGGTCGATTCAATCTGGAGGTTGCAATCCGAAAGAATACGCCCGCCCTCAAACTGCTTGCCAGCAAAGATCAGGTGCTGCTCGCCCTCAACATCCAAGGTGAGCATCAGGGTCTCGACAAAGATCTGGATGCCGCCAGGGGTCGATTCCTTCTGGAGGTTGTCATCCGAAAGAGTACGGCCGCCCTCAAACTGCTTGCCAGCAAATATCATGTGCCGCTGGTCGGGCGGGATGCCTGCCATATCTTGGGACTTAGCCTTGACGTCGTTGAACTTGTCACTGGTCTCAACGTCCAAGGTGAGCGTCAGGATCTTGACAAAGATCTGCATGCAGCCTCGCAAGTGCGGCGCCAAGTGAAGGGTCGATTCCTTCTGCAGGTTGTAATCCGAAAGAGTACGGAAGAGGTGCTGCTGGTCGGGCGGGATGCCTGCCTTAATTTGGGACTTCGCCTTGAATTTGTCGAACGTGCCACTGGCCTCAACGTCCAACGTAATCGTCTTGCCTGTCAGGGTCTTGTCGAAGATCTGCATGCCGCCTCGCAAGCGCGGCACCAGGCGAAGGCGTGCCTTCCATGGGCACTGGGGCTACCGATAGTTCCGCGCTGCTGCGGCCATTCGAGCCCTGATGTAGACCACTGATGCATGAATCCCTTTTCTGTGAGGGCCTTACTGCGCTTATCGTACCTTCTCACAGAGTACATCATAGAGCCGAGAGGTTGGAACTCTCGTCGGGTCCAAATTGCGAAACCCCAAAAACCAAACCCGAACCACCCCCAAGCCAACCCACTGCAGAAGCCGTTCGACGAGAAACTCGCAAAGCTCCCACCAAGAGTCGAATTCCCTGAAAATTCAGGACAGCTTAGATAGGGCCTTGAGTTCTGCGATTCAGGTGGCCGTGGACGTGTTGCGAAACACTGTCTTGTCTAGTTCTGGACCTACATCTCAAGTGAGGGTCGCTGCTTCAGGCTGCTTGCGGGATTATCTTGACTTAGTCCTCCCTTTTCGCTGGTGCTTATCACTTATAATATCTTGTGATACAGATTGTTGGGTCCCAACTTTTTTTGAAACTGCCATTTACCGTCTCCAGGCTACGCGATGCAGTGGAACAGCGCATGTGCCCAGGATGCAAAACTGGCCGCAGGGGCCCGATGCTTAAACCGTAGACTAGTGAGGCCTAAATAAGTACCTCCTATTCTGATTATTAACACCCCTATATTAAACCGCTAAACCGTAAACCCAAGCCGACTCTTCCTGGGAAGGCCTGTCGGGTTGTTCCCAGGCAGGAGGGCACTGTTTCAACATCCGTGTGGCCACAATCGGTTCAGGGTCTAGGGTTGCAGTCTGCTCGGTTCCTGGCATATGCATAGTCCAGGTGAAAAAAGGGGTGCAGTCTGATCCCCTGTCGCTCTGGCAGAATCTAGACAAAGCGTGCATGCGTTGCAATGGGCTTCGGTATCTCTTCGGGCACTGTGAAAGTATCGGGGTCCAGCGGCCTTCTAAATGCACCGCCCTCGCAAAGTGGAAGAGTTCCATGATCCCCTCAACCCTCCACGGTTTAGGGTTTAGGGTTTAGGGTTTAGGGTTTAGGGTAACCGAAGAACTGAACAAACTCGAGCTCCCTAGACCGTCTGTCTCAGCGCGGAGAGCCCCAGGCCCCCCCAAGAATACACCCGAAAGTATCGCAAGAAGCCCTATATCACCGGATTTCTACATAGCTGATTATGGTGTGAGGTTCAAGCTTTACAGCTTTACGGTTCAGGATGTAGGTTTTAGGGGTTAGGTCTGACGTTCCGAGAGAGAGAGAGAGAGAGAGAGAGAGAGAGAGAGGGTCCTTGGTGGATGGGTGGGTGGGTGAGTGGGTGGTTATTTTTAGGATCGAAATAGCGAGCTCGACTAGAGACTGCTCGATCCGGAGCTGCTGAACTTAAACCCCCTAAACCCTCAAGCCTATACCCCAAACCCCTAAAGCCCTAAACCCCCAAACCCCTTCAGCCGCCTAAACCCTAAACCCCTAACACCCTAAACTCTAAACCCCCTAAACACCCTCAACCCCCTAAGCCCCAAACGCTTAACTCCGAAGCTCTAAACCCTAAAGCCCCAACCCCTAAACCCCCTAAGCGCCAAACCCTTAAAAGTAAGAGCCAAAACTCCGAAGCTCGAGGTGCGGCCCTGCCGCAGTCGGCTTTGGGCCTGGCCTTCAGTGCCTCGGCGCCGGGGCCCTCATGGCAGAGGCGGATCAGCTCCTGAAGGCTGCTTTGGCTGTGCTTAGGGTTGCTTTAAAGGGTTACTAGAAGGGTACTACAAGGGTTCCTTTAAAGGGCTCTAAAAGGCTGCTTTGCTCTATTTTGGGTTTTAGGGGCTTTTTAGTACTTTGTTTGGGGTTTAGAGTTTAGGGGTTTCGGGTTTTAGGGATTAGGGTTGTAGGGATTCGGATTTGGGGCATTTGCGTTTTAAGGGAAGTTAAGGGTAGTTGTGGTTTAGGGTTTCGGGGTTTAGATGGGTTTACGGTTTGGGTTTAGGGTACGCATCGGCCTCAGTACGGGGTCATAGGAAGGGTTTGGGGTAGAGTTGAAAACTCTAAGCCCTATTGGGGTTCAGGGTTTAGGGCCTGGGTGCCGGCATACACTCCAAGTCCGTGCTTAAAAAAGGGCCTGGGTCGTGATGATAGAGGTCGAGCGGATCTGGCTAGTCCTCAAGCCCAGTAGCAAAAAAGGGTTGCTGTGCCAACCGAAAGCCTATTCTAATTGAAACCCCTAAGCTTCAAAGACCTTTAGAATTAGAATCCTAGGTGTAGGATACTTGTAGGGCACGTACGGGAACCCTTGAAACAACCGTAAACCCTCAACTTTAAACCTTAAACCCTAAACCCGAAGCCCCGAAGCCCTAGACCCTTAACCCTAACTCAACTTGAAACCTAAAAAAGGCTCCACGAACTCTGCCCAGGAGATGGCCCAGACTAGCGCGCTCTTGGACTCCGAGCTTCTCGGGCAGTTGGAGCAGCGACTGCAGCTTTGCTCCACGGGTCACCTATAGAAGAGGTCAGACTTATGAACGGGTTTTGGTGTACATTACAATATAATTACCTATATAAGGACGATAAGGACTTTAACAATCCGGGTCTTTTTTTTTAGAAGGCTAGATGATTTAATATAGAAGCCTGAAGGGTCAATCATCATCACCACGGGGTTCCTTGCCAAGGTCACATGTAGGATAATCTAGCCCAGAATCCCGATTGTGATTGAGTCTTCAGGCCCCTACGGCAGGGTTTAGGGCTTCCTATATGGGAGTTTCCGAACATTAGGGGTACCTTATTTTGGGGCCGTAGAATAAGCATCCTACATTTAGGCTACTGTCTCAGGGTCCCCTATTGTCGGAAACCCCCCATAATGGTTTTATGACCGTAGAGGAATAGAACCAGGGCTTGTAGGATGTTAGAATTAGAAGGGTCCATATACACTACAACTATGGAATCAGGTCCCATAAACCATACTAGGGATGGTTTTATGGGACCTAATTCCATAATGGTAGTGTATATGGACCCTCTGGGAATTAAGAGGGCTTGACCCTAAACCGAAATCCCGCGGCAACGCTTCAGTAACCCCTAAAACCCTGCAAGGCCCCGAATGCTCCTCCATGCACTCCCCAAATCCCCGACCCCACCAGAGAGGATTCTGAACCTCTAAACCGTAAACCTCAACCCTAAACCTCTAGAAAGTTTAAGCTCAAGTTTGGTGCTTCAAGGTGCTTTGAGCATTGGAGGCATTCGGACTCAAGTGCTTTCGACCCTAGATCATGTCGGTGCGCATGCGGAGTTCAATATCGGACTGAGCAACCTTCGGCACTAGAGCGATTGTTGGTGCACCCTAACTTGGGCCCCGCAGACATGCGGCGCTGACAGTCGTGAGCTCGAAAGCCTGAAAGGCATCAGGGGTTAAATTTGATGAAACGATTTCGCAAGCTGTCACATGAGAAAGATATATATATATATATATATATATATATATGTATATAGGTTTATGGTTTAATCCTAGGTAGTTTATACTCCCACAGCAATCACATAGTACAATCTAGTATAATCTGATGTAGCATGAACAGGTGCCGAACAGAACATAATGGTATGTAGTAGAAGGTAAAGTAATGGAGTACAACGTAGCACAGTACACTTACTATAGTGCAACAAAATCTAATATACCAGAATGTCTTCTATTATGCTGTAAGACGCATAACATGGAATTGTAGAACATAGTTCAGCATAACATGACATGGTAGCATATAATATAATATGATACAATGTAGCAGGGTAGAACATAACATAGTATGGCAAAAAAATCTCTTTGTACAATACACCATCAAAAAGTACGGAATGACATAACACAGCAAACATAACACAATACGGTTTAACAGCGCAGAATAGAGTATAGTGTCGTCTGGTATGGTATAGTATAGAACGATGTACTATATGATTATAGTAAGCACAGCAGCATAACATGGTACTAGTGTGGGTTTGGGGTACTGGTGTAATCTACTCTGATCCAGGTGTAAAGTGGTTTGGGCGCACGCCGAGTTGTAATGCTATGCTTCTGAAATGATCTAAGGCTATATTGGCTCAGTACGGGGGGTCGGAAGGAATACTTAATGAAGTATCAGTACTATTTCCTGGGTCCTGGGGTTCCTTACTATATCTTCAGTATGGAAAACTCACTCAAAGCCTCTTCTTATTACTGAGGCCCGAAATTTCAGGAACCCTAAACCCTAAACTCTAAACCCTAAACCCTAAATTACAAGAACCCTATGGCCCAGTCAAGGAACCAGCGCCTGGGAAAGCAAAGTCACTGGGCGGGGCAGACCTCCCTCGCAGAGCTCTTCCGGAGCCAGGCGGCGGGGTTTTAGGGGGTTTTGGGTTTAGTGTTTTGGTGTTTAGGGTTTAGGGGTTTTGGGTTAGGGCTTCGGGGTTTAGGTGCTTGGCGGCATTGGGGCCGCTCTTTGTTGTCGTCGTTGTTCTGGTTAGCGGATTTAGCTGTTGTGGCGGTGTTGGTAGCCGTTTTCCTCAGCGTAGCTTCGTTGCCATGGTTATCGGAGTCTGGTCAAAGTGCATGTGTGGAAGATTTCTTCAGGCAGAAGCTACCTCCTCAAATCTGAACTGGAAGCGTTGTCCCCAAACACGGAATCATGGAATCCCAAAGCCTATACTATAGAGGCCTCAATAGTTACCTATGCTGTTTTGGGGATTCCTTTTTCTAGCTATAGTATAATGGGCCCCAAAACCCTGTTCTAATTATTAAGGCCCCTGCTTTAAATATCTTGAAACCCCAAAGACAAACCCCCTGAAGCCCTAAGCCCCCCTAAACTCTAAACCCCTAAACCCAGATGGGCTTGAGATGTAGGATGTGTGAGGATGTTTTCTTAATGTAGGCCTGGTTAATGATTAATGCGCAGGGTTTGGCCAATGTGCTGTCGCTGGGGCTGGAATCCAAGGCTTGTCCGAGAGTGAGAGGCTTGTCCGAGAGTGAGTGCTGAAACCGTAAATCCTGCTGCGCACACATAGCTTGGCTGCATAGTGTATGCCTTTGTGGCGGGCCTCGACCGGTGCTGGTGCACGGAGAAAGGATCAGTGCACTTGAAAGGAAACCCCTAAACCCTAAACCCCCAACACCCCTAAACCCCTAACCCCCTAAGCCTTGAGTCAGAGGTGGCCGGGCTACAGAGCCTCCACGCCACGGAAACGCCAGCGTCCCTGGCCTTCGGGAGTGGCTGGGCCCTTCGCGTCCGCGATGTCAAGGCGTTCGGCTTCAGGTTTAGGGTTTCGGGCTTAGGATTGAAGGTTCAGGGTATACGGTTTCGGGCATCGGTTTAGGGTAATTAATTATAGGGTTTAGGGCTTAAGGCTTCGGGTTTAGGGTTTCGGGCTCAGGATTTGTTGTAGGAGGTTTGTACACGTTCTTTAAGGGCCCGAGGTCAAGAGTTTGGGATTCAGCGCTATGCAGTTCAGTTTGTCGAAGGCTCATCTATGTAAAGTCTTCGCGGCTTGCTTTAATCTTGGATTTGTGCGTGGAGGTTGGTGCGCTTCACCGCTCTTTTGAGGCAGGCACTGTTACACCCCAAACCCTAAACCCTTGTGGATGTTGTCAACTGATACCCAATCTTGCGGTCCCAATTGTCTAACCCTGCGTGCGGGCTGGTCCGAGTGAAGTAGGAGGCAACAATAGCCTCAGAACCCCTTTCACTTCAAGTCTGAAGCTTAGGGTTTGGGACTTCCAGATACCACGAGTCTTCACGCCAGAGAACAGTTGGACTTGCGACGGTGTAAAGTTTGGTCGGTAAGCTTCAGGGCGTACCCTCTAAGTCTAGGTCCAGTGCGCATAAAACCTAAACCCTAAACCTTAAACCCCCATAAACCCCAGAACGCCTAAACCCCAAAACCCCTAAACCTCCAAACCCCTGAACTCCTAAACCCCAAACCCATAAACCCCTAAACCCCTAAACGCTTGGATGCGAACCAGGCCTTCCAGCTCCTGCAGCAGCACGCCCTGCGCATCCTTCGCATGGGAGGCCGCGGCGCGATGCAGTGGCACTTTGGGGCCGCTTGGCGGAGGTTCGAGCTCTGATCCTGAGTTTAGAGCCTTGTAGGGTGAGATGAAGCCCTACAGTCGTACACCCGCAATTGAAACCCTAACCCCTAAACCCTTCGAGTTGAATTCTCTACGGCTCGAGGCGCCTTGTTCTAAAGCCTCCAAAACCAGGCTGAGGCCGAGAATGATTGAGGTGCCTCAACAAAGGCAATCCTTGCCCCCCCCCCCCCCCGGTCGATAGCCACGCAGAAACCCGAAGAGAAGTTGAGGACCAAAACGCCCCCACCCAAGGGGCCTGGACAAATAGTATAGGGCCTTGGGGTACATTCTGGCATATTTTATAGAGACTCTTCCTGGGCATTGCTGCCAATTGCGCAGACCTCTATAACCGCTTCATCGAGAACTTCTGAAGAGGAGCCGTTTGGGCCCACACACAGTGTGGAAACTGGCCCATTTGCGGTCCATGACGCTTCAATCCTTAAGGCCCACAACCCTATATCCAATCATCCCTCCAACCGCAAGTCTCAGACCTAGATGCCTTTGTGCGACTGCGGATGCATTCTTAGGCCGCGGAGATCTCCACATCGAGCGAGTATGAAGAACCCCCCAGCTTTCAGACCCCAACACCCAATTTCCAGTACTACGTCTCAGGGTTCCTGCTATACTTATAGTCAATCATGGTATACTGTACCCCAAAACCCCTAAACCCTAAAACCCTCTGTTATCCCTGTCCCAGGCTTCCGGTGCCCAGCAGAAAGGTACCCAAGTGCTGCAGTCGCTTGGCGTGGCGCCGCACTTTGGCGCAGGTGGTGCGGGCACCGCACCTGTGCCGCTGGGCCTCGGTTTTTGCGGCCTTAATAACTAGAACACCGTCTTTCAGGGAGTTTCAACTATCTCAGGGACTGCGGGGCTACAAGAACAGAACATTATTGCCAATGATTCTTCCTCAGCTTCAGCTTCAGGTCAAACCGAAGAGCATTAACCCTCTGGCAAACCTAACAGCACCCGCAAACCAGCGTGAAATCACCCAGGGCTGTATTGAAAGGGTTCCATACGGGTGTCATGATTATTTCAGAATGATCTTTCGAGGTTTCGGGGTCTTGGCAGAAACGTCAGCTGAAGACCGTAAGCCCTGAAAGCCATCTTCCCTATCCCTGCCAAAACCGAAGCCTGAAACAAGCTAAAGCCTAAACCCTGAACCCTAAACTCCCCAAAAAAATCCGCAACCCGAAAGCCTCCCCAGACTCCCAAACATGAGCCCCAAACCCTAAACCCAAGTCGCCAAAAGCTGGAACCCCGATAAACCCAAATCGGAGCAGCCGAGGCTTTCTGGAATATCCGTGGAGGCCCATCAGGGTCTCGCAGGGCTTAGGTTGGTTGGTTGGTTGGATTTAGGGGTTTAGGTTTAGGGGTTTAGGATTTAGGGGTTTAGGTTTAGGGGTTTAGGATTTAGGGGTTTAGGGTTTAGGGTAAAACCGCAGACGGGAGAGGATGGCCCAAGCACAGAGTCAGCCCCAAGGTGTATTGTAAGAAGTACATAGTTCTTTTTCTTGACATGAGTTAGTTTCAAGTTTGCCTGTATCTCATGAAGACCTTGAGAGCCCAGCTTGCCGGCATACAACCAAAGCCCGTGCTCAAGAAAGGGGTTTAGGGTTTGGGGTTTAGAGTTTTTGGGGCTTGGGTTGGTTAGTTGGTTGGCTGGTTGGTTGGGCTTACTTACCTTTGGTTAGTAGGGAATGGAAGAATGGTAGTCATAGTAGTTATAATTGTACCCCATTCCTCCATTCCCTACTAACCAAAGGTAAGTTTAGGGTTCAAAGGTCGAAGTTTAGGGTTCAAAGGATTAGGGTTTTTTGGAGGTGGAAGGCACGACTCCTTTGCTGCTGGCATTCGTGAGAGTCCAGTTGTAAGGCTTGCTGCTTAACGTCTTGCTCACCAACAGCTTTTTGCATGAGGCTTGCGGTTTATATTCGGTTTAGAATGCTGGGTTTCATTTCTATCATGTTAGTCGTTTCTAATCAGGGGTATTGCTATAGCTACATTTATCGCGATGCTGGTTGGTAATATCCAGGTCACTCCTTGAGTTCTGAGGGTTTCAGATGTAAAGCTGAGGGTTAAGGGGCATCTGAATTTGCGGTTGAAACTGTCGAGTAGTGGGTTCGGGGTGTTCCTTCTCTACTTTTCATCACAGTTGTCCACTGTCTTATCGAAACCTTCAGGAGATTCAATAGTAGCACAGCTCTAAACCCTCGCCTGATATGTTCTGCTTCGTTTAAAATCCGCTCTGAAAGTGCTGGTTGCACTGCGCTTTGAGCCTGTGAAATAAAACTAGAGTCACTAAACTCGCCAGACCTCGACTACACTAGAAAGCCTGAACTTCCTAAATCCTAATTACTAAAGCCCTAAACCCTAAATCCTAAACCCTAAACCGTAGCCATTTTGGCTCAAGAAAGAGCAGACAGCGAACATTCAGAGTCGTCCCTTTCTGCGGAACGCTCACTTGGGCCGCGGATGATTTCCCCGCGGCTCGGAGCTTGCACGCAAGCTGCCGTTTTGGGCTGTTGGGCAGAAATGCGCCCAAATCGCCCAAAGGTTTCAGCAGCCCCCGCCCCGGTGCGCGCCGGGGTTCTGTTGAAGGGATCGGTGGCGGCATCCAGAATAATTAGCTGGAAGAATCAAGTGACGCTTCCCTTAGCAGGCTTTCCCAAGATGATGCGAGGCTAAGCGGCTAATCCCAGCAGGTGAGATGCGACTAAGTGTGCAAAACAGGTGCTGTCATGTCTAGTCGTTCTGTTTGTCTCCCCCGCTTCCTGTGCCATGTTTGGGCCTCAGCCTTAATCCCCTGTGTCTGACAAGCTAGTCAAAATAAAGACCTGCATCAGCGCCGCCATGGCGGCTCCGCGATAACTGGTGCACGGCAAATCTTGCGCATGCCACGGCCACTTCTTGGATTTTCGCAAGGCCTCGGCTGTGGCAGAAAAGATGAATTGGAGCGGATAAAGCATGTAACACGAAGTGAGAGGCTCTTTCACTTTTGTGATGCTTATTGGCATCCTGCCCACGAGCTCCATAAGATGGGAGACTGACTGTCTTGGCTGTGGTTAATCTGGGCTTTGGCCTGTGTTGACAGTGTGGTTTATTCGTAATTCTGCTGGTGCCAACAAGCTATGCAAGCAAAGGCCGGTGGGAAGCTCAGCAGGGAAACTGTTCATTATAGACGTGCTTGCTGGGTCGGCTCACAAGAACACGAAGCAGCTTTAGCCCGAGAGCGTGCCGGTGGGAAACTCAATAGCAGAATATCCACTATTAGCTCACTGGCCTGGTTATCATGCCCTCCCAGACCATGACGGGCAACTCCATCGGGAACAACAGGGTCCGCACCCAAGCAATTGGATCTTGTGAAGCCAAGCCGTAGAAATTCGGGACTTCAAGAAGCGATTCTCGGGTGATATGTTCACATGCGCACGGTGCACCATCAAATTGCCAAGCACTTTGAACATGAACACTGAGGCCGAACAGAAACCATGCACCAGTTGCAGATAAGCCGGCATCTCGACATGCTGCGTCTCCTTCTCATCTCCGTAGGTTTCCGTTACATCCAGGACATCGTGAAGCCGAGCTACATGCGCAAAGGCTAAAGGCCATGCACCACCCATTGGCACCACCTTCATTGAGGGCTTGAAACAGTTTCCGCGTGCATGATTGGGACATGCTGCCATCATCTCCGTATCTTATAACGGTTGCAGAGGGTTGCTCTGTAAACATGAGATGCCAGGACCGGTACATGCCGCCCCGAGCGGCCACCGAGAACGTGAACGGAAGCGCAGCGAGCAAAAGAGCATGTTGCCTTGCCTCATGTAGGTACGCCTCTTTCATTTCCGACTCACGGAGACTACGCGTCTGCATCACTCGGACTTGTGCTTGTGCTTGGACACGGCTCTGGCTCCGACACAGGCTAAGAGCCGTTGCGGCACCACAATCCAAACGGTGAGTATGTCTGCGCCTTCGGACGACAATGGGCGTGCCCGTGCATGATTGGTTCTTTGGTTCCACCCTTGCAGTACAATGCGGGCGTGTCTGTACAGGCTTGGTTTCCTCGACTCCAGCCCTGCAGCGTGCTAAAGGCGACGGATTCAAAGGTTTGCAAACAGTGCACGTGGGTCCGATGTGATGCCCGACAGCCATGATCCGTTCCTGTCGATGTCATGCACATGTTCTGCCACGGTGATGACTGGCTGGCTGGCTGCTAGAGGGCGACTTCATTCTGGGATGGATCGTGCCTGGCAGTTTTTCAAACCGGCCTTGCTTGTAATTCCAGTGGGAACTGATTCGCTTCTCCGGCAGCTGAGCTCTCTTGAGGCAGGTGTGCGAAGTTCAATGCATAATTGACATTTGCATTGCCAATGTGCTAGTGTTTTCTCTTTCTCTTGGTATGGGTGGTACTATGTGGTTCGGTAATGTCAGATACGTTGACGAGATGTACTCGAAGTCTCACCCCATGCGTTCTTGATGAACTCGTGAGGAATCGTACGGATTCGTTAACAATGACCCATTTCCTCAGCGATCTTGGTTGTCGTATCCCATTCGGTAGCTGGCCTTATTTTACCCTTTCCCCCGACAGGATGCTTCTCTGTCGGTAGCGACTGACGTCTGTAACTATGCCAGATTACTACAGCAACATCTCAGTGAGGGCATGGCCTGCTGTGATCAGGAATTTGTATTTTGGTAGGGACCTGATGTGTTGTTTGCCAGGCTCTCAGTGGCTTGTTTCGCATCATCATGCGACCTCGAACCATATGCGTCGCCCGGTCTGTCCGAGTTCCGAGTGTGAGCCCTGAAACCTTAAACCCCCAAAGCCCTAAACCCTACACCCTAAAACGCCCGTCGCGAGACGGAGGCGACGGCCCTGGCGCAGCTGCGAAGGATACCGACCGGATCTTCCGTGCCCGCAGCGACGGGCGACGCAGAAAGCGAGCACGCGGGGCAGGCTCCGCACGTGGTTTAGGAGTTCAGGGTGCAGGTTTATAGGCTAAAGGGCTGAGGGGCTAAGCCATGGATACGTTCGTCTTAAGTATCCGCCCAGCGGTGTTTAAGGCTGGCACCTAGCACGAGGACTTCAGACTATAGCAGCTGACCTAAACGCCTATTCTGAGGCCAGCTCAAAAACATCACAGCACACGATCCTCCAGATGGTCAGGTGGATCACCGAAAGACACTTAGTTTGTTTGTTAAGTTTCCTTCCCTCCCTCGTTCGCTGTTGTTCCTGTTTCTCGGTCTCTCAGCCAGGACTTTTGTTTGGCAGACAATCACCCCCCAACCTAAACCCTGAACCCCCAGCCTGAGCCCTGAGGCGGCCCGGGCCATCCGTGAGAGCGAGCGCTCGCCTCCCGCGGAGATGTACTTTGCAAGCGTTTAGTCTGTTTTCATGGTTTAAGGTTTCGGGGATTCAGAGTTTAGGTTTGAGGGTTCAGGAGGTGAGGCGAGCATGAGGACATGCGCACTGCAGCCCCTCCTGTAAAAGAGAGTTCGGGACCGCAATTTCTCATGTCAAAGGTGAACTGGACACTTCGCCGTTGCTTGATATTTTGCAGATCATGCGGAGTTCAAGTCTGAATCATCAGTCTAGGCTTGGTCTAGGGGCTAGGACGGAGTCCCGAAGCGACGTCTTAAGGCTGCTGTATTTACCAAAAGCCTGAGCTTCATGAGCGAGAAGCCCTGTGACCCAAACATCCTCAAGCCATGTCTGGACCCTAAAGCCATCTACCTTGTCAGGACTTATATAAGCTATAAGCAAACCGGACTGAAAAACCAGGTTATTGGGATTCAGGTCTTCTTACGCGCTGCAACCTACTTGGAAGCAGTCGTGTGTGTGTGTGTTTTTTTTTCTGGCGGGTTTCCACTATGACTGCTACTCGAAAAATGCGACCCATTAACAAAGGTAGGTTGCGGAGCCCCGGTGCATCCCACAACAGCACCCCATGACTTTCGGGATTTACGGATACCCGCCTGCCTGACGGCTCAGGATCTACAGAATCGAGGAGCCACAGCTGTCAGGCCAGCACGTCTGTTGCAGTAATGTAGAAGCTCGAACACGGCCAACCTGAATAGTTCAAACCTGAATAGTTCGTAACTATTGTCTTTCCGAACTTTGGTGTACCGAAAGACCACATTCGAGTCTGTTAGTGAAGGCGCCTGTACTATGCAACTGGCGCGGATTACCTTGAAGTACTTTCTGGTAGGGTCCCTATAAACTCCAGATTAGGTTTTGTAACATGAACCTACAAGAAAGTAGGTTGTGGTAGTTTGAGGTATGGTTTTCAGGGCTTGTACAGTCCGCATGAAGCCCTCAAGCCCCCCTGCCGTCTGAGGCCTCTGCTTCAAGTTTGGATCCTGGGTTTTAGGGTTGGTTCCGGTTTAGGGTTTCGTGTCTGGTGTGTAGGGTTTGGGGTTTAGGGTTCCCAGTCCCCGAGGAGGAAGATTCAAAATAGTACTTCCAGCTTTATCTTTAGTGCTTAGGGTTTCGGGTTTATGGCAGCAGCCCTAAACCTTGTAGACTGTTTTAAACAAGTACCTACTAAGGCCTGACGCCCGAAGTTCGAGCGCTTGAATCCCCAGACCTTGGCCCAAACGACTGCAGAGCTGGGGGCCCGCAGTGGAATGCTAAGCACGAAGCCCTGATTCAGAGTTTAGTTTTCAAAAAGGGTCGTTAGACAAACATCTGAGACCCAAAGGTCGACGCTTCGTGATGGGCCTTAGCATTGGGAATCCCTCCTACAACTTGTCTGGAAGGCAGGAGATAGTCATTGACTGCGGGTCTACGTTGTTTCCGCAAAATTTATCTGCAGGCCACGCCACAGTGGAGCAAGCGCTGTACATGCCTCGAGACTTGCAAGGGAGTCCTGGATGTAGGGTTAAGGGGTACATTATAGGGTTTAGGAGATAGTCAAAGTTCAGAACTAGACCAATGTCTTTGGGATCCTTAATCCAACCCGCAAGTGGGGGCATAACACTGAATCCCAAAGCACTCTACCTTAACCGAGCGCATTTTTTCCGAGCAGGCCGTTTCGGCTTGATGGTCTAGAGTTTAGCATTCTGGGTTTAGGGCTCCGGCTTTCGAGTACGACATTTATGATTCGAATATCCTGTACTGGCCCTTCCTCATCATTTGTCACACCTCAATGCAGAAGACTACGCTACTACATGCAGCCCTTTGACAGGCATTCAGGCGATTTAGAGATTGAGCGTCTTGTCGATTTAAAGCCAGGGATGGGAGGAGAGGGGTTTCGATTTCTGGGTTCTTTCTAAGGGCCCTAAGTCGGATCACCACAGTCGGGAGACATGGTCAAGCTCTCGCCATTACTTGAAATAAAAGTCCGGAAGAATAGCTCGGCCTCTAAAAGCCCCAGCCTCCAAGCCCCACACCCCAACAACACCACCATAAAGCCGATTGGGGGGGGGGGGCCCTTTTTCTGCACGAATTTCTACACAAGGCCGTCATAAACCCTATGAGGCCTCAAATAAAACCCGGCATCAGCGACAGAGGCTTCAGAGCCTTGACTACCTGGAAGATGTGGAGGTAGTGCCGGGCACGGGATGATCGGAGGGTTCAGGGTTTAAGGTTTAGAGTTTAGAGTTTAGGGTTTCTGGAGCTCGCGATCGACGAGGCAGGCTTGCTGCAAGAAAAGGTTTTGGGGCGTGTTGTCCGAAAGCGCTCGAGTTGTAGGAGGACTGCCTTCCCTAGGCTCGATACTTGAAAACCAAATCAAATCCCCAAGCCCCAAGGTTGAAAAGCTCCCTGCCTCCAAGCACCCTTGACCCTAAGCTTCGCGGCTCAGAGAGCCTCGCCTGAACCCTACCAACAAACCCACATCTCAAAATTGCTCAATTGGAAACAACAAAAAAACTCAAAATGTACATCTCAAAGCTGGTCACATAGAAACAATCCACGAAGCGCAAAACGTACATCTCAAAGCTGTTCACATGGAACCAACACACAACGGCTCAATACGTACAACTCTAAGCTGTTCACGATTTACAAGGGCGTAAGGGGGTTCAGGGGTGTAGGGTTTAGGGTTGAGCGTTTTGGAATCTGAAAATTTGACACCCCTTGGTGGAAACGTCCCCCACTTGCCCTCACAATCGGGTCCCTGTGGCAGGAGTCGCTCTGCTGGGAAAGCAGCTCAGATGGCAGTTCTCAAACCCGAACCCTCACAACCGCCCAAAACTCGACCCTAACCCACAAACTCCCCTACCCAGGCCCTGAATCTAAAACCTCAGCACCGTAAACCCTCAGCCACAAAGCCCCCAACCTTAAGCTGCCTCAAGCCTGCACCCTACCCAGTGCACGCCCATAAATCCCAGGCCTCTTTGCACCCTCTTTGGGTGCCTTAGATGACTTTCTTTGCAAGCAGGCCTGCTTCCGTTGCTTCCGTGGTTTGGGGGTTAGGGTTTAGGGTTTTGGGATCAGACAAATCTCGTTCAACAAAAAGCTTTGGGTGTCAAGATTCAAGATCCACAGTTGCAAAACTGTACGCCTCACGCATACTTAAGTCCCCTGCCTAAAGCCTGTATAAGACGATCCTGCAACCCTAAACCCCTACACCTTAAACCCGAAACCCCGATTCTAATGATCGGGGCCCCGACAAAAGCCTTGCCGAAGTGGCCTTACTAATTAGCCCTACTCTTTTAAAGGGCTCCTTGTTATTATGATACAATATAGCCCAACACCCTATTCTAAAACTGAGGCCCCTACAACAGCCTTAGTAGCTGAGTGGATACACTTTACACTTTTTGGGATAAGATCACCCTTACAAAACTAAAAGTGCAGACTTTCTGGGGTGTATGAACTCAGCAACTAGGAAAGCCCTGCCCCCAAAACCCTATACACTAAACCCCTAGATATTCTAAGAAACCCTAAATATTCTAATGAACCCTAAATTGTCTAAACCCTCAACTCTAAACCTAATTATTCTAAACTAAATATTCTAAACCCTAAAACCCTACAAAAGCCCTGCCTAAGGGGCTTGGGACCCTTTTTTTCCTCGTTTTTCGCACCAGGCCGAGGCGAGGCAGCTCGAGCAGTGGGGCCTCAGGCTTCCTGACGGAAGCGAGAGGGGTAGAGAGAGATAGAGAGATAGAGAGGTAGATAGCTAGAGAGAGAGGTAGAGAGAGATAGAGAGATAGAGAGAGCGATAGATAGATAGCGAGAGAGGTAGAGAGAGATAGATAGATAGAGAGAGAGGTAGAGAGAGGTAGAGAGAGATAGAGAGAGAGATAGATAGAGAGAGAGGTAGAGAGAGATAGAGAGATAGAGAGAGAGAGATAGATACATAGAGAGAGAGGTAGAGAGAGATAGAGAGAGAGATAGATAGAGAGAGAGGTAGAGAGAGATAGAGAGATAGAGAGAGAGATAGATACATAGAGAGAGAGGTAGAGAGAGATAGAGAGATAGAGAGAGAGATAGATAGATAGAGAGAGAGGTAGAGAGAGATAGAGAGATAGAGATAGAGAGAGAGAGAGAGAGAGAGAGAGAACTGATTCAAGGTGGGCTTGAGGCCCGAAGAGCCTCACCGGATACAGGGTTTAGGGTTTAGGGTTTAGGACTAGGGTTTAGGGTTTAGAATTAGGGTGTAGGGTTTAGGGTTTAGAATTAGGGTGTAGGGTTTAGGGTTTAGAACTAGGGTTTAGGGTTCAGGGTTTAGGGGGAAAGCTAAGGGTTTAGGTGGGCTTCGAAGTTTTGGGCTGTGCAGAGCTTGAGCTTTTGACCCAAAGGGCTAAAGCACATAGCCTTAACATCCAGCAATGGAGGGTTTGGGCATTACGGTTTAGGGCAGAAGAAAAATTGTCTTCAACTTTCATTGGAAGCCCTATAACATGGATATCGGGGGGGGTATTGGGCTCGATGGCTAGGGGAAATGGCTGCTTGAAGATTAATAGCTGTAAGTCCGACCATCACCTAGTCCCTAAACCCCCTAATCCTCAAACCCCAACCCTGCTAAACCCCCTAAACCCTGAACCCAAAATCCCGACCAGCGCGCATTGATTCCCACCATGCGAGAGGGCAAAAAAACCGACCATCACCTGACCCCTAAATGCACCAAGCCCTGAACCCCGAACCTTAGATCTTGCATGGGGTCCGACTCAGCCCAACACCTTTTAAGAGAATCCCGATGCCAAAATCTTCTTGGGCGTGCGTAAGTATGTAAATGACAAGTTAGGGTAATCCTACTGTCTTACTTTGCGCCACTATGGCTCTGAAACTAGCATCCGGATAGAAAAACCCTAAACCCGAAACGCTAAACCCTAAGCCGTAAAACCCTAAACCCTCAACTTGCCTGCTGCGGACTCGAGAACCTCGCCTAGGCATGTCCGAGTGTGAGTGCTGAAACCCTCAACTTCTCTCGGATATGAGGTTTATGATCCCTTCTCCTCCGTCCTTGGCCTCTACATCGCTGTCCCCACGCCACGTTTCAGCAGAGTTGAAGGAGCTCTTGGGGTTGGCAGGGCCGGTGAGGTTGAGGGTTTAGGGTTTAGGCTAGGTATTTCGTTTTTTTTTGTGCTAGCAAGATTTCCATGGCTCATACTCCTGAACCTATCATACTGTGGCATGTACAGCCAGTGCTTCGCTTGTGTTTAGGTAGGGGAGATGCAGCGACGGCCTTCCGTAGTGTACGCTTGCAAGGTCAGGCTAAAAACCGAAGATCCAGACCCGAACTGGCAGGAAACCTTTCCCAGGCATCCCAGTGAAGAGAACAGCCACCGAACAAGAGAGCGGTTTTGGGTTTAGGGTGCAACGTCAAACAACCTCTGCCCCAAACCCTGCGGACATGGCAGGTAGCATTGATTCGTGCAGGCCCAGGACTAGGGTATCTGCGTTTCCCTCTCATTCTATCGTCTATGTGAGGAGCCAGTGATGACCCATCTAAATCAGAAAGCCCAGACTCCCAGACCCAGTCTTAAACACCGCAGTCTGGGAGCTTTGCCGAGGCTTCGTCAGGGTGCCTGCCAACCCGCGGACGGAGGTCAGAAGGGAGCACAGGGTCATGCTTAGGATTGGCAGGCTTAGAATTTCTGGGTTGTCCTTTGGGATCTTTGTAAATCTTCCTTACGATTTTGTAGAGAACTATATTAGTAAATAATTTTCAAATGGCTTCAAGGATAACTCAGATGTTAAATTCAGGGCTTAAAGGTTAAAGACGCCCTGAGCAGGCTTTCTCGGATACTGGTCTGCAGTCTGCTGACATCTCATTGGCATCGCCTGCTTGCACTTGCTGCTGGTTTCATTCCCTGTTTAGCTTTGAAGCATTTGAGCTCGAGTTTAGGGCTCATGTGGGAGTTTCCGAAAATTAGGGGTACCTGATTTTGGGCTCCTTATAATAAGGATCCTACTATTTAGGGTACTATATTAGGGTCCCCCCTGTGAGCGTTTTGGGGACTTGGGACCAGGGTTAGGGTTTAAGCGTGTAAAGCTTCGGTGGAAGGTGCGCTGCTCTGAAAGAACAGTGCTGCAGCACTGCACTTGTGAAGCACCTTGCCCGTGCCTGTGTAAGGAGTTAGATTGCATGGAAACTATGTTGTTTCCGGAGCCCCTAAACCGCAAAGACTCGGCTAGGGCAGGAATAGGACTCGGTGTGCAAGCCTCTAAGCTCCTGATGCCCAGCCGGTGTTACGTGCACGGCAGAGAAAGGGGGTTGTGAAAACTTCTGCAAACCACACGACGAGGCCGATGCTGACGATGATAATGGTGACGACGATGATTCCAACATCCGAAACCCTGAACCCGAAGTCCACATCAATAGTGCAGCCAGAGCCAGCTGCAAGGCCCCAATGCCTTCCGAACCTTTGCATCAGCACCTCATGGGGAGGACTTGCGCGATGCCGTCGCAGCAGGTTGCCGGGTTGGGGAGAACAGGGGGCCGGTTTCATGCGGCTACCAAATGTATGTGACAGCACCTTATTTGCCGTACCACTTGGCGCCGACTTGATCAGGTTATCTGCTGTCTGGTCTGTATTGGGTAAACCTGAAAGCTTTACCTACGAGCTGAGCCTACACCCTCCGCACGAGCTAGCCTCCACCGTGATCCGATCATCTGCACACCTTCCTGCAAAGCGACATGACAGCTAGGTTTCAGGGGTTCGAGCAGTTTAGGCTTTGATTTCAGTGCATGAGGTTTTCTTGTGGTATTTCCTGCTTCAAGGTTTGGCTGTTGTTTTTGGATTTGACGTTGACGTTTTGGGTGCGAGGGATGGCATCAATCAACGCTTGGTGACTTGGGGTTACCTTGAACACTAAGGCCCCCTTGCTCCAACTCAACGAGACCCTATTCCTAAACTTTCTGCACACCCCGTAAGTCAGCCAGATACAAAGCTCTGCATAATCAGCAATAGCATCCCCGTATAGTCCACTGCGCTGAAACCAAACAAGCCTCTGACGCTTCATTATACAGCCCCTGCAAGAAAGCCGGAGCGCGCGCGTCAAAGCTAAAAGACAGCCCTAACCCTTGCCCCAAACTCTAAACTCTAAGCTTGAAACCTTAACTGTAAACCCTAGAACCCCAAACCTTAACCCCAAACTCTAAACCCAAAACCCTAAACCCCAAAACCCTAACCCTTAAAACCCTAAGCCCGGAAAGAAAAGCCCTATAAATCCTATAAACCCTATAAACCCTATAAACCCTATAAACCCCTAAACCCCAAAACCCTAACCCTTAAAACCCTAAACTCGGAAAGAAAAGCCCCCGACTGTGCAGGCCAGGCCGGCCGGGCCGCGGCGCTTTTGCTGGCGCTCTGCGTCGATGACCCTCTGGACCTGCCGGCCGGTTCTGGGGACTTAGGGAGTTAGGATTTTTGGGGTTCCTTGAAGTGGGGATTCTATATAATTCCTTCAGGAGAGTTGAGGGTTCATGGTTTAGGGGCTTAGGCGTTTAGGGTTTTGGGGCTTGGGGTTTCTGGGGCTGAGGGTGTTGGGGTGTTAGCGGTTTGAGGTTTAGGGTTTTAGGGATTTTCGGGATTTTGGGGGTTAAATAGGGTGTTAGGGCCTCTGTTAGGGGTTTTGGGGGGTTTGGGGCTTTAAAGGGGCAGGGGGGTTCAGCGCGCTTTGGGCATGAACCAAAGCTGTATAAGGATTTTGGGTAGGGGGGCTGGGGATGTAGGGTTCAAGACTCTGTTGGCTTTCTGCTTGGGGATTGTGCTTATGGACTCATTCCAATGATGCCCCGGACACCCGATGGCGTGAGAGCGCTCAGTTCTTCTCGTGACTTTTGGATTAAGGTTTGGGGTGGTAGGGTTCAGGGTTGAGGCTTTTGTAGGGTGTTCACGGCGTATACCACAATATGTCACATCTCAGAGCCCACGCTATCAGTTGGTAGAATCAGAAGGCTAGCATGCCGGTGACCCTGCATCTCTAAGCTCAGCCCTTTCGGAAACCTCAAACCCTAGACTAGGCGAGGGGCATGGAAGCCCTGGGCAGGCACTCTCCTTCTTTGTGAAGGATGGCTTGGGAGTATTGAAGGATCGCGGCCTGGCGGCGAAAATAGAGCAGTTTGTCATATGATTCCAGTAAGGAGCCCTAGTAAGGAATAACTCAGGGCCTGATATTAATTAGGGCAGGCTCGGGACAACACTGCTGGGGACGAAGTGCTGGCAGGGCCAGTGCTAAAGGCTGATGGCCATGGAGTCGCCTGATGTGACATAACAGTTTGCTGCAGAGAAAGCAGTAAAAATCGGGTTATGATGATAACGCCAAGGCAATCAATACGAGCTTGGGGTTTGTGCTCTATTTCAAGACTTTGGGCTTCAATTAAGGCTTTCAGAGTCTCGAAAACATCATGTCTGGTCTTTCTCCCTATCAGTTCCGGCTTGGTACGCAAGATATGTTTCTGCGCCGCTGCTGAACCGTAAACCCGATTACAAAGTTTAGGAGCAGAGCCGTGTGCGGCTCTATCCATCGATGGGCATGCTTAATAGGCCTGTGGAGGTTGGAGTTTTTGCTTTATGAACATGAACTTCTGTCAAGAGCCTGTAATTAAAGCCTTGTGTTCGCTTGGGCTGGGCAACCGCAAGACTCGAGGCACCCCCGCCTCCCACGGCCTGGACGTTGAATAGCCGAAACCTAAACGCTTCAACCCGGAACCTTAGACCTTTCACGCTGACTCTTTAGACACTTTAGACTAGAACTTGAAACCTAAACCCTGAACCCTCAGACGCACAAACCTCCTTCCAGCGCGAAGCCCGAGAAAACTCCAAGCCTCAAGGCTCCACGGCACCTCCGGTCCGGGTCGCTGCAGCCTTTACCGTGGCAACCTTGCGCGCGTTGCCACCGAGGCCGGGGGGGTTCCCTGCAGTGCTCGGTGTTAAAGATACCGGAAGAGGAGGCCAACCAGAAGACCCTAAGCAAAATGGCACCTTATAATATTATATGCAATATAATATAGAATATATTCTACAAGAACCAAAAATTGTTATAATAATGCATGTGCCTAATACCTAATTTTTTTGATGAGAAATTCAGGCACCCAGGTCACTGGAGTTCCAGGATTCTTCCTGGGCTGGCTGTTTGGCATCGACTCTACACCCTTAACCCGCGATTTAACCCTAAACCCCAAACCCTAAAACCCCAAACCCACAGGAACCCTAAACCCTTAAACCCCTAAACCCCTAAACCCCTAAACCCTAAACGGTAGAATGCTCAATTCGACTGCCTTGAACCTTCAACCTGTGAACCCGCCACGAGGCTGAGGGCCGATGTGGGCGCGGAGGCCCTACTGCCTTGCCTGAAGGCCCGGTTGCTTAACATGGAAGCCTTATTGCTTAGAGTAGAATCATAGAATATGGAGGTTTAATTGTTTAGTAGCATTGTCCCCCGTATAGTCCCTCATCAACTAAAGTGCATTTGTATTCTGGAAGCTGTCATGGTTCGTTGCATTGTTCCCTTATAGTGCCTGGTCAGGTATAGTCTGTTTTGGTATCATAGAAGGCCCCAGTGCTTAGTGTGGGCCCCTTCCCGAGACCGTACAAGAAAGATCCTACCTTTTCGGGTTCCCTGTTCAGAATTTTTCCTTTCATAAGTCCTCAATGATCTAGGCTACTTGGGTTAAGACTATGAGTAGTTGCATCATTCCCTTATGATTGTAGCCTGTACTCAACTGTAGTATCTTTTGCAGTATAGTTATTAGCATTTTTCCATTATAGCCCCTACTCAATCATACTATATTATGGTATTATAGAAGGCTATGAAAGAGTTTCAAGGTTTTGGGGGATTTCAGGCCTCAGGTGGACCCGAAACCAAAACCACCAACCTTTTCAGGCCTGGATGGATTTAGGGTTTTCAGACTCTGGCTACGCGGCTCCATGAATCTTTGTCATAGTTGGGTAGCATTTTACATTTCATGGGTACTTAAACCTAAGAAGGGACAGTTTTAACCCTATCCCAACAATGAACTAGGAATGTGGTTTCGGGCTGAATTTCCGTCGAATTCCGGTTCACTCTTCAGCTATGCCCGGAACTTCGAGGGCGAAGAGGGGCCCACCCTAAACCCTAAACTTTGGCCCTAGCCCTAAACCCTAATACCCAAACCCCACATCCTAAAGCCCACTAAACCCTAAACTTTGGCCCTAAACCCTAAACCCCAAACCCTAAATCCTAAATCCTACAACCCACTTGAGGAGGAAGTCGGATGGGAAGCGGCCTGCTGGGAGGTTCCTTGCTGTCGCTGGCCGCTTCCTCTTCGGGTTTAGGGTTTAGGGTATAGGGTTTAGGGTTTAGGGTTTAGGGCCAGGCAGTATGTCTTGTGTGTTTCCTCTTTCTTCAGGGTGCCCGGCAGTCGCAATAGGCCTGGTGAGGGTCCAGTAGCAAAAAGGGGTGAGGGTATAGCCATACGATCATATAAGGGTCTTGTTAGGTTTCTGTTTTAAATATGGTATAGTAGAGGGGGCCATTGTTTTACTAGGGTTGCATGTTGCAGTGTAAGCAAATGGCGCTTTTCCTCCAAAAAGGCAAGATGTTGCCCAGACCACGAGGGGATTTAAATGGGAATTTCCGAAAATTAGGGGTACCCAATTTTGGGGCCTTATAAAAAGGATCCTACCATGTAGGGTGCTATATTAGGGACCCTGTTTTCGGAAACTCCCAAATGAGCCTCGAGTTTGGCACCGTATATTACCAAGGGCATTTTCATGAGAAGCTGCAACCTGTAAACGGATCCACGCTTTAGATCCTCGCATGTCTGGGCAACAGGATTTCCATGCGGGGCCTCTGATGAAACCTCCAGCGAGACTAGTGACAAAAAGGAGTTACAATTTCAGCTTCGTAGATAGTGCTGTGGCAGGAGTTGCAAGACAAGCGACAGTCATAATCCCTGACTGCATGGGCTAGATGACTGTCAGACTGTAACTTTGAGATCTCGCGAGGGCTTCCCTGCCCTCTCTCTGAGGGTTGTCTCGTACTCTCCCAAAAGCGGTCCCTGTTTGGGGTTGGACCGGTTTGGAGTTTGGAGGTGCTTACTTGAAGAGATTCTTAGACCCGTTCTGGCGTCGGATTCCGACGCCGAGCGTTGCATAATTGGTTGTACGATGGTTTGGGAGCCCGGGATGGTTTCCTAGCTCACTCAGATGTTCTACTGACCGGCTTGCATCTCCAACTTGAGCTTTGCTCCTAGTCAAGCTCCAGCTAGCCCACATCCAAACCCTATGCCCTGACCGTAAGCCCTTTCGACTACAAGTTACACTCAAGTAATAGTACTAAGACGACTACTGACTACGTAGACGTAGTCGTAACAGCACATTGTACTGTTTTTTCCGCGGGAAGTGTAGCAACACGAGCAGCTAGACTCGTGGTCGTGGTGGCCATCGTGAGGGTTATGCCAATACTCATATGGGAGTTTCCGAAAATAGGGGACCCCAATATGGTACCCTAAATAGTAGGATCCTTATTATAAGGACCCCCAAAATCAGGTACCCCTAGTTTTCGGACACTCCCATATCATCGTAACCTTGACACGACCATGGCACAAAGGCCGCAGAGCTCTGTCATTGCACTCCCGTCCTGGCGGCGCTGGGCGCGGAGTGGGGGGTACCCTGGGCTAGGGCATTAGGATTTGGTGCCAGAGTGCGGGGGTGTTTAGGAGCGCAGGGTCAAGCATTGGTGATTTAGTTAATTTAGTTGGCATCGGGTTTGAAAGTTGTTTACATCAAGGTCTGTAAGACTTCTCAAATCTGGGACATGTTGGACCTGCAGATCACAGCGCTGAGGCTTTTAACTTGAGGGCTTCGATGCTTCGTGGTAGGTCTGGTAGGTACTTGATATAGGGGCCGGGGCCTCAATAATTACCAATGGGGTTCCTTATTCTGAATATAGTATAATGTACCCCAAGCCCTATTCTGATCATGGAGGCCTCTATATTGATGATTTTGGGCTGCAGGGCTTGGCTAGTGCAGGGTTGGAGGTCTGGGATGTAATGTGATCTTTTGTAGGTTTCGGGCTTCGACGCTTTGGCGCTTTGCTTTTGCGGGAACATGAGCATGGCCTGAGGGGTGATTCTGTGATACTTCTGAACTGCGTACCTAGCACAATGCCGCTGACACCATCACGTAGATCTTGCGCATTGCATGCACAACGCAGTGTCATTGTCAGCTGTTTTATACAGATTCCACACATAACTGGATAGACAGACCTCCACTGCTTGGCTCCTGATCGTTACTGCGGGGATAGAGTCGCAACCAAATAAGAACGACTGGCAGTGATCATCCGCTTCACACAATAAGCGATGCTAAACCCATACCCCTTCAAGCCCAACAGCGAAGAGCCGGTTGGCAAAACCCTAACAGAAAATCTTGCCCAGGCCCAATCCTTGATGCTTTTAAGACAAGCACCCCCCCCCCTGAATCTTGAAATAGAAGTTCTCTCAACATCCTAAACCCTGATGTGCATCTTACAAGACTACATGATTTTGGACGCCAGCGGCTTTTGAAGGTGTTAGGGTTTAGGGTTCGAGGGCCTCTGGGTTCCTGTGATTTGAGGTTTTCGGGTTTTAAGGTTATTTTTCAGGTGGTAGGGTTCAGGATTTCAAGAAGATGGTTCAAGGTTTTCAGATGTTTTAGGTTCTGGGGTTCATCCCAGGTGGCCACCTGGGCGCTGCCCTCGGCGCCGAGATCGTGGGACCTTGCCACGGGCGAGGCGGCTGGGGTGGGGTTCATGGTTTATAGGGCATAGGACATAGGACTTAGGGTTTGGAAGGCTTCGGGTTTAGCACAAAGGTTTGGGGCGATTTTGGGGCGGTCCGCCATGCGGTCTTCAGATGGGATTTTCGACCGGCTCAGTTCCCGAGCTGGAGTTTGCGGGCCACGATCCACATGAACCCTGAACCCTTACATATAGGGTACTCGTACAGTGCGGTTTACCCTCCCCCCAAAAAAAACTCGAATTGAATTAGCAAAATAATATAATATACCCTGAATATACACCAAAACCCTCTTCGAATTGTTAACACTAGTATAATATACGTAAATATACCCCAACACCCTGATTGAATGATTAACAATAGTATAATCTACCCACACCCAAAACCCTCTTTGCATGATTAACAATAGTATAATCTACTCTAAATATACCCCAAAACCCTGTTTGAATTATTAACAATAGTATAATATACCCTAAATATGCCACAAAGCATTCTTTGAAGTAGCAAGTTCAACACAAGCCCTCTCGACCAGGCCGATTTCTTACGGGCCCTTGGCCGGACACATGTGGGAGTGGACGAGGCTCAGCCACAGGGCGAAGAGTCTGGGATTTGGGGGATGAGGAGGGGGTGTGACAACGATTTATGTCAGAAGTTGTGGGCCTGCGTTCCTTTTGCCACAAAATCCAACGTGCTGTGAGGTTCTATGTTGTGCTATTCTTGTTACTTGTAGTGCTCTTGTGCTATAGTTGGTCGTACCCTCCTTCTAGAAGCTTTGGGAGGCAGAGAAGCCATGCACATACGTCGAGTTCTATGTTTAAGTAAGTATACCGCACATGTATCGCGTGCACCGTGTGCAAGGGTAGATCAGCATGTTCTTTCCTTACCGTCATCACCGTCACTCTTGATCTGTTCAGCCTTCCTTATCTTACTACATTCCGTTCTACTTCCATCACCTCAACCCCACACTCCTGAGCCTTGAACCGCGAAGCCGGATAACGGACCATGCCCTGAGCCCCTGAACCCCCAAAAAGTTCAACAGCTTTTGAAACCTTTCTGTGACGCTTGATGCTGAAGTAGGAGGGGGGGGGGCCCTTAGTAAGTCAAAGGCGTTGTATAGGATCCAGATCAGGAAGGCCGATGGTTACCAGATGGAACGCTACTAAAGGCCTACCCTCTTGGAATTCATGCGACAGAGCCCTAACTCTAGACCCGAAAGCCTAAACCCTGAACTCTAAACCCTAAACTCTATATGGAACCCCCGAGCCCTAAATCCGAAGAAGCCTGGGGCCCAGGTACCGACGGCCGAAGTTGGCCACCCCACCCCGGCAGAAGGCCAGGGGCCGGCCACCCACGCAGAGGTGAAGAAGGACGTTGCAGAGTAGGGTTTAGGCCCAGACGTAAGGGCGTAAGGATTGAGGTTTGCAGTTTTCGTCTCGCTTTTGGGTCTGTTTACAGGCTTGTTTGTACGGATTTGGCAGGCTTTCATCATATTCTACCAAGTTTTCCCTTTTTGTTTTAAAGAGATTCCACATGGTTGGGTGGGCGAGGGGTGGGAGAGGGTTTTGTATAGGATTGTACAAAGGTTTTGATGTGCAGTACCTGGTAGGTGATTATAGGGTTCGCCCTAAATCATTACCTATCCTATTTTGGGGCTTCCTTATTCTAATCACTGTATAATATAACCCAAAACCCTCTTCTAATCATCCCTACCTTACATGGTTGTAGTTCCATTGTCGCGTCCGTGAACTCCAGGCCCTAAACTCCAGATTCAAATCCTTACTTGAAGCACCCGAGGACTGAGTAAGTAGGTGTTAAAGAAGCATCCAAATTTGGATAACCCTATTTGGGTGCATTAGTAGCTCTTCTTAGAATGCACGTGCTGGGTGCTGTGGTCCTGCATGCAATCTTTGGATGCAAAACCCTCAGTTAAGGGGAAAACAGCGCTGAATCCTAAACCCCGAAACCTAAACCCTAAAGCCGAAACTCAAAACCCTAGCTCTTAAGCCTTAAGCTCTTGAAGTAAGCCCCCCAGCAAACACTGCGACACCCCTTCACAAACAGACAACAAACCACAGGCCTTGCAAAGACCGTTCTGCAGCCCTCTCAAACTTTCCAAACACTCCCCACAAAATCTTCCCTTCTAGCGCCTTACAAACCACCATCTTTGAACCGAGAACCATAAACCCTGGAACCCGACTCCTAACTCCAAACCCTACGTTACACCCAATACCCTTGGGCGATTAAAACAAACTCAGATCGTGAAAAACACTTAAAGCAAACAGAAACACAAAAACCTTAGGACAAGAAATAAACTTATACCTTTGGGCAGTTAAAACCAAATCAAACCATGAAAAAAGACTTAACGGAACAAACCCTAAGCCCTCAACCTGAAACCCCAAAGCCGACACCCTAAAGCCTAAACCCTATAAACCCCAAACTCCAGACCCCAAACCCTATAAACCCTAAATCCTAAAGCCAAACCTTGAGAAAAGAACTCCGCAACACCGCAGGAGCCGGCTCCGCCTCCTAAAACTCCCGAGCCCTCGGCGCCTGCAAAGCCCTCGGCCGCCGGGGAGGCAGCGCTGTTGGACGTCAGGGGTTTCAGGGGGTTTAGGGTTTAGAGGAGTTTACGGGTTTTAGGGGTTTGGGGTTTAGCGGTTTTAGGTGTTTAGGGGTTTTAGGGGTTTAGGTTTTAAGGCTGAGGGCATTGGGCTTCCAGACACCGACAGCACATTTCCAAAGAACTCACCACCCTTAAACACCCATAAAGCCGCCAATTAGGCGGCCCTAACCGCCCCGACCTGAACCCAAAACCCATGAACACCGCACCCTAAACCCTAAGCCCAACACCTGGAGGTATAGGATTTAGCATTGAGCAGTCGAGCAGGTTGCCTTTAACCTTGAACGTGAACACATGAGCGACAATGAACCACCTAACGGTCCTCTGATGAAGGAGCGCAGTTCATTGCTTTTCGATGCCGAACGGTTCGAAATCCGAACCGTTCCTATTGTCGGTTCTTCAATCCAGGTTTAGGGTTTGGGGGTTTGGGGTTTAGTGCTCAGGGTCACTTTTGATGGGGTACGTTTTGTTGATTTCTGGGTTTCTGGTTACGGTGATTCTCGTGGTAGATCCTACATCCTACATTGTAAAGCCCAAGCTGTGCCGCCTAAAGCTTGAACCCATGACCAAAGCTCTACGAAGCCCCTGAACCAAAGATTGCCGCCACGGAGACACCGTTTTGAGGTGACTTTGGAAGAGGACCAGAAGTACCACATCCTGGAGGTCGGGACAGGGTTCAGTGGATTCTTGGGGGGTTCAGGGTTTAGGGTTTAGGGTTCTGGAGATTCTTGCGGCTTCGAGGCTTACGGCACTTTTCGTGCGAGCAGGTCTGCACGGTTTTGGCAGGGCCAGGACGCTTTACGGGTTGTCGGGCTTTGGGCTCGGAATTGAAGGGTGTAAGGTTTCTGGAATGACGGGCCATCTTTCATTCCTGGATGAAGGAACGCGAAGTGGAGCTCACGGGTGCCGTGCACACCACTTCGCTTCAGCCCTGAACCCTTAAAATGAATCCCTTAGGCCTTAAACCCTTGAAGCCCTTAGATGCCCTAAGCCCTTAAAGCCCAAACCCCCAGCAATGTCTCACACCCCTGATCGCAAGGTCTCAGGGCTCAGCACCCTAAGGGCCAAAACCTCGACCGCCGTCTTAGAGCACCTCAAGCCTTCAATATGAATTATTCTCCTCAGCCGCAGTTTTAGCAGTCCTAGCAGTCTTATGTCCAGGATGACCTCCGATGACCATGATGATGATCATTGTGATGGTCATGATGATGGTGATGGTGATGATGATAGTGATTGTGATGGTGAGTTTTGCTGTTAAGTTTACTGATATGTAGTGTTACCATTATTTGTGCTTATAGTGGCTGTTTTGCTTTCGTGAGGTTTTTCTGCTTTCAGCGATGCGCCGTAGCCGCCCATTGGTGCACAAACTCCTGCCAACGCCTCAAAGAGTCCACCCTGGTGGAACCCTTCTAACAGCCTTCATAGAGCCCCTGTAGCTCCTAGCAGCCGGGCCCCGATGAAACGATCTAAAGCACCTGAGCCTGAGGAGATCCGAGATGGCTTCTGCCTCAACCAGAGCGATGCAGCACAACTCCAAAGGAATCTAGGCACTCTTCTTTGGGGAAGGGTAGGGTTCCTTGTAATGAGGTTGGCATCATGAATCTAGGCACTTTTTTGGGGAAAGGGTTTAAGCGTTTAGTGCAGAAGCCTTAGGTTCGGGTTCCTTTGGGTTCCTTGCTATGAATATGGCCTAAGGTTCCCCCAAAAGCCCCATTTTAACCATTCAGGCTCCTATGTTAGGGTTGCGGGTCCAGAAGTTCAATCGAAACCAGACGATGCCAGGTTTGGGACCGGATGAACAGATTTAGCTTGAAAAGTCAGGATGCCTGGGTTTGGGGTTTAGGGGAGGTGCAAACCTTGAAGCCTTCGTGCAGGTTTAAGGTGGGATGCAAGGACAAGGGGACCTTGGGAAGCACTGGCAATGCACTGTCTATCCTTCCTTTGCAAGCTTGATCATGAAATAGAATCCGAACGGAAAGGTTCCAAGCCCCTGCAATGAACGCGGTAGCAGAAACAGCAAACCTGGAACCCACCCCGAACGGAAGAGACATGGAACGACTTGCAGAAATCGGATTCGAAGCCCTGTAGCCCAAAACTTTTATGCCCAAGCACTGCATCATCAAGCAGTCGGCGCTCACCAGGCGGCGCTCTGAAGCGGCTTGGCGACGACCTGTGCCTCGATCCCAGGATTAAGACTTCAGGGCCCTACATTAGGGCGGGGGGCGTAAGTGGGTTTGGAATTTCTGTTGCAACTCTTTGCCGCAACTTTTGTCACAGCCACGGCTGCTGGTGCTCGACGGCTCTGCCTCTGATACAGCAGTTCCCTACTACGCACGGCGACGACGACGACGACTACTGCTGCTACTACGATTCCAACGACGACGACGAATGCTACTACTGCTAGAGCTGCTTTTTACTGCTACGACGAAGACGTCGAGGCCGACGACGGGGATGTCTCTGCAATCATAGTTTACACCAGCAAACAGAAAGTCCCAGGATAAAGCCATGAGCAGCCATAGAAAGCAAAACCGAGGACTCATGAACCACGAGGAATGAACAGTTCTGCGACAAGTTCTCAGAAGAATTCAGAAGCAAACACGAGGAGCAGCAGCGTGCTTTGAAAACTGTTCGAATCGGTGTTCGAAGACCTCGCCACTCCATGCACTGGAGGTACCGGGAGCAGCACCACTTCGTCTTCGAACTGCTACAGAAGCTTCGACGCACACCCCGAACTCGGAGCCCGGTCTTCTGTGTGTACCGGCGTAGGGCTGAGACCGCAGCACAGCGTTCCTCGTGCTTGGTGAGTCTTGAGGCCGGCGTGCACTTTTCGGAATACAGCGTTTAGGGTTTACCGTTCAGGGTTTCGGATGTAGGGCTTTGGGTCTGCCGAGGAACGGGGATGACAATACATACCCAGACGGCGCAGTCCCGTGCTACATGCTGCTGCTCTGTGACTCGGCAAAACGAGGAACCCTGAGTCGAGCATCCAAAGGGGCAAAGCAAAAGTTAACTGGACCCGAAGCCGCAAAATCCACTCCACGAAGTGAAGGGACCTGGATACTCCCTGAACGGGTTAAAGCCTTCGAAGGGTTTACACAAGGGATCCTGACACTATGACCCTTCAAGGGAGATGGATGCTCCCGAAGACGTGGGCCTGCCGCTTGTTGGATGATGTTAGTGTAGACACCACAAGCACGCCAACCCCCACCAACCCTGAACCCTAGCACCGTACCCTAAACCCCAAACCCTGAACCCGAGCACAGTACCACAAGATTGTATACCCTTGAGCCAGGTTCATCCTCACCGGCACTCGAAGGCATTTGTTGAACAGAAAAACTCAACCCACCCCCTAAACCCTAAACCCCTTACTGAGCCTGGGGCCATTTTGTCACCAGAGACCCCGGACACAGTGGATGGAGAAAAAGGCGTGACATCCAGTACCACCGTCCTAAGCATTCAACATCTCGCCCCCATTCCCAACCTCAAGAGCTTGAAACCTGGACCTAAAACTGTGGTGTTCGCAGGATTGATGTTCTATTGTAATTATGATAGCCTTCTACGGGATTTGTTAGAACTATCATAACTAATATTTTGGTTCTGAACCCTAAGCCTAGAACCCTAAACCCTTCGAAGGCAGAGTCTAAGGGTGCTTAGCAAACCCAAACCCAAACTCCAAACCGTAATACCCTAAACCCGGTGCCGACCTAGGGTTTACATAAGGTATCGTGTTGTTGCACCTAGGTAGGGTCCACAGTCAGCTTTCGGGGTTTCGGACGCAAGTGCAGACGGAAAGGGCCCATAAACAAAACCCCTAAACCCCGGAACTTGGGAGGGATGCAGCCAGAGCAGATACAGTCAATTTAGTTGTTCCGATACGCTATGCTGCTTTCATACTATGACTGATCCATTACTCCGTTTCACAGTGTCAGACCTCGAACCACATGCCTCGCCTGGACCGAGTGTGAGCGCCGAGACCCCGAAACCGGTCATCAGCTTCCCAGAGACTCCAATATCCCTTAATTAAGGAATATTCCTTAAATCATATTAAGGATCCTATTATAATTTAAGGTATATTCCTTAATTAAGGGATATTGGAGTCTCTGGCTTCTAGTGCAGATCAGTCAAAGTACTTGCGGAGGAGACCGAGGCCTCGTCAGGCATGTCCGAGTTGCGAGAGCGCCGAAACCCCGAAACCCTAAACTTAGGGGTACTTAGAAATAGTTTTTATTTTTTTGGTGAAGAAAACCCTTAAGAAACAGCAAAAATTACAATTTTTGCTAGGGTGCTAAGTTCAGTATAGTAAACCCGGCCCACTTCAGACCTCCAGAGCTCCAAGGCGACAATATGCTGGTCGCCTTATCCAACGAGGTCGGTTTCAACCAGGACCCCTCAGCCACAAACCGGGTTTAGGGTCTAGGCCCTAGGGTTCAGGGTTGGGTCTAGGATTTCGGGCTTGCTGGCGTGATGTATCAGGTTTAGGGTTTAGCTCTTGGCGAAGTGGAAAGCTTGTTGCAAAAGGGGTTTCGGGTGTGGGAGTTGCGGTTTAGGGTTTGGGGTTTACCAGATGCAAAAGCTTTGGGGTTCAGGGTTCCGGGTTGAGTCCCTTGTTTAGCGTTCATGGTCGTGGGTTCAGGACTTGGGCTCCGTGTTGTGAGAGCCCTGTCAGCCCCTCAAAAAGCCTGAAACCTAAACCCTCAACCCCTACACCCTAAACCCCTAAACCCCTAAACCCGAAACCCTAAACCCCTAAACCCCTAAACCCGAAACCCTAAACCCCTAAACCCCTACACCCCAACCGCTGAAGCCAGATCCCCAACACTTGGAGCCCAAACCGCTACAACCCCCAAATCCCAAACCGTACAGTTCTACAGTCTAGCGATTCCGAAAACGTCACGCTATCGTGTAGCCGCGTAGAGTTTCGGGCTATATACAGGGTTTCAGGCTTGATGGTTTCGATGTTTCGAATTGAAACAACCCATGACCTGCAGAAGGCCCGGAGTAAGCAGAGGATGATTCACATAGGGGCCTTAATAATCGGAATAGGGTTTTGGGGCCCATTATAGTATGAGTATAATAAGGAACTCCCAACATAGTATTGGTAATTGTCTAGGTCCTTGTGTTGTAGCCTATATTTCTAATAGACAACTGCTACGCAGAAAGGCGGTTTACCTGAACTTGCGAATCTGCCGTATGAGGGGGTTTGAATATCAAGGGTCCTATGCTTTCTGAGTAGTACATCTTAGGGACCCCTTGCGTTCTTACTAGTTCTTGCAGGCGCCTCTAGCTCAGGTGCCCGGACATGTTTGCAGGAGACACTGAACTCTCAGCCGTCCCCCAATGTGGTAAGCACGTGGATGAGACTTGTGTGGAGCCTTGCCTGCCCTGTGCGGAGTGAGAGACGAAACGGGGACAGGCAGACGATAAGTATCGATAAGTAGAGCTATAAGCAGCCCAAGCGGGACCAACATTCTCCCACCTTTTCACGCGATGAATAACTACTTACTAGTTTCTCTACCCTCTAGGTAGCCAGGTAGGCCAAAGCCTCCAGTGACTGCGTGTGCAGGAGAACGTGAAATCTTTGTGCTCCGTTGACAGCTCGACGCCGCCGGGCCTACTCAGATTTTTGATTGGTTGGTATGTTTCTGTTCCAGTAGCGGCCAATGGGACATGTTGTCCTGCTTCACTGATCTGCTGCAGGGTTGGGGGACAGTGCTGTTCCAGTTGTTTCCATTTTTCAGTAGCCTACTACATCCCCCTGAACTCTCAGCCGTACGATCAAGTTGGAACTAGGTGGGGTTCGGGGAATTTAAGGCTTAACGTTTTTGGGAGTTTTCGAAAATAGGGGACCCTAATATAGTATCCTAAATAGTAGGATCCTTATTATAAGGACCCCAAAATGTTTGATCCGCTTTGGCTGGTGGATGTACGGGTTTTGGGAGAGTGTTTAGTTTTCGGTCGAGTGCCTCGAGGCACTTTCGACCTTATTACGTACTAGGCTGGCTTCGGAGAAACAAGAAGTCCTCCGGCAAATAAGAAAATCCCTTCAATTCGAAACCCTGAACCCTAAACCCTTATATAACCCCGAAACAATCTTAATAAGGAACCCCCCAAGATAGTATGTGTAATTGTTTAAGCCCCTACCTAAACCCCCCTGCCTTTTGCGGCTTGCATGAAAAAGCGGGGGGCTCTGACAGTTTTGCGGAAGCTTCGGGCTTTGTGGTTGAATTTCTAGGTTTCGCGAGGCTTCAACGCCCTAGCCCTAAACCCTAACTACCCAAAGGCCCCAAAGGAGCTCCTTTTTGGGGGTCATATATAGAATCCTATAAGGTAATCCCAAAAAGGAACTACTATGGGGCCTCTGGGCGGGGGGCGCGTCGCCCTCAGGGTTCGGCGCTGGCGGCCCTCGGAGAACCTGGAAGGGTCCTGACCGTGGTAAATTGCGTATCATGCGTATACCATTGGGTAATGAAGCCCAACTGAGCATGTCACTCTAAACCCTATAAACCCTACCACGCTAAATCCTAAAACCCTAACACACTAAACCCTAAAACCCTGACACCTTAAATCCTAAGCCCTAAACCGTTACGCATTACTTCGGGCCTGTAGATATGCCTCTCGTCTCCATTGCAGTTCCTGTCGCTGGGTTGACCAACTATATAATCAGGATCCTATAAGGTAACCCCAAAAAGGAAGTACAATGGAGGCTATAGGTGGGGCTTTGGTTCAAGAGCTGGGCCTTGAGCCTGATGGCAGCTTCGGCTGTCCTTCTCTGCACACGACATTAGATTGGGGAGTTTCCGGAAGTCTGGGGGTACCTTATCTTGGGGTCGGTGTAATTTAATAAGGATCCTACTATTTGGCGCCTGTATTATTACTAGTAGTGCCTCCTGCTGTTGATGATATAAATCCTGCATTACCCATAATATTCCTAGGGTCCATAAGGTGATGCAGGATTCAAATCATCAGCCGTATTTTCGGAAACTCCTAGATAGAATAGGGAAAGCAGTGTGGGTTCATGTTTCGACTTTGGGATTCAAGGATTAGGTGCGGGAGCCCTGTAGCGATCCGGGATCTTCAGACAAGAGTGAAGTTGTTCTGCAGACTGTACCAAAAAGGGCTTGTGCAATTCTACAGCACATGATTGGTCGCCGTTTTCCCTAGGGTTCCCTGCTATGACCGTTGCATTATTCACCCCAAGAGCGAGATCCTATTCGACTTATTGAGGCCCTTTTCTTACTCGACCATTCCCAACACTTGGTCGACCTGGGGGCAGAACATATCCCGTCAAGACCTGGACAGATGCCGCACTCTGAGAAGACAGTCCCGGACATGTGAGGTATGTTCGTAATGTGCTCATCATGGCCGCTTTTCGCATTCGACACTGTTGTGAGGAACACAGGCTGCATCCATCTTCGAATGGGCGTCGTTCTGCCCGCAATCCTTCTTACCCCAAGCCCGAAACCTTGAACCCCGTTACGAGAGCGTAAACCCTGAACCCCAGACCGATGCTGGTCCAACTCGTGCTCCTGCAGGGTATTGGGTTTAGAAGTTTAGAGGTAAAGGGCCGAAGGGGTATGAATCATATAGGGGGTTTGGGGTTGCGTGGTTCAGGGTTTATAGGGTTTTCTGGGAGTATTTTGCTTTTCCCGGCCGACCTCCCGAGCCCGGATGCGAAAGGGTTCTGGGATTTAGGGGATCGGCTTTGAATGGTTTTGGCTGAGCTCGGCTTTTGGGACTTTCTCGGCCGGAGGCTGCGGGCCCATTTGGTTCACCTGTGCTTCATTCGGTCCGACAGCTGTCAGGGCTTTCTTAAAAAATCCAACCACAACGACAGCCGCCAGAAGAACAGTGCTGTTAACCGTCATTTTGGGGGCGTGTTGCCTTCAACGTTTCGGTGTCGCAGAGCAGGGTCAGAGTCCCTATGTTTGCCTAGGCAAGGGTCAATCAAATGCAGGAGGGCAGGCTCAGGCTAGAGCAGCCAGAAGACCATCATTGAAACTTAAGGATCAGTGTATGAAAGGACATTTCCAATTAGTAGTTTTGTAGTTTCTTGGTATTTTGGTTCCGGCTTCTTGGCTTACGCTTTCCTGCTTCTCGCCTTTGACTTTCCGATTTTACGGTTGCGCTGCTTCATGATATTTCATCGCGATTGATACGTCGAACGGAGACTATTCTAGCCCTGTCACAATATCCTGGCTGCATTGCGCCACAGCCCCAATCCCTACGCCACTGTATGCTTAATTGGGCCGCGCATGCAAGCGTCCGAGATTCCGAATCCGTGAAACGATCGTAGATGCAGTGTACAGTTCTGCATCAAGAGTCGCAACTGAAGAAGTTTGTGTAATAGCCTAGATTTCTTTAGCAGCTAGTGTTTGTGTGTGTCTGCCTGACTGTTTGCGATGCTCTTTCTTCTAAAGCAGGATATGTTGTGTGCACATACGTAAGTGCTGCCAGCATACATAGTACAGGGGTTTACATGGTTGCTCTATACGTTTCCCCCCTTTAGTTCAGGTTGGTTTCCCCCCTGTGGAACCATCCACTGATGGTTCAGGGTTTACCGCAGTCCGCTCTCCCCGTCCTATGTGGGAAATTTCGGTGTACCATATATGGTATAGTATATGCTCTATATGTGATTTGCCGTACAATAGTTCTACTGCCATGCTCGCAGCTCCAGAGCAAGGAAGCCAAGACAAGAGGACGGAGCTGAGCGGATCGGCCACTGGTCCTCTCTCATTTGAGGGTTCAGGGGTTTAAGGGGTTTAAGGGGGGGTTGGACACACGTTCTGGGCGGATGGAGCTTTTGGGCGACGAGGCAAGCCCCTGCAGAAGGGGTTAGGGCTGTAAGGGTTTCATGCCTACGGAGCCACGAATGTGTCGCAAAGACGGGTACCCATGTGATAGACTTGCGTTGCGCATCTGCCGTGGTATGACGACATATCTGTAGCACATGACATGCACATAGGGCAGCACTTGAACCACGTCCGGTAAAGTTTGACATGCCATCCGGAAACCTTCCGTACCGAAGAAGTTCAGTATTTCCATGCGAGTTTATGCCTCAAGCTTCCGCATTTTTGCGCGGGAATGCAGTGCACAACATGCCCGCATGTACTGATTACACGCAGAACTTCTGCAAACAAGTCCGGGCCAACTGTGAAGGTCCGTAGAAGAGGTCTTCAAAAGGCGATGCTGTTGCATGTGCATGCATGGGTGCTAAGCTAGCTAGACTGCTCTTGTCGTTATATGCACCGTCGCTTGAAATCTTGTGTGGACCATCCCTCACCTGTTTCGCCCCAAATGTTGCCGCTTGTGTGTTCTGTTTGCGCACCGTGCAGCATATGCGCAAGCACGCGCAGCCACTGCTGAAAGAGAGCTCGCGGTATTTAGTTTTGACACATCCTCTGGGTTTTTTGGCCCTTAAGGTCAAGTCAAGCAACCGCCACACGTGCGAACTAAGGAAAGAAGGGTATCGGCTTCAAGTCGGTCTTCAAAATCACGGACACGCCCACAATTCACAGCACGGGCGCCTTGACGGAAGATCCACCCGCGCTTCAAGCTGCTAGACGCTGTTCTTTGTACTCTAGAAGCCTGAATAATCAGTAGTAATACTACCGCCTAGGGCCTGGAACTAGAATTATACTCTTGTAGCCGCTAGAACTCGAACTCTATTCTAACATTGTGATCTTTACATGAACCCTTCTCGAAATTCTACGGGCCGCAGAAAAAAGTTACTTTGGGTGGTTTAGGGTGTGGTGTTCAGAGTAGCCCCGGCATTCAGCGTTCGGGTTTAGCCCTCGAGTTGGGTTTTTCACAGCTTAAACCCTACACCCTAGACCCTAAAAAGCCTTAAAACCGTTGGGAACCGCTTTGCAGACCGTAGCGAATGGAAAAGGGACGTCCCCAAACAAAAACAATCAAACCCTAAACCCCTAAACCTCTGGGATCCGAGCATGGGGGATCCAGAGTTCAGAGATCAAGATCCGGCATATTGGAGGCTCTACTTTGAGCTTTGGCCACTGCCGGAGGGCCATGGAGCCTGCTTTTTTGGGGGGAGTGGTCTGAGTCGTTCAATACCATGAAACCCTACCTGCCTACCTACCTACATACATACGTACGTGCCGACGTAGGTAGGGGTATGTATGTATGTATGCAGGTACGTACATACGAACGAACTAGTCAGCCCATCTGTCTTTCTGTCTGTCTGTCTGGTTGGCTGTCTGGCTGTGTGGCTGTCTGTCTGTCTGTCCGTCCGTCTGCTTGTCTGCATGGATGGGCGCAAACACACGCACACAAACCCACACGCACACACATGCACACACACACACACACAGACACAGAGACACACACATGTATCTGTCCAGAAACATGCCAGAAACTCGTAAACAAGAGATCCCAACCACCCTAAACGTGATAAGCTCAAGCGGAACCTGGCTGAGCCACGTTCCTGCGCAGAGGCTGGCATTTCCGTTTCGATGCCAACTTGAGGGTGCAAGGCGTGGACATCAAGGACTTGAGATGCTGTTGTCTGAGGTTTGAAGCACTCGAATCGAGGACCCAACGTTTCAAAATGTGTTGGTCACTTATATGTCATAGATACGCTGGAAGTTTGCGCTTTCGTTTCCTTGGGTCTGGGGCGGGGGGAAGGTCTCGGAAGACGACACCTCAGAATGATCAACGTTACTTGGGTTTAAGGCTTGTTTTAACTATTTTGTTATGAAGCTCCATGGGGTTATTGAGCATATTCTTTTTTTACGGTCTAAGGGGTCGCTTCAGTACGTGTCCTTCAACCATAAGCTGCTCCCTAACCTGCTGAAGGCTGCTCAGAGTTTGTACCTTATGATCGAAAGTCTAGGGTCTAGGGATTTAGGGCTTAGGGGTTTAGGGGTTTAGGGTTTCGGGATTAATCTGGCAGTGCTGCTTCCCAGCTGATCGCAAGAGTCTGGGTTCAATAAAGGAACCGACCCACTGATCCCTGAGCTCCAAGGCCAAGAGTTGAACCCACGTCCTGGAAGCTCGAAAACCCGCAGCCTCTGTGAGAGAGGAGTTGGGCTACATCGTCCCTGAGGCGATGCCGGCGGAGGCGAAGATGGGGCACCTTTATAAGGGGTTATAAGGGGTTAGACGGTTAGACATTTTAGGGTGTAGGGTCTAGGAAACTTTATAGTTTTGGGGTGTAGGAAAGTTTAGGGACCTTAGGGTTTCGGACTCGTGGGGCATAGCCCGAAGCTGGGCACGAAAGCCGGGCACCCTTTGCCCTGACTAAACGATGAGCCCGAAAACCCAAATGCCATCGTCGTAGCAGGTATCCGCTGTCAGAGCACACGCCCGTCACAGCCCTACAGCCTTAAACGTGAGGACCGTCGAAGCGCCTGGCGGATTCTGGAAAATGAGAGGGGCTTCCGGACTACGGGGCATTTACAAAGTTCTGAATCCTAACTACAGGCACTTCAGCAGGCCCTTCATATTCACGCAATCTTCCTGCTTCAGGGCGCAGTGGACTTAGCAAGAAGGTTATGAGCAGAGTTGTAAGTGCATGAGTGTATTATGTAAGGCTTTCCCAATTATACCATACTATACCCCTACGTTGAGCCCATTTACTAAGTCCCCTGACTTTTGGATTCTCAGCCGAACCCTGTAAGGAACACTGAACCCTAAACCCTAAACCTATAAGGAACCTTTTGAGACCCGCAGGACATGCGCTTCCCATCCTGGACGACGGAGATCCGGCTGCCCTTCAAGAGGGGCTTGCGGCACGAGGAGACCAGCAAGCTAGAGTGGGGTGATGTGAAGGCTTGGGGCTAGGGGTTTAGGGCTTAGGGTATAGGGTTGAGGGTTTAGGGGTCTTCGTGAAGCTTATGGCAGGGTTGAGGGCGGCATTAAGGGTCTCCTGTGCACATTATAACATTCAGGGGCTCAGTTGGGATATCAAGAGGATTCATGGTAAGGTTTTGGTGACAGTTTCCGGGGCTCTTCGCAGATTCTAGTGAGTGCCTGGTAATGCGGGTGTTGTTATATGGGGAGACCTAGTGCTGAGAACTCTGAGAACCTTCTTCATATGGCCGGTTTTCCAAACAGCGGTCCCTTTTCGCAGCCCCTGAATAAGGCATCGCTGAGAACGAGGAACCCAGAAAGGGACCCACACGCAGAGCCCTCGGCCATATAGTGTTGATATATATAGACTTGCCCCAACCTCCAAAACCCGCCAGACCGGCAAATCGAGCTCGCAGCAATGACTGGTGAGAATGTTACTTTTGATCCCCTATATGTACATATGTCATGTTCGCATGCACTCCGAACTCATTCTAGTTCTTGAGGCCCTTGTACTAAGCCCCTAGCCCCCAAGACCGATCTTACTTACAACAAACTCTAAACCCTTAATTAACCCCTAAACCCTTTAAACCCTTTAAACCCTAAAACCCTAAAACCAAAAGACCCCTAAACCCTAAATCCCTAAAGCCCTACGTGTTCTGTTTGCAGGAGCGAGGTCTTCTCCGCCAGGATTTCGAGGCCGGGCCGGGCTTTTGGGGCGACTGAGGAGTTTTGAAATAAACACAGGGGGGAAAGACATGTATAAGAAAAAACGTACATACTTAAAGATGTTATTACTATTATTATTACTATTATTATTATTATTGGTAGTATTATTTTGATGATTATTATTGTTATTTGTTTAGTTTACTAATGTTGGGGGTGGGGGGGGTGGGGTTGGTTGGCTATGGTTGCCTTACCATGCGGCACTGATCACTCAGGTTGCCACTTCAAGCCCGTAGATGGCTCTAAGCCCCAGGCACCAAGAACCCGTAAGGAACGAATGCCGGTGCCGGACGCCCTACTGTTTCAACGGTCCATCAGGCGCTGAAGCATCAAGGCCTGGAGGCATTTCGTGGGCCTGGGGGTTCAATGTCTAAGCTTGGAGAGGTATTGGGGCTTTCAAAGTTTAGGCTCTTGGGGTTGGGTGTTCAGGGTGAGGTTGTTTCGGGCCGCGCCCCACCTTCCCGTGTCCTAGCTCTGAAGACCTTATACATAAATAGCAAGCTCTAAACTCCAGCACCTGCCTACACCCTCATCCCCAAAAATCCCGAACCCGAAAGCCGTAAGTTATTAACCTGTAAACCCCCCAACGCGCAAACACCTGAACCCTAATCCCTAAGCCCTCAACCGCCAACGCAAAGCAGGCGCTTGGTGGCACTCTTCTGCTGAACTTGAACAAGCTCAGGCGCTTGACTCTGTGGAGCCTTGGCGACGAGAGCTGACTGTTTTCTTCGTATGGGGGTTTTAAGATTCGGGGTTCGGATTTGGGGTGTCAGGTTCGGGGTCTAGGGTTTTGAGTGGTTGCTGCCGGGACTGGGAAATACTGCGTGAATTTATGGGTCTACGGATCAGGCTGATCCCCTCAATGCTGAAATTCAGTTTGAGGCTTTGGGCGCGGGGGTTTTGGAGGAGACCTTACTATCAATTCTGATTGCTATTGTTGATGATATAAATCCTGCATTACCCATCATAAGGAATATGCCGTAATTTTCATATGTTCCTTATTATGGGTAATGCGGGATTTATATCATCAACCGTAGGACCCTACCCTAACTAAGTCCCCCAAAGTCTAAACCCGAAGGCGATCCCGTGGCTCCGGATAGAGGGGCTCTGGTTCTCCGGGTGTTCTTGGCAGGGCTTCCGGATGCCAGAACCTACATAGGCTTTAGGGTTTAGGGTCTAGGGCTGGCTTCTGTTTTGTGGTAGGCTGAAGGTTTAAATTGCCCATGCAGCAGCTTGAGATTCTAGCCGTCAGGCTTGATGTTGGAGTTTGGACACAAAATCAAAGCGCCATGGGGTTGAGGGTTTATAGGGGCTTAGGGTTCAGGGAGTTCAGGGCGAGAGACAGGGTGTTGGGCTTTGGGTTCTCACGCTTTGCAACTTCCCGAGATCAAGAACCGTTCAGTGCTTGAGGGCTTTGATTTCAGAGCTTGCGCCGCAGGTGGGATGCTCAGAAACTAGAGGGCTCGAATATGGACCAGAAATACTAGAATCCTGAGAATAGGTACGGAGCCCATCAATAGGCAACATCCCAGGATAACCGGTCGAGGGTCCGCATGAGTTTATGGTTGTCCCTAAGCCAAGGAATTGCCCCGCCGACCAGCCGCTGCCGTCCGGGGAGGGTGTGCGGCCGAATGAGGAGGCTTCTCCAGTTATGACGGTTTCCGCAAATATGCTTTCTGCGACCAATGTGGGCCTTTATGATGGCAGCAACAGAACAACGGCGACAGTAACAACAACGCTAGCAGTCAAAAGCAGTACTTAGAATGTAGTAGCTATGGCATCAATGTCGCCCCCCAATGCCGTAGTATAGTCTTTCGAGCTCCTCTGGTAAACCACCAGCTCGACATTTGGACCCATCAGCGACTTGCTCATTCTTTTCACCCGGTTCTCCAGAATTGCCGGAATCGACAGATTTTGTGTCTATGCTCTTTCCTGCGACCGTAGAAGACATACGTCTGTTGTGCCTTTGGTTTACACATCCTCACTCCGTTGGGGCGTATGTTGCGGCCACGCCGGGCGATGAAGCTCAACCATACGAAAAACTGGAGGCGGGAGCCCGCAAGTATCACATGAACGCTAGGATACTTACCAATCCTGGTCCTGACGGTGCCGATTGTAGTTACAGAATACATTAGAATACTATGCACCAAAAGCCTTGACTGATTATCAAGCCCACCTCCCCTTCTGCAGGGTACGGGCGAACCAAAAGGCCTTCCCCAAACGGGGGTGAACGAACTATGGCAAAACCATTGCTGCAGAGGTCATTGCCTCTGGCTGCCGCAACCTCCGATGCATGGACCTCACTGTGGGCAGCAAGCGAAACGTTCGTTTACGATCTCGGTCTAGGGCCGTTTGCGGTTTGAAACAGTACCTCGGGTTGAAGCCACGAGTTGAGTGGTCAACAATGGGCGTGTGAACGAGTTCTCAGTTTGATTTACCCTTGGCGGTTGTCGGACTTCTCCAGCATTTACATTGCCTTCTGCTGCAGGACAGGCTGTGACACTTGCTGACCAAGGCTGTACACTAGACTCGAGCTTAACACCCAGCTCCCAAACTTCGGGGAGGTAGCAGCAGAATTGAACCCAAGGACCCCGAACAGCTACATTCCTACTTCTTCCCAAAGACTGTGCACTTGAAGAAAATTCCTCGAACTATGCAGTCATTCTGTTGCGTGCTACAATGACTAGAAGTTGTCAAGGATGCTACTGCGACGATAAGTACCACGAACGCTTTGTTGCCATGACTTTGGTAAAGTATGGTCAGCATGATTTTCTGTATGACTTACAACATATTCCGGAAATACGGGGCCGAACCCTAAACCCTAAACCCTAAACCCTAAACCCTAAACCCGGAACGCGAGAGACGCGCGATTTTCCCGGCTGTCAGTGCAGGACCTTTGCCTCGCCAGGCCGCATCCGACGCCTGAGGCACTCCCGGGATCACTTGGGGTTTAGGGTTTAGGGTTTAGGGTTTAGGGTTTAGGGATTAGGCGCGACATGCAAGTCTGATGTAAAAAGGGTTTAGGGATTAGGGTTTAGGGTTTAGGGATTAGGGTTTAGGGTTTAGGGATTAGGGTTTAGGGTTTAGGGTTTAGGGTTTAGGGATTAGGGTTTAAGGTTTGGGATTTAGGGTTTAGGGTTCAGGGATGTTAAGGTTCGGGCAGTTTGGGCCTTATTGAGTAGAATCGGCGTTCATGCGGGGAGGGATTTACACTGGTTCTTGCAAGCTGGACCCAATCTCCAGCGTTCTGGGGGTTTCGGGTTTTGGGGGTTTTAGGGTTCACAGCTCTCGCTTCCCGTTGCACGCACCGTTTGAAAAGGCGAGCCTGAGCCCTAAACCGTTCGGGGACTGGCCGGCCGGCTTTGTCAAAATCTGAAGCCTAAACTCTACATCCGTCTAGTCCTTTAGTGCCCGACTTCGTGGTGTACGGTTGCGGAGTCTAGGATTTATGATTTCTGGTTCAGGGTTCCAGGATTTGGGATTTAGGATAAGGTTTCGTGGTTTCAATGATTTAGGATATTAGACTTTCGGCATAGGATTTAAGATTTCAGCGATTTAGGATTGCTTGATCAGGGGTGTGGGATTGCGGGGTCATTATCACACTAGAATTTGGGCTTGCGTGGGTGTGGTTTCGGAGTCGATTCCGCCCTGACGCTGACCTGCAGGGCACGGTGCACTGGAAGCTGGTGCGGATCTTTGATGGCCAGGTGGGCCGCAGCCCGGTTCTCTAAACGAGGGCACCGTCCAGGGTCCTTTTATGTCCTGTTCACAAGGGTGCCGCCTTATTGGGGGTTCCTAAACGGGGACCTACTCCTAACCCTCCAAGAATTTTTTTCCGGCTTCCAAGAACGGCGCTAGCCAATTAATAAATACGGCGGTGTGAATAATAAGTAGTCATATCCCCTTTGTAGCCCCTGTCTAGTCAGACCTGATTAGTCAATCCATAAGAACCCCACAGAACCCAATTCAGTACCCTTGTGGTACTCTTATACCACCCTTCTACTGGTAGTACCCTTGCACCATTGTAGTACCTTGTGATATAGATCCTAAACCCTGAACCCTTAAGGCACCCTTAGAAACCTCCAAAAGGCCAAATCAAAGCCTCCTGGTCCTGGTAGGTGCGGGACTGGTTCTGCGTCGAAGGATCCTTCCCCTTCCAGGCCGATCGGATTGCCAGAGGGTTTAAGGTTTAGGGTTGAGGATTTAGGGGTTAGGGGTTTAGGGTTTAGGGTTTAGGGGTTTAGGGTTGAGGGTTTTCTACAGTGCCACGGCTGCCCCCCCCAGGTCATGTGTCCGCAGGGGGGGCGCCGTCCTTGCATTTGGTAGCCCACCCCAAGCCGCCCCAATTCTTACCTTTCACGGGTTTGGGTTTTTTTTTCACGAAAAAACCCGGGGACTATTCTTCCATACCCCCCCCCGAGGAGAATAAAAGTTGTATGTTCGCCGAGCCGCCAAGCGCGGATTCGAGCAGGCGCGAGCGCAATTGTGTTGTCGTCGCTGCGAGTGAAACTAAATCTAAGCTGCTAAAAGCCTACCCACCGTGTATTTGTGCATGATTGCCGTGAGCAGAAGAGCCAAAACATGCGTGCAAGGTTCGCGACGCAACCAGCGAAGGGTCGACGCCAAGTAGGCGTTGTTTGTCTCGACTCAGTGTGTCGGCAGCTCGCAAGCGTCCCAGTTGCCCCGCCTGTCTGGTCGGCTCACGCAGTGTGCACATCTTGGGCTAGATCGCTGCGACTCTCGCCCTGGCGGGCCACTGAGATTCTCTGCTTTGTGACTTTGTGTTCTGTCGGCGACTCTCGCCGAGGCGCTGACATGAGGCGTGCCTGGAAGCGCATGAGACGCTTGCAGGCATCGCCACGGCTACACTGCTCCAAAGCAACGGACAATCTGAGAGAACGACAAGCAGCGTGTCGAAAAGGAAGATGCGGAGGTCGACGACGACTTCGCAAGAGCCTCCAGGTTCTGTGGTTCTTGCACTGAAGTCTTTGCAACCGAGGCCTTCGAATGGAAACCGTTTTGGAAGGCTGGGCTGTTCGCAATCGTGGCGCAGTTTGCATAACACCATTGGCAGGATGGAACGGAAACCATTGCGGTCGGACCCTCGGACAGCAGTAACGGTGTGTGCTCTTCTCTTGTCCAACTCTTGCGGTCAGACTCTTCTCTGGCCCAACTTTTTTGTGGCGGAGGTCGACGACGACTTCGCAAGAGCCTCGAGGTTCTGTGGTTCTTGCACTGAAGTCTTTGCAACCGAGGCCTTCGAATGGAAACCGTTTTGGCAGGCTGGGCTGTTCGCAGTCGTGGCGCAGTTTGCATAACACCATTGGCAGGATGGAACGGAAACCATTGCGGTCGCACCCTCGGACAGCAGTAACGGTGTGTGCTCTTCTCTTGTCCAACTCTTGCGGTCAGACTCTTCTCTGGCCCAACTTTATGTGGTTAGACTCTATATCCGCGTCGACATATTGGAGGTCAGCCAGAGATGCATGCAAGGTGCCGATTTTGTCTGAAAACAGCTGCTGCGCTCCTCGATTAGTCTGACTTCGCTGGCATGGCGCCCAAGCCGGCGCAAGACAAGGTTTTGCGGCTTCGCCGCGGCGGCCTGTCGGAACACAGCATACGACAACAGCTCAAAACCGAGGGTTACAAGCCCGGACGCATTTCCCAGCTGTTGCAGCAGACGCGAGTCGAGGCATCGATCGAGGCGAACATCGAGGAGGACCGCCAGAGCACAATGAGCACGCGGGCTCGCAAGCATCATCCTCTCCTGTGCCAATCAGCAGCAGCGAGAGTCTCGCGTCCCCGGCGTCCCAGGACAAGGGCAATGGTTTAGAGCAGCCACACGAAAAAACAGCGCTGTTTTGCTGCAGAACGTGGCCCCGACTCCTTTGGGCACACACAAGCACTCGAGGGTCCATTTTTTGATCCGGGTTCCGAGGAGGTGACAGGGTTTAGGATCGGGGGGAGGTTTAGAGCAGGCACACGAAAGGAACGGTGCTGTTTTGCTGCAGAATGTGGCCCCGACCCCTTTGGGCACACGCGAGCACTCGAGGGTCCATTTTTCAATCCTAGGCTGAAGCAAGGGTCCGAGCCTTGGACCGAGAATCGGGGGAGGTTTAGAGCAGGCACACGAAAAGAACGGCGCTGTTTTGCTGCAGAACGTCGCCCCGACCCTTTGGGCACACACGAGCACTCGAGGGTCCATTTTTTGATCCGGGTTCCGAGGAGGTGACAGGGTTTAGGATCGGGGGGAGGTTTAGAGCAGGCACACGAAAGGAACGGTGCTGTTTTGCTGCAGAACGTGGCCTGGACCGCTTTGGGCACCCAGGGACACTGGGCGGTTTAGAGCAGCCACACGAAAAGAACGGCGCTGTTTTGCTGCAGAATGTGGCCCCGACCCCTTTGGGCACACACGAGCACTCGAGGGTCCATTTTTCGGGAGTGACCCCCCACCAGAGCAAAAGTCCAACGATTTAGGGTAATTATTTTGACAAAAGTACTCCTCGAGGTGGTACCTTCTCTGAGTAGTACTGTGCTCGAAATGCAGATGGAGGCCCCTTGCATTTCTCGCTTTACTGTAGGATCTACCTTGGGCAGGACGACGCGTTTGGTTTAGGGTTTAGGGGTTTAGGGTTTAGGGTTAAGGGTTTAGGGTTTAGGGCTTGGGGTTTAAGGGTTAAGGGTTTAGGGTTTAGGGGTTGAGGGTTTAGGGTTTAGGGGTTTAGGGTTTAGGGTTTAGGGTTTAGGGATTTGGGGGTTTAGCGGTTTAGGGTTTAGGGTTTAGGGCTTAGGGGTTTAGGGTTTAGGGTTTAGGGTTTGGGGCCTCGTGAGCACACAGCTTGACTCCTCAACAGAGCTTGTCGGTTTAGGGATTACGGGGTGCAGCTTAACCTGCAGTTTAGAGTTTAGGGTTTAGGTTCGCGCGTACTTTAGGTAGGTTTGTCAATGCCGGCTTCAATGCTGTCTGTTTATTTTGCCGTTGAGACTTGTCCTTGACATTTAGCTTGAAATACTTTAGAGGATAAGATAGAGAACGTAGAAACCAACAAGCCCCTAGTCCAAATACTCAGGCTTCAAGGTTACTGTAGGTATTGAATCGAGATGTGCATGTCGCCAGGCGGCGTCGGACTCCAGGAAAGTCCGGATCAAGCTCTCCTTCCCGCTGCCGGTGGATGTGAGTAGGAACTTTGTGTCTTCGAAACCTTAAACCCAAGGGCGCGGTGCCTTGTTTCTTATATTAGGTAGCGATTTGGGATAGTTGGCGATTTCCTTCTTGTTTCATATGGAGCCCTACTTATCACTAATTTTCGGGATTGTTCAAATCGACACCTAGTATAGGACTGTTTCCTTGCTTGGAAGACCCAGAGCCCCTCACCTGTGAAATCCTTCATGTAGGGGCCTCGACAAGTGGAACTAGGTTTTCGGGTAGATTTTGATATAATTCCACAAAGAGCTAATGGAGAGAATGCTAGTTATTCAGAGCACGATATGAAAGTTGCCGGGGTCAACCCCCTGAATCGCAGTGTGCCGGGGTGGGGGGGAATTGCCGCGTCAGGACACGCGGGCTCGCCAGGGTTAGCAATTGCGGGTTCAATATGCCCTGGAGTTGTAGGGGATACGGGAGAAAACGCTAAACCGTCTGAGCCCTGCCTACAACTTCCCAAGCGACTGGAGGTGGAAGTCTCATCCGATGCCTGGCTGCGGCAGGAGTCGCTTGGCAGACCCGACTGCTCCACTCCGTAGGCCAGCAGGTAAGGGGTCAGGAGACTTAGTAAGCAGGTTGTAGAAGTAGAACTAGAAATGCCAAGGCCAAAATTGGAACAATGTCATTCTAATCCTACGTCGTTTAAGCATCTCAGCTGTCGTGCGCCTCGATGCTGGAGTGGGTTCAGGGTTTCGCGTCCGGGTTAGGATCTGCATCGTGATCGGCTTCTTGGTTTTCTGCGCTTTTTGGTAGTTGTGCGCACCGAAGTCATGCTCCCAACCCCCGACCATCAAGGTGAGAGATGCCACCGGGATATGTAGAATTCTGAATTGTTGGTCATACCATCCCCTTGCGCTCCCTGCAGATCTATGTTAAACTACATCCCAAGCCCCGTTCTGGGTGTTGAGGTCCCTCTACCTGGGTGTTGGAGGCCAGTTCCGGGCATGCAATAGTTGAAACCTCAACGCACAAGCGTCAGGTTTTACTATACCTCAATGAATAGCCTCAGGGGTTTCGGGTTTAAGGGGTTTATAGTTTATACTGTAAGTATCGCTGGGCACCCTATAGAGAAATGAGTTCAGGTTGATGCCCAGGAAAGGCTTGAAGTGGAGGTGGGGTGTGCTTCGTAACTGGGCAGGTAACCTTGAGCCTGCTATTGTTTGCGTAGCTTTCGTAACTCATGTATCTATGTATGTATGTATGTACGTATGTCAGTATGTAAGTATGTAAGTATGTAAGTATGTATGTATCAAGCTGGGGTAATGCGTCCAGATGTCATGTTGATACCCCCAAACCTCGCCTGACCTGGTCGAGCGCGAGTGCCGAAAATGTATGTATGTATGTATGTATGTATGTATGTATGTATGTATGTTCCAAACCTTTATCCCTGCTAAGCCATAGTTCTTATTCTAGCCATGGTGTACTGCATGGCATTTTCCACAAAAGACCTAGTCTAGCTATGAACGCCCCTTTGTTAGTTCATATCATCACACACTCAAGGCTTGTGGCGCAACAGACGCTGCTTGGCTGCTGTAAGGGATGACATTGGCTTGCAGGTCGTGGATGTCATACATGCTGGATCTTTGTTGTTTTGTCCTCATGGTGCGGCTTCTACTGTTTTCCGTCTGGTTCAGGGTAGCTAATTCTGTAAGACTTCCCTGTTCAGGTCTGGCTGAGCCGAGAATCAACATAGATTGCATACATTGCGAATTGATGTCGAAAGTTGTGGGCTCAGGGTTGGGCAAGGGCTGGCAGTCATCAAGTCCGGTTTCAAAAGGGTTGGGCAAGGGTTCAGGTGTTTCTGAGTCGGCTTCTGGACTATCTATTTGCTTAAGAAACCACCCAAAGATAAGAAATAATAATCCCTATATTACCCCCATAAGGAATATTTTTTTAATTGTTTGGGGGTTCTTAAGCAAATAGTAGTAGACTATCATTAGTTATTGGAAGTAGTTTGCGCAGCTGCAATGTCTCAGAGCCTTTCGGCATCCGAGGGTTGGAATCTCCATCGATGGATGGTCTCTGATTTGTTGTAATATCTAAGTCCTAAGTCACCACCCATAAAGGACCTTAGCTTGTTCACTCGATGCCTCCAAGGGAACATGCCTGGGGACAGCCCTGATGTAGCTTCGTCTAGCCGGGGTTAGCGATGAGTTTCACAGAACTCGTGAGTGCCAAATAGAGATGCAGAATAGTTGAATCCCTGAGCAACCAATATTCAGATCCCTAAGCCCTAAGGCCCAAATCCTCACTGCTAACTCACCGGAAACCCTCCCAGACTCCCAGAAAACTGATATAAGGGCTTTAATAAGTGCCTACACTATTTTGGGGGGTTCCTTGTTCTAGTTATCGTATAACATACACCAAAACGCTTTTCCAATTGCTAAGGCTCCTGTAGTAGGGGGGTGGGGAGGATGAGCTTTTCAGATGCAGGTTCTGCTACCTTCCTCTCCGAAACTTCGGCTGGCGGCTGGCCCCTGGGTTTCTGTCTTGGTGAGTCGGTTTCAGGGCTTGAGGGTTTTTTGTGTCAATGTCGGGGTTCGGGGCTTTTGGCTCAGTATCTAAAGTGTTCGGCTGGACTTAGGATTAGGGTTGAGGGATGTTGAGGGCTTCGGGCACGCAATCCGATGCCCCGGCAGCAGCTCTGCACGAGGTGTTGGATTCTGACTTCACACAAGGAGCGTCACAAACCCCAAGCCGCACTAAGACTTCAAAAAATTTTTGACCCGATGCTTCTTCAGACCTGTCCGTTTGGGGCTTGTCGAGTTGATGGATTGAGCCTTGGCACGACAGCCTGAACCCCAGGCCCTGAAGCGGAACTGATCTGTCGTATATGGTACCCTTAGAGGCTCAGGGGACACGAAATGTTTGTTTATGCTGCCTTAAGTGGATTTCGGAGTACTTTTGGTAGAGTTCTACCGGTGACCTATTAACACAAACTATATCCCGTCATCCTTCTAGTGCCACCGGAGGGCTTCCAGCAGCAGGTCCTTCACGCCAATTTCGATGTCACTGCATCGCGCAACGAGCTGCACAGCAACAGCCCATGGAATCTGCGAGCCTTTGCAAAACATGTGTTCGAGTTAGTAATGCTGTGACTCCGGAGCACACGGCTGCGATGATGATGATGATGATGATGATGCTGATGATGATGGTGGTGGCGATCATGGCGATGCTGATGGTCACAATGACGATGCTGCTGATGTTGGTGGTGGTAGTAGTGGTAGCAGTCATTGTCGTCGTCGTCCTCCTCCTCTTCCTCGTCCGTGTCCTCCGTGCTGGGGATGGTTATGGCTCTGATTTAAGTTATATGCGTGGTCATGCTGGCGAGGATGGTATAGCGAAGGCGAGTGGAGTGAAGAACAGGATCTTATGGTGCTGTTGATGGCGATTGTTTTTGTGATGAAAATGGCGTATGAATGCGACATCTCGCATGGTAATGATGATGATGGTATGGATGCCGAGGAGTGGAATTTCTTAGCCAGCGGCTAAAATGCAAGATGATGAGCCCTTCTCACCTTCGGAGGCTGTGGCTGTTGTTTCAGGGAGAGTTTCGGCCGATCGTCTGGCGCTCCAGGGCATGGACAGGTGAACTCATCTGGCTCTAAAGGCTAAGGTTTGGGGACAAGGTGTTCCTGGTAAAGCACAGGGCTTCTGGGCGCCTCAGGAATTAAGAAGCTTCTGCCGAAGCTTCTTGCGACAAGCGCCCACATCTTGCAGCAGAACTTAATGCTACTTGGCGTCTGATGTGGCGATTCGCAGATGCTGTTTCCAAACAGATTTTCTTGACTTCTGCTGCTGTTGTCACTGTCACTGTCTCTGTTTCTGCTGCTTTCGCTGCTGCTGCCGCCGCAATGTTCGCATGGATCTGCTACAGTGCTACAGGGTTCGTCAACTTGAACTATTCCCATAAAGCCCCAAAGCCTCGAAGCATAAGAGGCTGGAGATCTATCGACTTGAATAGTCTAGTGGCGTGTTTGCTGCGACAAGCAATCCACCGGAATATCTGCACAATAGCACAATAATGGTCTGCAGCATAAGTAACTCAGGAGTTATCAGAGGGCTTGAGGACTATACTTTTGTAGTATTCCCTTAGAGTCTTATGGTCCCTAGATAGTCAGGCGAAGCCCAAAGCCCTGTTTATGTAAAGCTCCGAAACCCTCAGCTGTAACACTACTACAGCAGCAACCCGAAGGCATAAAAGCCCAAACCTAAGCCCTAGCCTAGCCTTAGCATCCTGATCTTCAGGGTAGTAATACCGAACTGAAAGCATCGAAGTCTGAGCAACTCGTCATTCATAGCATATGCCATTTCTTCTTGTTGAAGCATGGTACAGAATGCACACTATTTCTCCTGCTTTTACTATGGTACAAAGATGCACACTGAGTTCTGACAGTTCTGAGGCTTACCCCCATGGCCGAAGGCTCGTGCGTGCTGCCGCACGAGGCCCTTGCGCAACCCTTGGAGATGGCTCTGCGGCTGTTTTAGTGTCTTCACGGGGCGGGATACGCAGAATAAGTGTGCGTTTTGCCATAGTTCAAGGCTTCAGAAAGGTTTGTTTTATGAGGGTTCTAGGGCTTTTTATTTGTCTCGGTGATGGAATCTCGGGGTGGGTTGAGGGGTTTGGGTGTATTAAGGGCTGTTGGGTGTGGGGTTTGGGGGGGCAGTGTGGTTGGGGCTCTGGAAATTTTGTGCTCTAGGAGTTTGGGATCGGGGGAAACTACGGGTGCGGGTTTAAGCAATAACGGCTGCTGCGACTCGCGGAATTGGGTGGCAGTTTTGGGTTACGTTGTCGCTCACCTGAGGAAGGCCTCACCAGCGAGGCGAGTGAACGGTCGCCCGGCCCGGCATGCAGTGTTCGGCGTGGGCAGCAGGGTTTACGGCTCAGGAGCTATATCCCAACCGCTTTGGCCAGTGCGAGACCATTCCTTACAGTCCGTAACTTGCAGAGAGCCAGCTGGCCACCTCACGTAGAGCTCCCTCTACACTCTTCAGCCTATTGTCGCAAGCCGGCTGCTGAACACGACATCACTGTCACTGCCCCCCCGGCCGAACTGAAACAACCGGCCGAGGGCCCACCTCTAACGAACGATACCGTGAAAGAATGCACGTCATGCCAGGAGTTAGGATCGGAGAGCCCTTAGCCATGGCAACAGACATAGTCCGACTTGTGTACACAACCCTCTGCCGAAGTCATCTTGCTTTGAATGGAAGGGAATGTGATGTAGATGCCTGAAGCAGTAGTAGCGACGTCCTCGTTAGATCGACGACAGAATACCCCAAACCTTCTTCGGATTTTTCGAGGCCTTTGCCTGCTTACGGCCTATGCCTTCATGCCTCGTTTTGCAGAAGACAGCCAAGGAGCATCTGCCATGTGCCCTATGCCTTCTTCCTGCGTTTTATGCCGCTGCAGGGAGACTCCCGGACGCACAGACGGTTCAGCCCGTGACCTCGAGATTATGACAGCAGCTTGAAGTGTTATGTTCCAGTGCTCTTTACCAAGGAATCTACAGTAGTATGATCTGGCAGGTAGTCCTCAAGTATGCTGTTTTGGGCTCTCCGGGCCATCAGCTCCGGTATGCGAATTAGGGGTCTTGGGTCTGTTATAATGTGATCATTTTTAAGGGTGTGGGGCGGATTTCGGGTTTCGATTTTTTTTTAAAGAGCGCTTGCTCGGCTTAGAGCTCGGGCTCGGGCTTGGACATTTTCAACGTCATGCGGGCCTGATAGGTTAGGGGTGAGTTAGGCTTTCCTTACGTTTGATTAAGATCTCGCAGGAGTTTATCTGCGGTTTCGTTTGCTGTGCCTCTGCATGGATGTGGCTATTGCAGTCGTGCAAAACTCAGTCGTGGGCCTCGCCCAGCACCTCTTCTGAAAGAATGGGCCCTGGATTGTATAAGCCTTTTTCAGTATTTTCCTGCATTGAGGGGTATTGGGCTCTTCCCCATGTTTAGAGAGCACAGATTTTTAGATTGGAAGAGTTCATGGAGGTGCGGAGGAGTTCGTGCTGAGTAGCTGCAGGAGTTGAAAGCGTGTTTTGTATAGCTTAGGCTGGCCCGGGTGTCGATCCAATCCGTGGTTCTATATCAATTTTCCATCTCGCATGCTTATTTCGCGGTGTGCGCTAGCTCAAGTCTAAATCCTAAGCCTTTAAAGTCCCTAAACTTTTAGAGACGACAGAACCCTAAGCTCTGAAAGTAGATCTCCCCAAAACTCGCCTTGCAGTGCCGACCGCTTCAGCCGGCTCAAGGCTTATAGTTTCTTTTTTGCCACAAACGAAGTTTCGCGCCGCCAACTTCTCCGGCCGACGATGAAGACAACCATGGGTTCCCTGGCGCTCATCCTTGTGACCTGGGAGAGATTGGAAGCTTGTGTTCGGTTGAGGGCCTGGTTTAGGGTCTTGGGTTTAGGGACTTGTTGGTTTAGGGTTTAGGGTAAGGGGGATTAATGGACGGGTCATGAGCTGAGACGGGCCGGCTAGTTCTTGTTGCTCGTCGTAATTCCAATCCACCCACCAGCTTATGAGTGAAGAACTAACATGATGAGAGCTAAGCCCAGACGTTGGCAACTGTGTTTTTGTGCTCGGCCCGGCATTTCCTTTAGCTCCACTTCTAGCTCAAGAGAGAGCAGCCGAGGCGAACGTGGCCGTGGTCTCCGGACAGGCGGTGAATCCAGTTGCCAAGGCGTCCCGCCATGTTCAGGAATTTCGGCCTTTGTGTTCTGTTCCCAAATGGAGGGCCAGAGAGGGACTTGCCAACCCTTCCTTAGCAAGCAGCTCCAAACTCGAAATCCCAAAGAAACCTACAAACCTTAACCCAAGCTCTCAGAAAAACCCTCGCGAAGAACTTGATTGAGCTTAGCGCAGCCGGAAGAAAACGAGGTGATCTCCTTGCTCTCCGACATGCAGACCACAATCAAGAAGGAGGCCTGGCAGTCCAAAGCTGAGGGAGTTACTTGGAGGATCATGGGGCTTAGTAACTAGGGTTACTATTAATTAAGGTAACTATACTTGGAACTACGGATGACCCCAATTGAGGTACTTCTAACCATACTTGCTAAGTCCCATGATCCTCCAAGTAGGTTCAGGGTGTGGCTTTGAGTCTTGCGGCTCCTATGCAGGTTTAGCTATAGGGTTGTATGGGGCTTCACAAGATTTAGACGTGACTTTGTAGCTGGTTCAGTGTAGAAGTGATGGGTTGAGGGTTCTGGGTTTTCGGTGTTGAGGCTTCTCCTCAGGTTTGCGGCTTTTCGGCTTTTGTTTGTGAACGTTTAGTGCTTTGGGTTTCCCAAAACCCCCAACTCTAAACTTTAACGCCGCAAGCCTTGACATGTGAGTCCTTGGAGCATTAGGGTAAGCAAAGGAGCTTTGGGAGTCTGGGAGGAGACCCGCCTAAACACCCAAACCCTGAAACTAAACCCAATACCCTCAAGTTTAGGAATTTCTGGTCCGAGGAGCTTAGATGGTCAGGTTCCGAAGTTCCGAAGCCCGAGGCATCTGCCCTGATCGTCCGAAGGTTTATGAAGCCCAAGACTTACCTTTGGTTAGTAGGGAATGGAGGAATGGAGTACAACTATAGCTACTATTACTACCTTTTTCATTCCCTACTAACCAAAGGTAAGACGAGCAAAACGAAGGAGTCTAAGCCGGACATCCAACCTAAAATTACCACAATCTACCTTTTTCTAGGCCTATTCAATGTTTTTTTCTGGAGGATGCTAGCATGAATATAGACTTGGTACTTGTAGAAGCCCGACGAAAAGTTAAGTTAGGTTATCTTCGGTTGAAGGTAACCCCGGCCAAAACTTACCTTTGGTTAGTAGGGAATGGAAGAATGGTAGTAACAGTAGTTATAATTGTACCCCATTCCTCCATTCCCTACTAACCAAAGGTAAGAAAACAGAGCCGCACAGGGAAAGGCCGAAGACGCCCGGATGACGAAGTTCGGCAACAACTGCGAGCTGCGCACGGCCGAGCTGCCGCTCGCAGATGCAGCAGTGTTGTTGAGGCTTCAAACACGTCTAGGGATGAGGGTGTTGTTGGGGCTTGGGGTAGAAGGGTTTTTGGGTTAGGATTCCTGGGGTTCAGCGAAGGGGTTTGCCTGCTCGTGGGGTCCTCAAAGTCCTAAAAGTTTGTGTGAGGATCGTTCTAAGAGAGAGTGGGAGTGATAGTGAGCGTGAGACTGAGTAGTGGGAGAGAGATACAGAGAGGGAGGGTGCCTGTCAACGCCAACGGCAATGTTACCCCGTGGCCGATTGTTTTCGTAGCTATAACAGCCAACCCGAAATCCAGGATCCACAGTCCAAGCCCAAGATAGGCCATGCCCTGAAATCCGCACCCGATCGCAGACCCCACAAGCCTTTTAAACTCTTTTTTTATGCAGTTCTCCAGTATTGAACCGTTGGAACTTCATGAGCTTTTCCGGCTTTCACAACCGAGCAGTGTTTTGAACTTGTCTTTCCTGTAGGCCCTTAGGCATTGGGAGAATCAGTTTAAGGCAATACCAGATCAAGACGGCCAGCGAAGACATCGACGAGCTGAGTGCGCGCATCAGCAAGGCGGGTTTGAGGTTTTCGATCTCCGAGCACCACCACCTTAAGTTAAGCTTAAAGGGGCGTGTCAAGGTTCCTGCCCGCAACCAGGGAGCCAGAAATTGTGATCCCTGCTGTAAATGCCAAACCTTCGTCCCACCGAAAACTTCGCAACCGTGGACGCCCGAAGCCGCAAAGAATTACAACCCGAAAGCCCTCAACCCTGAACTTGATGAGGCCCTAGGAGTAAATTCCTAAACTTGAAGCCCGAAGGATCTGGAGTCTCCAACCAGACCCCCCCCAATCCGAGGTTCCGGCCCCAACTCAGGTTTAAAAGGGTTTAGGGCGTAATTCTTAGATCCAAAACATTTACTAGCCGTGATTTTAGACCCTATACCCTAGACCCAAACCCTAAACCCTAAACCCTAAACCATCCGGCGTGCGCGGCCCTGAAATCGTAAAGCCCAGTGACTCCAAGGCGGAAGGGAAAGCCGAGGCGTTGGCCTCGACGTTGGAGGAGCTTTGTCCGGGCCGTCTCTTCCCTGGTCCCTCGCATCAAAGGGGCTCCACACCTACCTAGAGTCTTCATTGTAGTTCCTTTTTAAGGTTATCCAGTTTTATGGTTAGGATCCTATGATAGAGATTTTGGTTACGCAAAAATATGGAACCACAATGGAGACCATACGTATAGCAATCCTTACATAGCAGCCGCCATAGTAACCCAGAATGTCGCAGCCCTTGCAGTAACCCCGCCGAAACCTTGCACGCGCAGCTCGGCATGACCAGGCGTTGCTTAACTAATCTCCAAAGGTCCGAAAGCCCTTTCAGTGATTCTCCAAACCTAAACCCCAGAACCTAAGTCATAACTTCGAAGACCCAATCCTCTGAGAACTTAGAGCCCTTGACAAAGCGCGCGTAGCGGGGAGACCTCATATAGTAGCCCTTCAACAAATCGACATCCGTGCTGTAGCCTTTTGTTCGCCCCTCTGAGCAAAACCTCTCTAGTGACCCCTACACTATATACCTCTTTAATTTGTGACACTTATACCCACAGTAGCCCTTAAGCTCCTTCTAGTAACCCTCATGTAGAAAATCGTTGGTTTTCGCGCCTGTGGAGGAGACCTCAGAGTCCATCGCTTCCAATGAGGCCGACTTGGCGGCGGCCACGGAGGTCCGGGGCAAGGAGGCCGCCGACTTCAAGGCCAACGGAGGGGTCGGTTATTGATCTACATCAGCTACATGTTAAAGGTCTGTGGCTTTTTTGTGCTTTAGTCGGCTTTCGAGGCTTTGGGGTTCAGTGGCTGTCTTTTTGTTTGACACGGGTCTACAGGGGCTTTGCCAGGGTGGTATTAGGTTGCATAGGACTTTTGCAGAGACTTTCGAAGGGCTTTCCATCAATTATGCGGGCCTTTTTAAGGGCTGTATGTTTGTATCCCTTGACCTCCCTCTGTAAGGCTCTTGGGGTTTGGGCTTCAGGGCTTAGTGCTCTAGAGTTTTAATTATTGGGCTTATGTGCCTGGAATTAGGGTGTTCGTGCTGTGGTTGTTGGTGCTGCCCCTGAGTCTGTAAACCTTGTTTGCGCAGTGTCAATCCCAAAGCCCTCAGTCTGCTAGAGCTTAATTAGAACCTTTGGCGCTGAAGGTCCATACGCTAACAGAGCTAGGGCAGCAAGTTTCCGTCGGGTCCGGGTGGGCCTCACAGGCTGCTGAGAAAGACCTCTTGGAGACCACGGCTACTGTGGAGCGGGCGATGTCCATGCTGGAGCCCGGGTTCGCATGAGTTGACCGCATGGGGGTTTCAGAATTACAGTTTTGCTTCAACTCAAGACAACCTAAGCTTTTTAGGGGTATTGATTGTGGCCTCCTTGTATTGCATACTTCCCCGCTG